TCTTTATCCAATGAATATTTTATTTCATATATTGCAATTTTTATTTCTAATATTTACAATTTGTTCATGCTTTAGTTTTCTTATCTCTCTTGAAATGTCCCATTTCTTTACTCATTATATCCACCTTTTCTCATGTATTATTTAACACATTTATCCTACTTATTTCGCAGTACTTGTCTGTAAATTTGGAGGTGCCTGTTCATTTGTTTCTACTTTCCCCACTTGACCATGGGTCATGTTTTCCTTTCTTATGTGTCCAGTGAGTCTTAATTCTGAACCAGACGGATACTGAGTCCCAGGGTCTGCATTCTGAGCTCCCTCAGAAGCAAACTGAGCTTGGTGCTGGCAGGCAGGTGCGCGGGATCATTTGAGCCTGGCGGTCTTGGCTCTAGGTTTGTTATTGTGGCTCTATTTTGCCCTTAATCCCAGGACAAGCTTCAGGCCTGGGATACTATCCTCTTACTTAAGGGTTGGGCTCCCTGGAGGAAGCCTGAGGTGTTTATCAAATCCATCCAAAATGGTGGGAGTTGAACTCAAACTGCCTCCAACCCTGGGCAGTGCTGACGCCTCCCCTCAGCTGTGTGGGCCTCCCAGCTGGCCCCCGCCCAGCGGTGCGTCCTGACCGTCTCCCCCTCCCCTCACCGCACGTTCTGATCGACCGTCGGCAGGGACAGGACAGTATTTGCGGCAGTCCCGGGGGCTTTCGCGACATGGCTTCCTGTTTAGGAGGTTCTACCCCCTGCCCAGCTGGGAGCCTGGATCTCCACCCAAGTCCCCAGCCCAGTGAGACAGCCTCTGAGACAGCCTCTGTCTCCTGAGACAGAGATGCTACCCTGCACCCCATGGACCAGGGGCCCTCAGGAGGTCAGGGTGGCTGTCCATCTTAGCCCACATCCAGTTCCTATCTGCTTTTTGGTCCCTCTCCGTTGCCTTCTAGTAACTGTATTTTCACAGACAACTCTTAGACTTTATTGCAGGAGGGTTAGCGCAACGAAAGCCGTCTTCCAACAATCAGACCCAAGATGTCTGGGGAACAAGTTGTTTTAAGCTCTTCGTCCCTCAATGCCTCTCAGGAAAGGTGACATTTGAGCAGGGAGCTGAGAGGCATGGGTGAGATACGCGGTGTTCCAGGTGGGAGTCCTACGGCAAGAGGACGAGATCCTGGTGGGTTTGAGAAAAAGCTCGGAGGCCAGGTGCCTGAGAAAGTAATCGTTGGTAGGAGATGGAGCAGGAAAGCCGACATCAGCCCTGTAGCACCGGGATGTCGGCGCCCGGCACCCCCCCTTCACTAATGCTCTTTCCTCCGCTAAACGAAGCACCTTCTCCCCGGTCTCTGTTGCTGCCAGGTCTTCCTCCACACCATGGTGTCGGGTCCATGTCTCTAGAGCTCAGCCCCAACCTCATCCGTCTCCTGCTCCCCAAACCTTTCCCCGAATGCCTGATCCTGGCTCCAAGACAGACTGTCCACCCTGCAGAGCGTTCAGAGCCTCCCCACATCCGATCCAGGCCTGTATCCTCATCGTCCTTGTTATTCTTCCGGCCAGTGTGGGGATGCTCTCATCACCACACGTGGCGGGTACCTCACCGCTCACAGTGACTGTGAACTGGGCGCCTGCAGACCTCTTCTCATCGGGTCATCTCCTTCTCTTCCGCCTGAGCCCCCGTCATGTCATCTCAGAGGGAACGTGAAGATGACCAGGGTGAAACAAACACGGTGTGGGCCTCGGACGTCCCCCATCTGTGGTCTTCCCATCGGGGCTGCAGGCAGGAGAGGAAGACCCCCCTCCTCCCTTGACAAGCGGTCAAAGGGGGGAAATCGACACGACACCACCCTTGTCACCTCCACCCAACAGAGGGGCACTGCACATCCTCCTGCCTCCTCAGGCTCTGTCTTTCTGCACCAAATAAATGCCACTTGAACTCAAGGTGTCAAGCTGATTTCTGCCAAAGGATCGCTAAGAAGAAGGAACACCTCAGAAGGCTTAAAGACTTGCATTTTAAAGCGATGCATTCTATACAGAAGGACCACACTTCTCTACAGGGGACTTTTAGCATCAGGGGAGTTGGGGGTGGAGGGGGTCTGGGTATATGCTTCAGCCTTTGTAAAATCCTGTAACAGCCGGTACGCAGGCGGCACCTGCCTTTCCGGTGGCCAGGGATGCGTGGGAGCTGAGAATAGATAAGCTACCAACGCTAATTGCTGTGTGTTCCAAGTAGCAGCAGGACACCTGGGGAATTTTCGGAATTACAAGTCTTCGGCAGCCTTCAGAGCTACTGAATCACGTTGGGGAGGGAGGGACAGGAACCTGCTTTAAAAAACCTTCCAGCTGACCCAGGTGTAGGCTTCGGCTAGCACTGTCCAGGGACGTCCAGGCCCTGACCTCTGACTGCACCGGCTTTCCTGCACGAGGAAGCTCGGCACCCCACCCCCTCCCTTGACAACCCTCTCTTTCTTGACCCCGGAGCACATTGTTTCCACAGATCTCACCTCTCCCAAGACGGGGAGCAAAGTCCCGGTGAGATGCCTCTACTCCAGTCTTCAAAAGACCCAGTCCAGGTGTCGGGGGCTGCAGGGGGGCACCCTGGCACTGGGGGGTGCGGTACTCGAGCGAGTCCAGCTTCCCTGCTCCCATCCTGGAGGACACAGTGCTCGCCGGGCACTGGGCTCCGGGCTCCAGCTGCACCAGCACCTCTGGGCTCTCATCCTCCAGCCCAGCCTACAGCAGGTGCTTCCGTGAGTTAGGTCTCTGGAAGAGGGAAGAGGCGGAGAGAAGCAGGGGACTCTGCAGGGCGTCACCCCAGAAGGGTCTTACTCATGATGCTCCCGTCTTTTTAAATGGTTTACATAATTGATTAATTTTTGGCCGTGTTCTGCCTTCGATGCTACACACAGGCTCTCCCTAGGTCCGGTGAGCTGGGGCCTCTCTGGTTGCAGATGACGGCTCTAGGGCGCTTGGACTTCAGTAGTTGCTGAGCACGGGCTTAGTGGCTCCGTGGCACGGGGAATCTTCCCGGATCAGGGATTAAACCCGTGCCTTCTGCGTTGTTGCCACTGAGCCGCCAGGGAAGCCCTCTCAGTTTCATCTTTAACCGTGGATGCTGAGAAATGGCTGCCTTTTGGGGCCCTGGAAACCCTCAAATCTGCGGCGCCCTGCATCACCACCCTGGTTCCGACCTTTTCCCAAGTCACATGCTCGTGAGTGGCCTGCAGGCTCTCACAGGTCACAGAGAGCAATCTGACCACACATTCTGCCCCTGGGGTATGGGCCGCCTTCCATCCTCCGATGGCAGATCCGGACTCCACCGCCCCGCAGCAGGATCTGCCAACTCACGCTGGTGTTGGAAAAGAAGTGCCCACTTCCTGGTTCACGTTCCCATCTGCTCCGGGATCATCCAGGCTGGTGGATCTCAAACCCAAGCACCAGACTCCCCTATCGACCTGCTCAAAACACAGATGACGGGGCCTCCCCCAAGTTGTTCGGTTCAGCAGGTCTGCCACGGGGCCTGGGAATCTGCATTCCTAACAAGGGGCTGATGCTCTGGCTGATGGTCCATGGACCCAGTGGCTTTGACAGTAACCACACTCTGCGACATCCACAGCTGAGACCAACAGTTGCACGTTTCTTGCTCATGCTGCAAGTTCCTGGCGGCCTGGCTAGGGACTCCCTCCGGAACATGCTTGCTGGGGACGCAGTCACTCCAGGAACACGGCTGCTGAGATGCAAGAGGGAGCCAACATGACCACGTCCTGTCAGGGTCATCGGCCGTCGCGAGCCAGGGGGCCGGGCAGCACGATCTTTCTCTGTCCAGCTGGGCAGCAGGAGCGGGCGCCTGGGACCTGGCACCCTGGAGGGCAGTTGGGGTCTGAATGACCGAGGATTGTGGAAGCTCCCCCACGAGGCCGGAGGGCTGCTGCCTGGCCACAGCCCAAGGGCACTCGGGGCACAGCTCTGTCTTCGCGATGCCCCCTGCCACGTCTTCCGAGGAAGAGCTCCCTTGGCGGGTGGTCTGACCCATGCCTTCCTTCCATTTTCTGTGACCATGGCCAGGGTTTTGAGTTTCTGCTGTCCTGAGACTGGGGTCACACATCGGTTTAATGCAGGGGAAGGCCCTGGTCACACTTAAGAAGACAGCCGATCACATCTGTTTACGGTGGAAACAGTCATCTTGATTTATTGAAAAACTATTACAATTATTCCTGTTACACAGGTTTAAAATATTTTAAAATACCCTTTCCTGGGCATTACAGTTGAAACGTATGAACACGTCTACTGGGTTTTCATTAAGTGTATATATTATGTCACTTGACATTCTATTTTAAAGGGCCTAATGTCCTAGAATATTTGCCATAGTTTTTCTTTTGACCATTTTCCTTTTCTCTTCATCAACATGTGTCCAATTATATATAGATGAGGGGGAAAAAAATAAAATTACACCAAAAGAATTTCTGCAAATATAAGAAGTAATTTTATTGCAATATATCATAGCTAAGTGGTCTGGGGAGAATGGGACATGTTTTGACTCAGTACAAATTACAACAGCTTTGAAGGGGCCAATGGAGAAAAAGATTGACAGAATAAAAGGAGAACTCGGTGGGATGAGAAATCAAAATGGAATCACATGACCTAGACAAAACCCACAGGGCGCCCTGTGGCAACGATCCGATATGGCTTTTCTTTTGAAGAGATGAAGGATAGGGTCATTGGCAGATGCTGGCATTCTGGGTTCGGAAGAATCTCGAAGCCAGACTTTTCTTTGGCAAGAGCAAGACTCAATTTCCAGGGTGTTCGGGAAAGCCTCATGGGGGGTGTGCTGTTACTCCTGGGTTGCTCTGCTGTGGTTTCCTAAGATGGAACCATGGTCCGATGGGGCAGGGTGGGCGGAGAACAGCACCAGAGCCGGGACCCGTCACAACGCCTCCTGAGGGGGCTGCACAGGGCCCCAGGGCCCGTCTCGCTCTCCCATCCTGGCAGGAAAGGGCATTGCACGCGGGCAGCTTTTCACAGTAAAGGAATCACCTTTCCTTGCCAGCCCAGCAAGTCCTCGCCCTTGCTCGGTGAGGAGGACCGGTACCGGACGGAGCCTGGCTGGCCCGAGCACCCAAGCAGCTGAGACCCACGCCCAACACTTTTGCAGACGGAAATCCAAATCGCTTTCAAAGGGATAAGGCACAGCTGGCGACCCCGGCGGGACTCACGGAGTTCATTGCACATTTGTCTATCTGCTGAGGCCACATGGAGGGCAGCCCCGCTGAAGGCCACGAGCTGCCTCAATTCAGTTCTTGCAAAAAAAAAAAAAAAAAACAACGCAGAAATTAGCACCACAAACATTCGGCAACTGAGTACAATCCGCCATCGTTACACTTTGGATCACGCGGGAGGCGTGCGCCTATTGTGTGCGTGCGTCTTCCGATCACAGACGCACAGCCTGCGCCTATTGTGTGCGTGCGTCTTCCGATCACAGACGCACAGCCTAAGAGTGGTGCCCGGCCTGGAGCGGCTTCGCTGCTGTCTGGGAGGAGGGCAGGGCTGCGGGAGGGCGGGTGGCCCGCGTTCATCTTAATGTCCGTGGCAGAAACCTAGATGGTGGAGGGAGAGAGATGGGGAACGAGGCACAGCAGGGAGCCCCAGGGACACCTTCAGGGAGATCTCAACAGATAGCACCACAAAAGAGGAGTGTAAAAATAAGCACCAATTTTCATTTCATCATCATTGACAGAAAATGTGGTTTCCCTGCCCTGGACATTCTCCCATCAGGCTCTGCAGGAAGAAACATGGGAAAAGGAAGCAATTAAAATTAATTTAAGCCTGCGTTTTCACCTAAGTGCATGTGGAGAAGGCAGAGTATAAAATCCTTTTTTCTTTTTCTCTCCGTTTAAAAAAAAAAATCCACAGCTAATCAAAGACTTGTCTGAAAGGGGCAGTGGCACCTGCTTTGCGAATGGTGGGGCGAATGCTCGCTGCCTTTGGCAAATTTCCAATTCATCACACATCCTGGAGAGGGCGGGGGTGTGGCCCGCCTCCCAGCTCTGCAGCGGGGGTTCACAGGCATGATTGAAAGTCAGGGACACTGAACATGTATGACAATACAATACAAATATTTACTTAAAACTCACAAAAACAAAAGCACCTTTAATCCATCGGAAAGGCACATGCAGGATGACATTTGGCCTGTGAATGGATCTTGTTAAAAACGGAGGCTCTGGAGGGTGGGGTGACCTTTACAAGGCTGGCCTCGGAACAAGGTTTGAAGGTCAGGGGAAAATACACATCTTCAAGTTGAATTTTTTTTTTTAAATGAGTGATCTCCAAATACGGCAGCCCTACCCCTCTCCGTGAAGACCATCCCCAGGCTCGGGGGCAAGACCCGTGGGCCCCGCTCCCTTCCCAGGGAGTGCGGCATCGCAGAAGGGGCTGCTGGAAGCGGGTGGCTGCGGGGCGTCTAGGTCATGTGATTCGGCTCCAGGGTGGGGGCGCGGACGCGACTCTTTCCCTTTGCTCTCTCGGGGCGGGGCGGCCGGCACGGTGGGGAGGGCAGAGGGGCCCTCACTGTCCGGAGGCCGCAGGCGGCGCGCTGAGGTCACGAGGTTGCTCTTGGGGCCGGGCTCTCGGCTCCTAGCCCAGGAAGCAAGCCGGCCCCACTTCAAATCCGAATTTCTGTGACGCTTCACCGAAGTCGTTGAACATGATGTCTACGATGGGTAGCTGCTCCACCTTGGGGGTGTCGATCTCCAGAACTGTCTTCTGATACCCTTTTTTCGTCTGCAGAGGGGGAGAGCGGGATGGGTCAGCAAGGGCCCCCAAGGTGAACCAATGGCCCATGTCCGCCATGCCTCCCAGCTCTGAAACACACCCCCAGCAGGATGACCGCTGTGGGAGCAGGCAGCTCACCCCAGGACATTCATCCAGCCCCACCACTTGGGAGCGGGACGCAGTGCAGGGAGGCTGTGCTGAGGGTCCTCAGCCCATCAGGACGCATGCTTCCATCCCCGCTAGCTGGGACCCCCCCCATTGAGCCACACGGATCTGCCCCAAGGCAGTCCAGCCAGGATGAGTCAGCCCTCCCCAGCTCCAACCCCCTGCCTCACTCCTGTGAGCATCTGAGTTCCCACCCAGCACCACCCTGGTGGACGAGAGCACCACCTTCTGGTTAGGAGAGTGAACCCCAGTGGGTACAGACCTGCCCCAGGAGTGCTGGCTGCCCTCCCCCGCCGGCCACGTCCCCCAGAATAGAGGGCTGAAGGTGCAAGTCCACACTGGATGGAGAACCACCCACACCCAACCCCGAGCACCAGAACGTCTGTCAGGGATGCACTAGCCCCGCCCCCTGGCAGCGCCCCAAGATGAGGGTCCAGGATCAGCGCAGACACGGCCTCCCGGCCTGTTCCGGACCAGTGGCCTTCTCTGCCTCGCCTGAGAACAGGCGCGGCCTCAGCTGGATCTGGCCCTGGGAGGCTGTCCCTCCCCCGTGCAGTCCCCCACGAGGGGTGACCGGTCCAGGGAGAAGGCGGCGCCTCCGGCGGCCTCACCGCCCTCCAGCAGGCTGGAGTGGGCATGACCCTCTCGGGGAGGCCATGACCATCGCCTGTGGCCACGCAAAGCCCCTGGAGCCCCGCGTGGCCCTGGAAGCCCCTGGAGCCCCGCGTGGCCCTGGAAGCCCCTGGAGCCCCGCGTGGCCCTGGAAGCCCCTGGAGCCCCGCGTGGCCCTGGCACGGCGGTCAGTGCTAGGAGGTGGCGGCCACTCTCCGGGTGGCGGGCTGCAGGACGGCCCCGGCCCGGCTTCCGGGCGGGTCACTCCTCAGGGGAGCCTGCCTGGCGAGGACAGCCTCAGGAGGGAGCTTCACGTGGCAGGCGCTTAGCAACCTCAGGCACCTTGAGGGACTGACTCTGTGCGGCCCCAGACCCGATGGGGAAGCCTTACCCCCTGGGAGTAACTGTTGGGAGGCCATTAGGTCACGGAAGGGGCCTCATGAAAGGGATTCGCGCCCTTTTAAGAAGCAGCTGGAACGCTAGCTCTTAACAAGGGGAGATGGGGTGGCTGTCGGCAGCCCGGGGGGAGGGCCCCTACCAGCCCGGACAGCTGGCGTCGGCTCAGACGTGAGCCTCCAGCGCTGCGAGGATGCCTGTGTGCTGTTGATAAGCCCCTGGTCAGAAGTCACCTGTGACAGCTGCTCAAATAGACCAGGACAGATGCTGGGCCTGAGCCAGCCTGCTAAGCTACCCCTAGATTCGTCACCCTCTGAAACTAAGTCAGGTGACTGATAGCCGCTATTTTAGGTGCTAAATATGGGGGGTAATCTGCTACAAGCAATGGATGACTACCATACTCCCTGTGGCTCATTTTTCTCCATGGAGAACAGGTACCCGTGCTCCACGGACATGGGGAGCACGGGCGAAGCCTCAGGGAACATCCCAGCCGGGCCTCCGTGAAGGCGCTTCTGGACTGAGCCCGGTAGAGACCTGCTCTGAGTTTCCTTCAGAGTCTCCGCCACCCGCGGACTCGCCTCCCCTCGGCTCTGCCTTCACAGGAAGGGAGCACCCTCAGTGGGCCAGGCTGGGATTGCTTTAACGCCGGGATCAATACTTCAGAGTCAAGGTGCGTCCTGGGAGCTGTTAGTACCGCTGGCTTCAGCCTGTCCCGGAGACAGAATTCAGAAGGCCGCGAGCAGGATGAGGCACCTGCATGGTTTAGATGCATCTCGGGCAATGCTGACACGCGTGGGTCACGGTCAGCCTCTGAGCAACACTGTCTGAAGGGCCTGTCCAGTGGCCAGGAGCTCGAGGGCACAGATGCGGTGGGCTTCCAGTGGAGGGGCTGAGGCCTGGCCTGGGGAGCACAGCCAGCCCTCCACTGCCAGGGAAGGGGCTAAGGATCACCGCAGCCTTGTGGGTGCTGGGAGGGACTGGGGGGCAGCGGGGCTGGACTCAGGGCCCCCAGGGAGGATGCCACCCTCGCCTCTTAGGTGGGAAGCCCTGGGAGGAAGCTGAGCCTTTTCACTCCCTTGACCGGTCCAGCAAGGAGGATTCAGAGTCTACCCGTCCGTCCCTCTGCCCCAGCTCTGGCCCTGGTCCGACCACCACCCAGCAGGGGCCGCCGTGGCCTCCGATGGGCCTCTGTGGTCACAGGGAGCCGGGCAGCCCGGCTTGCCTCTCCTCCACGGGGAGGGGACAAAGAGGCCTTGGCGGCGCCGGTGCCCACTGCCTCCTCCTACCAGGGACGGCAGCATGTGCCGAGCTGGTGGGTGCTTTCTCCCGGACGGACGGGGCCCGGCGCTGTGGTTATCAGAGCGCTCAGGAGGGCATCCATGAGCACTGCGCTCCATCACCCCATCACTCCTGAGGCATAAATAACCATCACGGGCTGGCAACGGGCCCCCGGGTGCGCGGAGCTGCACAGACCGCGGGGTTTATGTGGCGGGGCTCCTTAAGCCTCTGAACTCGGCGGCCCGCCCGTCAGGCTGCGCAGCCGCCCCACGCCAGCATCCGAATCCCAGCGTCTTCAGTCCTTGCTACAGTGTGGCCCAAGTGGGCCTCCAGGGAGGCAGGCCTCTCTGACCCCAGTCTGCGTTCCTTGAGCCTCCTGCACGAGTACCTGGGAGGGGTGTGACCTTCAGATCGTGGCTGCACTTCCGGCGGGCGGTGGCATGGCGTAGGGTGAGCAGAGCACAGACGGCTCCCAGCCATCCTCCAGAAGCGCCCGTGCCCCAGCTCCGTGCTCCGCCTGGCCCGGAGCGGAGCCCTTCCCCGCGGCCCTTCCCCTGCCTGTCCGCTGAGCCCAGTTTTCCCCATCAGCTGGGTTACTCTCTTTAGACACGACCTCTCCACCTTCTCAAAGACAGACTCTTTCCAAGAGTAAAAATGTCAAGCACCAAATGCAGATATTTCCATGATGCCAAGTCTTGGTTCTGCATCGTAGGTGCCCAGAGGACCGGCACGGAGCGTGGTAATGATGGCCAGGGTTCCTGGGGTCGCAGCAGACAACTGGATCTGTGTTTTTCTCAAGGAGCAGCTCAGGGTCTGGATCTCACGTGGGTCTCGGTGTTAGGGTGCCTGGGCGGCAGGGCTGGCTTCAGTGCGTGGAGACAAGGAGCCGGATCCTTCTGACCTTCTGAGTGACTCAGAAACTGTGACCATCCTGAAGAGCGGTGGCCCTCTGCCGGGCACTCTTGTCCCCAGAGGTGCACGTGGCAATACCATCTGCTCCTTCACCCCAGATACGTTTTCCCAGCATCCTCTCAGGGAACGTCCCCTCTTCTGGAAAACCAGTCTCTGCCCTTTACCGGGTGACACGTATGGGCCAACCAGAGTGTTTCTCTTTCTGCCAGGGGAGCCGGGGAGCTCAGCCCCACTGCAGGCTCTGCCCCAGGGCTGGCCCTCCTCCTCAAGTCCTCATTTCTCCTCCTCCTCCACCTGACTGCCTCACACTCGGGAGCCCGAGTTGCCTAAAAATAGGAACCGCGATGATTCTGGGCTCACGGCAGCTGAGCGCAGCTCTGAGTTCTCCTCCGGCACGTTCCTCCCAGAGCAGCCCCGTGAATCAGTGCTATTCTTGTCTTCCTTTGTAGGAGGCAGACATGAGACAGGATTTTAGTTGGTGCCTCACGACCTCTGGAAGCAGCTTGGGGTTTGCGTCAGGAACGTGAGCAGATGTTGGATGACCAGGGCTTCCGGAGCTTTAGGCCCTTTTTCCCGGGGTGCCCTGCATCCCTTGACCTCAGGGAGGGACCCCCTCTGCACAGGCCATGGTCAGGTCCGAAGGACTGACCCATACCAGGGCCAGGGGCCAGGGCATCAGGGAGAGGAGGCTGCCCCGCCAGGCACCCTGGCCCCATGACTGCCCCGCACACACTCACCTCTAATCCCCAAGAAACCCCAGGGGCTATAACTAGATCCTTTTTTGGGAAGAAGGACCGGAGCTCCCACAGCCGAAAGGCCCAGGCCGGTCCCAGCAGAGCAGCCATGGTAGGAGGCAAGATGTGAGTCTAGTTCCACCTGAGTCCTGCTCTCAGCAGTGGGTCAGCACCTGCCTTCCTGCCGGCCCTCTGGGCTCATCCCAGACACTCTGGGCTGGCCAAATGGCCAGACCACCTTGACGGACCTTAGGGAGAACCCTCAGATCCCACACACCCCGACAGCATGGGATGGGAAGGCAACGGCAGGAGCACTGGCTGCTCCCAAGCACACAGAGGTAGCTTGGTGCCCAGGATGCCTGCCCCCGGCTGGGGACACTTGTGACCAGCTCTGACACACGCCCTGGCCGCTCTGTTCAACAAGACAGTTGGAGCCAAGTGTAAAACCTCCAGAACCAAGAAGAACCAGAAGGGACTGCAGATGGTTTACTCCATGTGGAAATCCATGGGAAGGGCCCCAAATGGGACTGGGTCCTGGGATGGAGGGAAGGGCTTCCCGACCATAAGATGGGAGGCTGGCGCCTTCCAGAGGAGGGTGTCCACAGAGGCCGGCACCATGCAGTGGGCCCTGGACACCCAGCAGGGCAGAGCCTACACTAGCCAAGTCCCCGAGGGAGCCAGGCTGGGCAGGGACCTCGGGCAGGGTCTCTGGAAGCAGATGGTGAGAGGTCAGAGGTCCGATGTCAGAGGCGGCCGTAAGACCAGCAGGACGGTGATTCCTGGTGACCCCCCGACCTCCAGCCTTGTACAGGCCACACGGGAGACCCATCTGAGGGTTTCTCCAGGACTGGGCCCCGTGCACGGCTACGCTAAATATCTCCCAGGATCCCAGGACAGAAGGACCCAGCTCAGTTCTAGGGGCTGATCCTCACTCTGGGGGGCACATGTAGGGGTGCAGGGGGGCAAGCACAAGGTCCAAGGAGTGAAGGCAGCCCAGCCCTGGCCGGCCTCTCGGGTCTGAGCACAGCCTCCTTCCTAGAGGGTGGCACAGGGTCCAGGGAGGGGACCCAGTGTGGGCTGGGGATGTCATGAGAGTGGGCAGTTCTACTGCCCGCTGTCTGCAGACATCTCCCAGGATGGCCATGTTCTCAGGGGGTTCAGCCTCAGCTCCGGCCATTCCCAAAAAGTGGAGGCGTCTCAACTTCCGAATCGGACCAAGAGCACTTCACGGCACCCCAGGCTTTGGGTCAGGAACCTGGGCTCGGCCTCTCCAACCCCAGCACCTCGGGAAGGTCCCGCTGCGGGCTACGGAACTGCACGTCCGCTAGCGCGTCAGGCACACAGGAGGTGCCCGGGAAATTCATGTAGAGCAATGACTGCCCCGCAGGAGACGGCGCCAGACTCCGCACCGCGCCACGCCCCCGACGCCACCGCGCCCCGCTGCCCCGACACCACGCCCCGCTGCCCCGCCCCGCTTCCCCGACGCCCCGCCCCGCGCGCAGACGGCACTCACGGCGCAGCCGTCCACCAGGGCGCGGATGTAGGGGCTGTTGTCGTACGACATCTCCTCGTCGTTGGAGCCCAGGAAGCGCATGGCCTTGTCGTAGCTACCTGTGGCGGCGTCCTGCCAGGCCACCGACTGGTAGCAATTATAGGTGATGTTCTGGTGGGCGGAGGCGCTGAGCAGCCGCAGGAAGGTCATCTGGACCACGCCCACGGGGTTGCCCTCGGCGTCCACGTAGGAGAGCTGTAGGGCGACAGGACCGGGGCTCAGCAGGGCGGGGACTCGCGGCCTCGCAAGGCCCCTCGTCCACACGGGCGGGCTTGGGAGCTTCAGTCCCGAGCTGTCTCCTCTGGAGTGTGGGTCATGCCAAGCGCCCCATCTGGAAACAAGCCACACATCTGGGCCCCCAGGCCAGCACGCGCTGCCTCTCTGGGGGGTTCCCTGGAACACAGTGAGCCCCGCCTCCTTTCCTTCAAGGACCCAAGTAACCCACCCACTCCTTGCCTGGCTGGTCCCTATTCAGCCTCTGGGGCCCAACTCATATGCTTCCTCTTCCAGGAAGCCTGCCTAAGTTAGATGTCCTCGCCCAACGTGGCCTGGCTCAGTGTCCATCTTTCCTTCTGGCTGGAGGGCCCTCCATGCCAGCACTGACTCCTGTGTGGGGGACCCTGGGGCCTGGTCTGTGGCCCTCCTTGGACCGAGAGTACCCTGGGGACAGGAGCCTGGCATGCACAGCTCTGTGCTCTGAGGTCAGCATAAGGAATGATGCTGACCACTGGCTGGTGGTCGCCATGATGTACAGAGACCTGACCGGGGCTGTCAGAACTGGACGTCGAAAGGGCATGAGGCCTTGGAGGGGAACGGGCCGGTTGGGCACGAGGCGTGGGTGCTTGGCCAGCAGACAGGAAGACCAGCCTGTGAGAGGGTCACGGGCCATATGGCCAGGAGCCAGAGGCCTGGAGGGACTGGGCACTTCCCTGGAGCATGGGGGAAGGCCTCTGCTGTGCCCTCCCCGGGCGTTCACCCAGGACAGACCACAGTGGGTGGGGTTTGGCCGAGGGGTCAGGGGGTCAGTCTTGCCCATGTGAGCGGGCAGCCTGAAGTCAGGGTGAGCCACCCGTAAGAGAGGGCAGGCTGGTTCCCAAGTGACTCCTCGGCGTCACAGGCCGGGAGCTCAACCGGGCCCGTGCTGGGCGCCCCGAGGGACAGGTCAGCTTCTGCACCTTCTCAATGGCAGTTCTGTGAGCTGCTGTGCCCGGCAGGAGCGGGGGCTCCCAATCCCCTGGGACAAGGCAGGTCTCTCCTCCCCGAAGGCCCTCCTCTCATACCCAGCAGAGCAAGTTCGGCCCGTCCTGGGTCCCCATCAGACAGGGGCGGGCGAACGTCAGGGCCTGACACCCCAGGTCCTCCCGACACACGGCTGCTCCACCTCTGCTCTGCTTCAGACCCCGGCGCCTGGCTCAGCCAGGCAGGCGCACTGGCTGCCCCCAAGCACGCAGAGGCAGCTTGGTGCCTGGGATGCCTGCCCCCGGCCGGGGACACCTGTGACCAGCTCTGACACACACCCCAGCCGCTCTGCTCAACAAGAGGGTTGGAGCCAAGTGTAAAACCTCCAGAACCAAGAAGAACCAGAAGGGATTAGACAGTCTACGTGGAAATCCATGGGGAGGGCCCCCAAACACCCATGCTGATCACACAAGGGGGGCTTGAAGTTGCTACTGTCCATGTATATAGAGATATCTGTGTAAGGACGGCTGATGGCGGTGAGCCAAGCCCAGTTTCCTACTCCTTCACACCTGGGTGGGAAGGGCACGGAGCGGCCGGCCAGCTCCCTGCGTGGCTGCCGGCCGCTGACTTCCAGCTGGACCTTGAGGAGAGAGGGGATACCAACCGCAGTCGGGGACATTGGGCGCTCCTCCTGGAGGGAAGGTGACTGACTGGAGGCAGGAGGCATGCGCAGAGAGAGGCGGGGGGCAGTGCTGGACGCAGAAGGACCTGAAGCCCCAGAGCCGGGCAGGGGTGAGGCCCAGGCTCCGCCCACCCTGAGCCCCATGTTGGCATCTCAGAGCCCTGGCGTGAGCCCCTCCCCTCCTGGGGAAAGGGGCTGTGCAGCATCCCCTTCATGACGCCCAGGGCAGCTGGCCCAGAAAAGCGCCTATTTCTTCAGGGGGGGACCTCATCTACGCCCTGTGACAGTCACAGGCACCTTGAAACGATGCGGCCGAAAAATGGAGGCAATGTGTTGCCGTCCCCGGGACCATCCCTCCACCTCCATTCTTGGTCAAACAGGACGTGAGGAGGAGGCGGGCTCAGGCCGGTGGCTGAAAGTGGGTGCTCCGCGCCCTCGTCTGCGGAATCAGGTAGTGGGCGTGGGGGGTGAGGGCCCCCGTCTGGAGAAGCCCACCAGCCCGGCTGCAGAAGGGACCTGGCCCCGGCCCCTCCTCCTCCTGAGTGCTGCGCCCACCCACCACCATCCACCAGGCTCAAGTGCCCTGGGCACTGCCCTCCTAAGGGGTGCCCACTTCAGATCCTTCTGCATGCCAGTGGCGCTGTCCTGAGGACAGTCCCAAAGAGGCGCGGGGAGGAAAGTCAGCAGGAGGGAGGGGGCGAGGGTGCCTGGGTGTCCGCACAGAGACAGGAAGCCCATGGCGAGGCAAGGCGAGCGCAGGCCTTGTGTCTAGAAAGAGCTTCGGTGACCGGGGCTCGAGGACACAGGCGTGAGCTGTTAATAGTGAGCACGTAGCACCTCGGGGTCTAGGATCAGGGTCCCCAGGGTGGACCGCTGGATGGCCCTGCTCTGAGTCCCAGGGGAGAGCGGCCTTGGGCCCCTGGGGAGCCGACCGAGGGCGGAGGGTCAGGCCCACGCTGTGGACCTGAGAGCTGCTTCTGAGAAACAAGGACGTCCTTCAAGGGCGGCCGGGTGGACCCTGGCCGAGGAGGGAACGCAGGAAGCAAGGGGCTCTGGTGGCACCTGCCACGTGACCACGTCTGGAACCTGGGCCTTGAGCTCATCAGGAAGGGGTCACAGAACTCTGCACTGGGCCCCAGAAATGGGCCCAAGTCGAAGCCCTGGAACGTCTGGGAAAACGCTCTATTGGGCGGAAGCAGTCACGGCCCCAGGGGATCGGGTGCGACTGGCCTCAGTCTCTCGACCCCTGGAGACCCATCATGTCCAGTCCTTTCAGGGGACGCCAGCTGCCTGCACCTCTGGATGGACCATTTTTTAAGACTGGGTCCCCAGAAGTTAGCATCGGGGCTGGACGGCTTGGCGGTCCAGGGCCCACCCCATCCGAGCTGCCCACTAGGACTGAGCGAAATAAACCCTCCAGTCCTGGTGTCTCTGGTCTCGGTTCCTGGCAGCCCCCGGCGGGGGGCTCTGAAAGCCAGCCTCACGCCCTCCACCTGAGCAGACAGCCGCCCGGCTGCCCTCGGCTAGAGTGGACCCCCTTCGGCGCGGCAGGAGGGGCCGGCCTGAGCCTGGCGGTCACGGCGGCGGAGCAGTTTGGCCAAAGGGCGAGAGCAGGTGCGGCGCTGGGGGTCCGTCCCATGCAGAGCCGAGCCAGGCCGAGCCGCGAGCAGGCAGCCGCGGGGCCACTTACCAGCGACCCTCGCTTGTACTGACTGTACCAGGTGGCGGGCTGCTCTTTGGGCCAGCGGGCCATTTTACTCTGCAAGATACGAAACGGGCGGGTTCAAACCACACCGCACACACGGCGGAGGCCGTCTTACCAGTTTGCCACGCTTGAATTCACTGAACCAGGAACCCGGGTTTTCTTTGGGCCAAGAAGTGATTCTGGCCTAAACATCGAGGGGGGAGGCAGGGAGGGAGAGAAACAGAGAGAACGACAGCGTTACTTCTGCCTCCTCGAGAGACGCTCCCGCATCCTGCAGGCGCACCGTCTCCCCGCTGAGCGGAGAAGCCACGAGGCCAGCTGGGCCAGCCCTTCGAGCGCCCCCATCTCCCCTTGAGCTGGTGCTCGCTCCGGGACAGGCCCGTGACCGCCGCAGGGACTGGTCCTGGTGCTTTCCAGGGGTCCACGCTGGCTCCACGAGCAGGATCAGAGTCTGCATCTGATCACTTCCGCGTGTCCAGCACACAGAGCCTCGTGCTTGGCGACTGCAGAGACCGATCTAGGGGCATGGCTTCATCTCCAAGGCCTCTCCGTGGGAACACAGCGGGCAGGAGAGTCTCCCAGGGTCCAGCTAGGGGTGACATGTACATGTGTTTCCTGTCTGTGATGTGTGCATTGGTGGCATGTGTGGTGTGTGTGCCGACTGTGCGGTGGGGCATCCTCTTTGGGGAGAGCGCCCATGAGTCCAGCCGGTTCCCAGCTGTCCCTCGGGTCCTCTGCCCGTGCCGGGAGTCCTGGGCCCCATCCCTGGCTCCTCTCCTGAACTGGGCTCGTGCAGGGGAGCCCGGGCAGTCGCCCCAGGGGAGGGCCAGTGCATCCAGCCTGCCTCCCGTCCTGCAGGACTCTGCACCCGCTTCCGAGCCTGCTGCTCTCACTGCTGTGCTTGGCTGGCGTGAGGACCGTGTCCCCCTGGAGCAGGAGCGGGGCTGCAGGCAGCGGGGGGCCTCACCCAGACCTCTCCTCCCCACCCCACCCTCCTGCTGCTGAGGGGGCCCTGCAGCCCGGGCGACTGGGCACAACGTCTCCACCCGCCCGAGGCTCCCAGCCCGTGGGCCTGTGGAGGTCAGCACATGAGCAGAGGAAGAGCAAGGAGCCGCGGGGCTCACTCAGCGCCCCAAGCCCACCGTCCGCCCCGCTCCACCACCAGGGAAGGCTCCTAGGGGTTCCCCTGGCTCCCCGGCAGTGAGGCTGTCTGCGGAGAACAGACAGCAACCCAAGGACGTGAAATGGCATTTTTCCACCTAAATTTCCACCGGCACCTCTGTCAGAGGCAGGGCCGGGGTCTGGGTTTCCTCATGACCCACAGGGGTACTTGCTGCTGGAGTGTGTTTCCCCAGGATTTAAAATCCCAGGTTGGGGGAGTGTGAGCATAAGCCAGGGTCCCTGCAGTGTCCCGGTCAGCGCAGGCCCTGCTCCCGTGGCCCCGGGGGGTGCCGGCGCTCCCCGCGGGGATGGTGAACCGCAGGGACTGGCACCGTGGCGGCTTCCCTCAAGGGAAGCGGCTCTGGGCGTTGAGGACACGGGTGCCCGACTCCTGCTGGGCGTGACCCTGGACCTGCGTGGCTCCAGGAATCCACTGCCCTCGGCTTGCGGCAGGGACGGGGAGCCGTCTGGACGGGACGTCATGGAGGAGGGTCTGTCCAGGAGGTGCAGAGGGCACTGCGGCCCAAGACTGCACCGTCTTCCCAGCTAGAGACCTCGCCCTCCTTCCTCACCTGGCTCCAACACGTTCTTGAGGGAAGGTGACACATGCCAGCCACACACACCTGTCCTTGCATGCCATCCACAGGCCACCCACACGCCATCCAAGTGTCATCCACACGTCATCCGCATGCCATTCACACATCACCCACACGCCACCCACATGCCATCCACACGCCACCCGCATGCCATCCACACATCCGCATGCCATTCACACATCACCCACACGTCACCCACATGCCATTCACACATCACCCACATGCCACCTGCATGTCACCCATATGCCATCAACACACCACCCACATGCCATCCACACGTCGCCCACACATCACCCACATGTCACCCACACGCCACCCACACATCACCCGCATGCCATTCACACATCACCCACATGCCACCTGCATGTCACCCATATGCCATCAACACACCACCCACATGCCATCCACACATCACCCACGTCACCCGCATGCCATCCACACGTCACCCGCATGCCATCCACACATCACCCACATGCCACCCGCATGCCACTCACGTCACCCACATGCCACCCACATACCACCTGCATAGCATTCACACATCACCCACACGTCACCCTCACACCATCCACATGCCACCCACACGTCACCACACACCATCCACACGCCACCTGCACGTCACCCGGATGCCACCTGCTACCATCCACCTGCCACCCACACACCATCCACACACCATCACTCACTATCCACATACCCTGGTTTACACCTGTCCACACACACATCACACATCAGAGACACCACCACAGAGGCGAGGCCTCTAAAAGACCACAGGTGACTCCGATTGACACCTTACAAAATCTCCATGGATCAGGTCCTCACTAAACAGACTATAAAGGAATGTACTGCGCTCAGGAGCAAACATCCTAAGCTGCCACTAAGAATTTCAGCAAACGCCACCTTCTACGAGATGTATCTGGGTCACTTGGCCCTAAAAGTCCTTCCATGGGCTTCAGGCTGGTCTGAGGTCAGGACTACAGGGTCACTTTGGGGAGGATCTGACCAAGCAGTGGTGGAAGTCCTAGCTTTGGGGGTAGTCGGGGGAAGATGCCCATGAGCCAGGCACTCCTCAACCTTCCATAAACGAGATTGCACCAAGCCCGTCTCATTGCTAGAAGTTTCTCCTCAAAGAAAATTTAAGTCTATTTCTGGAGAAGAAAGCTTAATTTTGGAACTGGTTTTGATTTCCTGGTTTCAGCTTCTCGTTTTCACTCCTGAAACTGTGTGCATGTGACACAGCAGGAGCCCCGGCCCAGCTCACTGGGAGAGGAGGTGACGAGGGCGGCACTCACCCCCTCGGACTTCTTGTCGGGGAAGACGCACGTTGACCCCCCGGCCGTGAAGTTGCAGTAGACCTTGAAGGAGTCCCGGGAGCAGCCTTGGTTCGGATCCACCCAGTATTCACCTGCATCACAGGGTTGGGGCCAGGGTCAGGGTCAGGGTCAGGGTGGAGGTCAGGGCCAGGGTGACAGTCCGGGTCGGGGTCAGGGTTGGGGTCAGGGCCAGGGTTAGGGTCCGGGTCGGGGTCAAGTGTCAGGGTGGAGGTCAGGGTCAGGGTGACAGTCCGGGTCGGGGTCAGGGTTAGGGTCCGGGTTGGGGTTGGTGTCAAGGCAGAGGTCAGGGTAAGGGTTAGGGTCTGGGTTGGGGTCAGGGTCAAGGGTCAGGGTGGAGGTCAGGGCCAGTGTCAGGACCAGGGTGGAGGTCGGGGCCAGAGTCAAGGTCAGGGTGGAGGTCAGGGTCAGTGTCAAGGCAGAGGTCAGGGTCAGGGTTAGGGTCCAGGTCGGGGTCAGAGTCAGAGTGGAGGTCAGGGTTAGGGTCTGGGTCAGGGTCCGTGTCAAGGTGGAGGTCAGGGTCAGGGTCAGTGTTAGGGTCAGGGTGGACGTCAGGGTCTGTGTCAAGGTGGAGGTCAGGGTCAGGGTCAGGGTCTGGGTTGGAGTCAGGGTTAGGGTTGGGGTCAGGGTTAGGGTCCGGGTCGGGGTTGGGGTTGGGGTCAGGGTCGGGGTCGGCTTAGGGTCAGGGCTAGGATCCAGGTTGGGGTCAGGGTCAGGGTGAGGGAGGCGGACTGTGAGAGCTGCCCCCTGGATGGCACAGAAGCAGCTGCCACCCGTTGTCTAGCAGTCACGGCGCACACCCTGGCCTTGGGCCGCAGCACGGCCCCCTCTGGGCTTCCCAGTGGCCTCCCACTGTCCCTGCTGGGCCCACGGAGCCATGGGGACAGACTGGTCCCCAGGAGCACAGCTGGAGCGTGAGGGCCACGGGGCACGGCTCTGGGGACCCCGAGCTGGGAGCCCAGTGGTGCTCTGGGAACACTCCTAGAGGTTCACGCACGTGGGATCAGAGTCAACAGAACGGGACTGGTTTGCATTTTTATGGTGTCCTGGAGTCTAAGCTGTGCTTCCCCAGGTGCAACAGCAAACACCAGCCCGAGGACTCTCACTGACACGGATGGCAGCCACGGCCGGCATGACAACCATGTATGCACGTCCTGATGGGGACGTGTTTTACCCCCATTTACAGATGTGGAGCATCGGCTCTGGTCAGAGCAGATGACTGCCCGACAATGACTGAGCTTAGACTAGACTCTGCTCCATGTGACCCCATGCCTCGACCTCTTTCCTAGGCTCCCAGGGCGGCTTCCCCTTCTCCTGCAATGCCTTGTCAGGTGACGGGGGAGAGGCCCCTGCACCCCCGTCCCCTCACGGAGGGAACCTGAGCAAGGTGTGTGCCCACCCAGGCCTGGGTCCCTGCCACCACCCCCTCCATGCGTCCCCAGGCCCGCGGCCACCCTACCGTCGGGGAAGTCAGGGTGGCAGAGCTGGAGGTCCTTGCAGGTGCGTGCGGGGTTCTGTGGCGTGCCCAGCGGCCTCTTCATCTGCTCGATCTCCAGCTTCAGGGAGTTGAGTGAGCCGAAGATCTCCTCCATGCCGTCCGCATAGTCCATGTACTGCTCGCCCTCCGCATCGTCCATCAGCTGGCTGGCGTCGATGTTCCTCCGGGTCCTGGACGCCTGGATCGGCAGGGGCTGGATGACCTCGCCCGGGGGGCCCTGGGTGCAGAAGAGGGCAGCGGTGGGTGGGGCGGGGCAGGGCAGGGCAGGGCCCACAGCCAGGGCCGCCGCTGCAGGCTAGGCTGCAGGCGCCTGTCCATCTAAGCAGTCTTCTTCCCTTTTCTGTGTCTCTGGAACATTCCACACGATCCCGCGGGGCCTTGCCTAGTGCTGCCCGGCCCCCACCTAACACAGATGCATGCACACACACACATGCATATGTGTGCATACACACCTGTTCACACAGAGGTATGTGGGTGCACACACACACACACACACGTGTGCTCACCCTTCATCTCTCCCCAGGCAGACTTCGGAGGGCAAGGTGCCCTGGGCTGATCTGTGTCCAGGGACAGGCCCCGCCCCGCCACACGTCACACACACGGTTCAGAATGTTTTGGGATCGAACTACACAAACATGCTTCCCGCGGTTCCCTCGGCATTAGGGGACTCCCCAACTCCCCAAGGGCTACTCACCGGTGGGCCAGGGGGTCCTGGCTGGCCTGCCTCACCCTTCGGGCCAGTTGGACCCTGGGGAGAAAGAAACCAGAATCAGCCATGGTCACGGAGGCCTGACAGGGCCTGTCCACCTGGAGGTCCAGAACGATCCCGGGAACACGTGGAGAAGGCAGAGGGGCCTGTCGATCGTGCTGGGCGCCCCCAGCCCCAGATGTGAGAACCGGACAGCCCAAGGGGGAGCCTGGGGGACAGAGCCCTTCATTGCGCGCAGGGAGCCGTGGTCTGTGGTGACTCAGGCTGGAGGCGAGCGCAGGGTAGCCCGGCCCCACAGGAGGGACGTCAACCACTAGCCCCGAGAGGCAAGGGGGATGGGGGACCCCGGGAGGTTCTCAGCCCACAGCCTGCACCCCCTCCAACCCCGGGCCCAGGGGCTGGTCAGGGCGATGCCACTTACCGAGGAGCCCTTAGCACCTTTTGGACCAGGGGGGCCCTGTGGAGAGGGGCAGGGCATCAGCGGGGTTGGCCCCTTCCCCCCAGGCCCCCGGCTGTGACCCACACCCTCGCAGCCCCGCCTCCCTTCTGCTCTCCTCCTCCGCCCTTGGCCCTTCCAGGAGTCTGAGCTTGTATCTGCTTCACAGGGAAGCAGGTGGGGGAGTGCTCACTCACATGGAGGTCGGGGGTCCTGTGGGCCCCAGCCCAGCCCCCCACCCTCCACAGCAGGGAAATCGCAGCTCAGGCGGCCCACGTGAGAAGCAACAGGGGCGTGCTGGCCTCGGAGGCCCTGATGTGGAGCCCCCGGCCCCTCCTGACAGCCTGCCACGGGGCCAGTGGCAGAGAAGCTGGGGCCACCTTGGGCCACGTGGACCCAGGCTCGGGTGGAGCTCAGAGGTCGACTGGTTTTGGGTGAGAAGCAACTCAAGGCTCCGGGACGTGTCCTGGGTCTCCCAGCTGCAGGGGAAGGTCCCAGGCTGGTGCCTGGAAGCCAGGACCCCAGCTCCTCATGTCCGGGCCAGGCTGGCCCTGCTCGTGCAGACAGTGAGGGGCCAGGAGGGACCGGCCGCTGTCCTCACCGCCCCCAAAACGCCTACAGAGGACTGTCCACATGCCCTAAAATGCCTGGAGATAGAGGCTCACCCCTAGCTCCCGCACCTGAAATCAGGGCCCAGTGACCCACTTCCTGATTTCCATCACTCATAACTCGGATCAGAGATAATGAGCAGAACAACCCAGGGGGCCCGCAGACCCCACTCTGGGGCCCCACAGCTTCCCTGTGACCACTCCCACCCTGCTCCCCCAGAACAACCCAGAGCGGGTGGTTCCCGCCCCTCCAGATACGCACCGGCAGGCCAGGGGGGCCTGGGGGGCCAATCGGGCCAGAAGGACCGGTGATGCCCTGAAAGGAGCAGAAATGCGGTCGTCATCACCCGGATCAGGAGGGAGCCGTCCTGCAGCCTCATCCCCGGGCTCTCACTGGCCTCCTCCCCCAGCTCGGACACGTGTGAGCAGAGCCCTCACTCCCTGTGGGGCCTGGTGGGGCCTGAACACCTGCTGGGAGGCCTGGTACCCCGGGGCCGCTGCCCAGCCAGCCTGGAAGGACCCCCGGGGAGTCTGAGCGTGAACCTCCCTTTAATGTCCTCGTGTGAACCATCCCCACCAGGTCCTGTCTGGCTGGCTGCTTTCTGCTCCCGCTGGGGGTCCACCCCAAGCACGAGCCCCGGGCAGCGGGCAGAGAGCGTCCTGGGGCCCTGTCTCTTCCGTCTGTCCATCCAGCCGCCCAGGGGCTTCCCACAGTGGAGCTTGCGTCCTCTGACTGACCCTCTCTCCTGGTCTAAGTGCCACATGTGCACGCACATACACCCAATGTGCTCAGGCGTCATCTCCAGGGCCCGCCGCACACAGGTGTGTGAGATACATACACATGTGTGCACACATACACCCAATGTGCTCAGGCGTCATCTCCAGGGCCCGCCGCACACACGTGTGTGAGATACATACACATGTGTGCAACATGCACCCAATGTGCTCAGGCGTCATCTCCAGGGCCCGCCGCACGCACACATGTAAGGCATGTACACATGTATGCACACACATACACCCAATGTGCTCAGGCGTCATCTCCAGGGCCCGCCGCACACACGTGTGTAAGATACATACACATGTGTGCACACATACACCCAATGTGCTCAGGCGTCATCTCCAGAGCCTGCCGCACGCACGCATGTAAGGCATGTACACATGTGTGCACGCACATACACCCAATGTGCTCAGGCGTCATCTCCAGGGCCCGCCGCACACACGTGTGTAAGATACATACACATGTGTGCACACATACACCCAATGTGCTCAGGCGTCATCTCCAGGGCCCGCCGCACGCACACATGTAAGGCATGTGCACATGTATGCACACACATACACCCAATGTGCTCAGGCATCATCTCCAGAGCCTGCCGCACGCACGCATGTAAGGCATGTACACATGTGTGCACGCACATACACCCAATGTGCTCAGGCGTCATCTCCAGGGCCTGCTGCACGCATGTGTGTAAGGTACAGCGGGGCAGCGGGGGTTCACAGGCTGCAATGAGGCCCCGTGGCCTTGCTATGGGGACGGAAAGGCAGGCCTGCCAGGCCCCCCACAACCCCACGCACACCACCCCGTTCCCCGGCCAAGGAATCCACTGCCAGAACCTCCTAGGTGCAGGGTGGGCCAGCCTCGCAGGCTATTTTCGTGGCTGTGGTTTCCCGGGGGCTGGTTCCCAAGGAAGTCCAGGGTCAGGTGCGCATATACGGGGTCAAGGGGGAGCCAGGATGCAGCTGAGTGTTGCCAGTGACCCCTGGATGTTCAGCTGGGAGAGAGGGTCTTTCCGAGTGTGGCGGGGGGGTGATGACCTTCACTGCGGAGACCAGCAGAACCGTGAGGGCTGCTCAGGGCCTGGGCTGGACTCCAGTTCCGCCCCTGTCCCCTGTGCGCCTGGGCGAGCCCGGCCCCTCGGCTGCTCCCACCCTGATCCCGTGGACAGGGGACATCCTTCCGGCTCTAACGAGCCTCAGGTCTTTGGACACAGAGCCTGTTCCACGCACCTGTTCTCCCTTAGGGCCCGAGGAGCCCTGGGGGCCAGGGAGACCGCGGTCACCCTTTTCTCCCTGTTCACCCGGAGGTCCGATGAGCCCGATCAAGCCTGGGTGACCCTGTGGGAATGAAAGGGGCATTTGCAGTGGCGACGCCTCGTGTCCAGCCCGAAGCTCCTGCAGGGGAAACGTGCCCGGGGCTGGCCCCGACAGCAGGCAGCGGTCGGGTCTCCAAGCCACACGGAGCTGTTCCCTTCATGTCCCCACCCCGAGCAGGTGATGCACGGGGGGAAAGGCCAGACCTTGTCGGGTTGGAGGCACAGGCTCTCAAAGGGCCCGTGCTTCAACCGCACAGGCACCTACAGCCCACTCACCTTTTCCCCTTTGGGTCCAGAGTCTCCTTTGAGGCCGGGGAGTCCTGGGGGGCCCTGTGGGGGAGGCGGGGGGCTCAGATTTCTTGTCCCCAACCCCGCCCTCCGCCACCTCCGCTGGAGGCCCCTGGGGAATGTCCTGACTCACCATGGGTCCCGGGGGGCCATCGGGTCCTGGGGCTCCGGGAAGACCTTGTTCACCCTGAAACACAGTCGACCCTGCACGTGAGCCCCGTCTTGGCCGTCCCCACGCCCCTCCCTCAGCAGACTCCCCCCCAGGCCCAACCCCCACCCCGAGGCCACTCACCACTGGGCCGGGGATCCCTCGAAGGCCATCAGGCCCAGGCTTCCCGGGGGCCCCCTGGGGGCCGATGGGGCCAGTCTTCCCAGGAGGGCCTTCCAAGCCAGCTTCTCCCTGCAGAGAGGGCAGAGTGGGGCCCCGACGCTTGAGGCTATGGTCACCCCTGCCCAGAACCACCGTTCAGAAACCGCGAGGAGCCTTGGCGAGAACCCTGCATGCCCCCGACACCCAGGGGCTGCCCCCAACTCTCCTCCCTGTAGAGGCCGCCCAGCCCCATCCTCCACCCACTGAAGACCTCAGTCATCGGGGCTCCAGCCGCCCAGCCACCACGGCAGTTACAGCCAGCTCGGAGCTTAGGGTGGACACGCTGCATGTCCTGAGCAGATGCGGGCTGGGCGAGCTCCACCGTCTCAGTCGACGCCGGGGCACCTCTACTCCAGGAGGAGGCACCCAGGCCCCACCCAGAGCTCCTGGGCAGAGCGGCCACAAGGGCTCTGGGTGCCGGGCTGCACCCTAACCTCACCGCAGGGCACCCCACCCTCTCCTCTGCCCTGCGGTGGGTGCTGCCACCGTCTCTGCTTTGCAGGTGAGGCAGCCAGGCCCGGACAGGTCAACGCCAGGTCCGAAGGCACCCGGCATGGGCCTCCCCTCCCCCAGGCTGGCGGGGCACATGACCCGCAGTGCCCGGCCAGGGACCCCAGGCTGGAGGCACAGCCCAGCTCCCCCTGCAGAGGATGGGCTCTCCGCCCAAGTCTGAAGACAGCCGGCCCCTCTCCGCATGTTCAGCGTCCAGTCCCTCTCCCGCCGCACCCCAAGCGGTCACCACGCCCTAGGCACGCCCCGGAAGGTCCATGCACGCTCACGGTCATGGCCGCAGCTGGGCTGAGAAGCACCTACCTTGGCTCCTTTCTCCCCCTGCCTGCCTTCAGGACCGGCGGGGCCGGGTGGACCCTGGAAGGTTTAAGAGGGCAATGCGTGACGAGTGGGCTCCCGGACGCCAAGAGGACAGCTGAGCGCGCTGGGGGCACAGGCCTGGCAGGGCCGTGGGGCTGCTCCAGGCCTTCAGAACAAGGCCTGGGGCCTCCAGTTCCAGAAAAGGCCAGCGGGCTGGGCTGGGCAAGGGGCGGGCACTCTGGTGGCCTCCCTTCCTGCAAACTCAGAGCGGCCGCGGTCACCGCAGGCCAGCAATGGATGGTTCCATTTGCTGGATGATTCAGTTTGCTTGCTCTGACTTTTCCAAAGGTCTGACCCGGGGGAAAGGGGCTTTTTCAGCTTTGTGGGTGAGTTTTTTCTCCCACGACAGCTGTCACTGAAGGTGTCCGCAGTCAGCTCATCCTGAAAGGAGCAACACATCGACCTGGCGGCTCTGAGATCGGATGCTGTGGCAGCAAGCTGAGCGGGGAGTGAGCTTCAAAGAGAAGCCCGTTCCTCCTCCCTGGGGCTGCTCAGGGCCCCAGGGTCCATGCAGGGCTGGGGAGGGGCAGGCTTCGTGCAGGGGTGCCCAGCAGCGTCACGTACCCTTTTTCCTGGAGGCCCAGATGGGCCTGGCTCACCCGTAGGGCCTGGTGATCCCTGGGGTGGGAGAGAGCAGAGTGTTTAGGAACCAAGGATGTTAGCTAAGACCCGGCGGGGCTGGGTGGGTCCGAGGCTAAGAAAACACAGAGTTTTCAGTCCGTCCTTGGCCAGCCCCGAAACTGCCTGTCTCATCTTCTGCAGAATCAGCCCTGAGTGGGGGTGGTCCCAGACTGCCCTGCCCTGCTCTCGGGATGCGGTAGTGTGGGGGCCCCCCCCACCTCTGGCTCTGCTGCGTCTGGGGAAGGTTCCCAGCAAGCTGGCCGGCACCCCTCCTGCAGAGGTGGACCCTGGGTCACCGGCCAGGAAGTGGTAGAAGGGCAGACATCTCTCTGGGGCCCTAAGTCGGTGTCCCTAAGCAGGCTCGAAGCAACGTTTCAGAAACCCGGCATGAGATGAGAGGCACGGCCACTGTGAGCTCAGCTCCAGAGGCTCATGTGGGAAGAGTCTTTTGAAGAGCACGTCTGACCCCACCCAGCAGAAACAGGGATCCTGACGATGTGGGGGGGTGGGGCGGTCGTGGACACCGGGCTTCATGTGCAGAGCCACTGTCGGGCCTGGGGGTGCACTTCCCCTTCTGGGAGGAGGGTCCCCAGCTCGCAAGGGTCCTCCGAGGGAGCTCATGGCTCCCGTGGTGGCTGGGTCACTACTCTAAGGCAACTGGGTGAAATGAACAGAGCAAGTTGCAATGCCCAACACCTCCCCGAGAAGCTGCATCAGGGGCCCCAGAGGTCCCGGGTGGACTCACCGTTTGCCCGGGTTCACCATCATCTCCTTTGTCGCCAGGGGGACCATCTTGACCCTGTGGGACCAAAAGCAGGTTCCTTCTGCGCCCTGGACACACCCGAGTTCAGGCACCAGCACCCACTGGCCCCCAGTCCCGACCGAAAAGCCCAGCTCCACCCAGGGGTGCCCGCTCAGGGAGCTCGGAGGGGCAACGCCTTTCCCCGCGCACTCGTCAGAGCAGGGCTGAGCACCGGGCCCCGAGCAGAGGCAGAACAGAAGCAAGCAGAAGGGAAAGACAGGCCTGGAGGCGGGTCATGGGCTGTGGGGACCCCCAATTCTGCACCCTCGAGCACCTACCGCAGGGCCGGGTTCTCCAGGGGGACCGGGATCTCCGGGAAAGCCAACGGGGCCCTGAAACAGAGTAGAGAAACATCAGCCACCTTCCCAGAGTGCGCAGGCCTCAAGGGGCTGCATCCACACGGCCAGCCCACGCCTCCCACCAGCCTGGCACCTCGGGGCCCCCCAGAGCAGGCGGCTCCCCCCAGAGCATCACTCTGTGTGCGGCGGGCCACGCGGGGCCGCCGCTCGCCTTCCGGAGGCCTCGGAGGGCAGCCTCCTGACCACACGTCTGCTCCTGGGGCCGCGGTGACCCTGATCCTGGACCCTGAAGTCCAGGACTCGCTACTCTGCAGACCTTCCTGAGGCAATGAGAGGCAGACCGTGGCAGGGCGGGGTGGGGCACAGAGCCCGTTCCATCCGGAAGGCTGCCCGGCCCACGGCCTCCGAGGTGTGGCCCCTCCCGGCCCTTCTCTCCTCCTCCCTCCTCCTCTGTTCTAGTTCAGGACCCAGGGGGTCACCCCAGACCCACGGGGGTCAGGCAGCTTCTGCACCCCCCAGGCCTGGGAGTGAGAGGACCCTGCTGAGAGCCCCAGCGTCCCCCGGTACTCACAGGGCTGCCTTTGGGACCGTCGTCTCCGGGAGGGCCCTTGGGCCCGGGGGGTCCAGCGGCACCGGAGGGGCCTGACTCGCCCTTCTCCCCCCTTTCGCCTTTGGGGCCCTGTGGGGAGAGGCAGGGAGTGTGTTCCCAGAGCTGGCCTGCAGCCCGCCCAGCGCTGGCACCACGTGGAGCCCTGACCGAGGCCAGGCACCAGGCACCAGGCCCCAGGCCCCTGGGGGGTCAGCTGCCTCCAGAGCCCCTGCCCCTGGCAAGTCCCCACGAGTCCAGCCCTGCGGGCACCGCAAGGGGTCTCGGGGCCCCACTGGCGTCCTGGGGCCTCTGAGGCCGAGGCTCGGCTTCTAGGTGACGAGGGCAGGGCTGCCTCCTGACGAGACAGCAGGCGGTGTGGACCCCCAGGGGCTGCAGCGACCCAGGCTACCCCCCGCACTGAGTGGAGGGAGCCCAGCACACCTCTGTCCACCAGCCGCTCCCTGGGCCAGAGAGCTGCCCCCAGCGGGCCTCGAGAGGCCACACATCTGACCTGCGAAGGCCAGAATGTCCCAGGTCTGGGTGCACAGGTGGCAACACTGGGCCCCACGCTTGTGGAAGCCCGTGACAGAGCCCGGAACACCATGGACGGAGGGGCAGCTCACGCCCGACTGTCCTGGGTGTTCATCACTAACATCAACACACACACACACACACACACGCACACTCACACACACACGTGCATGCATGCTCACACACACACATGCACACTCACACACACGCACATATGCATACACGCCCACACACACACACTCACACACACATGCACAGTCAAACATACATGCACACACATGTACACGAACGCTCACACACACGCGCACACACATACACACACGCTCACACACATGCACTCTCACACATAGGCACACACACTCACACACATGCACACACGTACATACACGCTCACACACATGCACACAAACATGCATACACACATACACGCTCACACACATGCACACACACATACACGCACACTCATACATGCAACTCACACACACGTACATGCACGCTCACTCACACACATATACACTCACACACACATGCACATTCACACATACACATGCACAGTCACATATACACATGCATGCTGACACACACGTACACACGCACACACACATGTACACTCACACACATATGCACACACATGTACACACACGCACACTCACACATACATGCACACTCCCACATGCACACACATGCACACTCAGACGCATGCTCACGCACATGCACAGTCACACACATACATGCATGCTCACACACACAAACATGCATGCTCGCACACACATACACATGCACAGTCACACACACACATACACTCACTCCCCACCACACTCCCTCTTTTTTCCAGCAATCCTGTGATGGAGGCACAAGGGGAGACACAACTCCCATTTCATGGATGGGAAAACTGAGGTAGAGTGGGACCCTCCCACCCGGCACTTCTTCACACCACATCCCACCCCTCCCCAGAGCCCACTCACTCACCGGGGGGCCCCCTTCACCTGGAAGGCCAGGCTCTCCTGCTTCACCAGGTTCACCCTAAGGAGGAAACACAAACAGCAATGAGGGCACAGGTCCCAGCACCAGGCGTTCACAAGTCGTCCCTGACACTGGGCAGGGGTGGGGTGGGCTGGGGGGACGGGGGTGGGACAGCGGTCACTGTCCTCTTGGGAGCTCCCAGCCCTGGAGGAGACACAGGTGAGGAGCCCAGGGACACAGTGCTGGCAGTGACACACGTGGGCAGGGCGTGGAGAGAACGTGGGGTGTCAGAGATGGCTCTCCCCAGGAAGGGATGCTCCCAGAGTTCCAGAGGATGGTCGAGAGAGGCCAGGTGAGGGGGGCACAGCGGGCAGAGGCGGATGGAGAACAGCACAGTGCCCTGGGTTTGCCGGCTGGAGGGACAGAGCCGGGCGGAGGCGGGGTGTCGTGGGGGGAGGGGTGTCGCGGGCAGGAGGGGGACGCGCCCTGCGGCAGGGAGGGGGAAGACGCGGCGCCCCCAGAGGCTGCCCGCCGTCACGGGTGGGCTCAGCAGGCATGCTCCTCTGTGACTGTCCTATCATAAAAAGGGAGCAGCGATGGGACACTGGTTTCAACTGAATGGCCAGATGTCAGCAGAAAGTTCTGGAAGGTGTGCAGGGAATGCAAACGGACGGGCACGTGTCCATCTCCTTCCTTTTATCCCAAGAAGCTGGGATTGGTGCTTTAAAATAGTGTGAACTCCTGGGCCCAGGAGGAGTCAGACTCTGGCACCATCTTGCCCACCACCCACATACGTGTAAGGCATGTACACGCGTGTGCACACACATACAGCCACTGTGCTCAGGCATCTGGCATGAGCCGGATCAGATGACGAGGACCCGGGGCTGTGAGATGACAGGACTTGAGGGAAACAGGAGTTGCGACAGGAGCAACTACACACGTCAAGGACAGACAGCCACGACTGTCGGAGCCGAATCTCGGAGCGGGGGTGGTGGCCTTTGCTGGGGGTCACGTTGTGGGAAATCCCACACAGGCTGCCCTGGGCAGAGGGCAGGGCTCCCAGGTCCACCACACGGTCCTCCAGGTTTGAGATGCATGTGGCAGGAACAGTCCAGCAGTGCACCTGCGTGTCTCCACATGCACACGCACACACACGCACGCACGCACATGCGCCAGGACAGTCACGGGGCATGTGTCACCTTCTCTCCCACGGCTCCGGGGTTGCCTATTCCGCCGGGGGGTCCTTGCGGCCCGTCCGCACCTGGAGCTCCGGAGGGTCCTCGGGGGCCGGGGGGACCTGGCGGACCCTGGAGGAGGGGAGACGTTGAGCCCAGAGGAAAGGCAGGCCTCCCCCCCAAACACCAGCCCCACCGCGCCCTGTGCCCCGCGAGCAGTCCCACTCACCATCTGACCCACGTCGCCCGTCTCGCCCTTCTCTCCGGGAGGTCCTGGCAGACCCTGAGAACAGGAGGCCATTAGACACTCGGCTGGTGGGCATGGCTCCTGTGCCCCCCCAACCTCCGCTGCCTCCCAGCTGAGCGCCCCAAAAGCCTCGGGGATGTGCATTTCAGCTACGCATGAGGATGGCTCCGAGATCCCGTCTCAGAACTAGCCCGGAGAGAATCCAAGAGGTGGGCAAGGATTTATGGACAAGGTGCTTATTGCGAGTGTCCCATAAAACAACAAAGCCTAATGAGCCACCAGCAGGGAGCTGCTGGAATCAATTATGTCCCCTCCATATGCTGAGACACAGGCAGTGACTAAGAGCCATGTTTTCAAAAGTAAATAAAAGGTGACATGTTCAAAGAATATTTAATGGCATTTGACGTGACTTGTAACATAACAGGAAGCGGGACAGCCTGGTCCGAATGTTCTATACATGCATCATGACTCAGATTTTGTGGAAACCAAATGGAATGATGCACATGCGTGTGTGTGTGTGTTTGCACACAGGCACTTGGACGGTGTGCACTCCCATGCCTCAGGAGCCATTATGGTTCCCTTTTCGAATAATCTATCAGTAGTTTCCAACATTTCTACAATTAGCAGGAAAACAAACGTCACAGGATAAGAGAAGCGAATGTGGGTGTGTCTGGATTTCTGCAAATTCACAGCTCTTCAGGTGTGTGGAGGAGCCCATGCAACTCTCCTTAGTAACCCCATTTTTAAAAATTTTTATTGGCCTGCAGGTGCTTTGCAACATCACGTTAGAGTCGACGGTACAGCAAACTGAATCAGCTCTGTGCATACACATATCCCCTCTTTTTTTACTCACTTCCCAGTTAGGTCATAGAGAGCTTAGAGCAGGGTTCCCTGAGCTATACAGTAGGTTCTCATTAGCTACCTATTTTACACACGGTATGGATGGTGTATGTACGTCAAGAAGGGAGGGAGCAGGAGGGGAGGGCAGGGGAGGAGGTGTGAGGGCGGGGCGGGACACAGCAAAGATGCGGGGAAATCAACCCAATCATTGTGCCAACTCCGCTGTTACCTGCAGCCCCACGGGGCCCGGAGGCCCAGGGAAACCTCTCGGACCTTCGTCGCCTTTCTGCCCAAAGAGGCCCTGCTGGCCCCGAGGTCCCGGCTCGCCGTCGGCTCCCTGCGGGGAGACGGATGGGCGTGCTGAGGACCAGAACTGGACCACGGCAGCTCGAGGGGTCGGCGTCTCCGAGGGCAGTTAGCTGCGGATACTCACGGAGGGGCCTGGCTGTCCAATGGGGCCTTGGGGTCCTGTAGGCCCTGGGGGACCCTGTGGGAAGAGAGAGGTGGTGGCTTCCTGAGTCGCCGCTGAGGCCGCTGGGCATGGGGGCCGGAGGCCCAGCTCATCTGGGCCCTGCCCACGCGGGGCCCGCCCTGGCCAGGCTGCAGCTCTGGAAGGCGAGAGGCCTGGGGTCCAGCCCTGAGCATGCGCGGTAGTGGGCGGCGGGGTGGCCGCGCTGACAGTGCCAGAGGCCCCTGTGTGCCGCCTCAGCCCCGTCACACACCCGTGACTCGGGCCGCTGAGACCCCGTTCAGAAACAAGTCAGGGGCTCCTGCACGGCTGAGCAAGGGCCTGACTCTGAAGGCCACGCCTGGCGCCCAACGCCGCCCCCAAGCACGTTCCACTGTTGGCCCAGGGAGCGCAGGGGAGAGGCCGCGCTGTGCGGGGAGCCTGGCCGTCCCGACCAGCAGGGATGCAGTCCCTGCCCGCCTGGGAACACACACGCCGGCGAAGAAGTCTGCAGCGCAGGCCTCCTTCCGCGGCCCCCGGGAGGAGCCGAGTCATGTGACACGGCTTGTGCAAGAATGCACTAGTATTTCTCAGCAGAATTTTTTTTTAGGGAAAATTAAGAGGCATTTGGTCAGGGTGCTGCTGCTGCTGGAGTATCCCGCGGCCCTTGGCGCTGAGAGGCGGTGACTATGTCCGTGGGACCCAACACCTCGAGGACAAACACACTCCATCTGCTTTACTTCACAAATTCTGTGAGGGCTTCCTGTTCATCTGGTAATAAGGGATTCACTTACAGACGTGTGTTACAAACACACACACGTCTAACACATACCTGTGCACGCACACACACGTGCACACAGGCACGCACACAAGATTTCAACGGGGGGAAAGCCCAAGACCGGGTTCCCATTGGTTACAGGTGTGAATGTTCGTATCTCGTTGGTGATGAGTCGCTCAGTCGTGCCTGACTCTTTGCGACCGCATGGACTGTAGCCCACCAGGCTCCTCCGTCCATGGGATTCTCCAGGGAAGAAGACTGGAGTGGGAACCTGTTCACTCCTCCAGGGGGTCTTCCCGACCCAGGGATTGAACCTGTGGCTCCTGTTGCATGTCCTGCATTGCAGGCAGATTCTTCACCACTGAGTTACCAGGGAAGCCTGGCTCCCTTGTAAGGGTGGTTAATGCCAGTGAGGACAGTGCCCCGAGCTGAGCACATGGCCCTGAGCCGTGGCTGCCCCAGGGACCCCTTACCTGTTCGCCTTTGTCTCCCTTGCTCCCCTTCTGTCCCGGCTCCCCAATCTCTCCCTGTGGGGAAACGGGAAAGACCCGTCAGATGGTCCAGTGACTGCTTGCACATTCTCTGCTCCCTGTTAATTAATTTTTCTCAGAGAGTAAGAACCATTTCCTCTCCAGGGGGACCTCTAACTTTCCTAAGATGTAACATTTCCATATATTAGTTTGATTTCCTCTTTAATAAGAGAGCTGGAAGAGATAAGACCTTGATTTTACACTTTGCGGGATTGTAGTAGATTTGAAAGTGTGGCAAAAAATCATAATGGAAATATTTACTTCGTCAAATAGGATGACAGGACAGTGTAATAAAGAACTCAATCACTATGCCTCCAGAACTATTAAAAACCCTCAGTGCTTCTGCTATGCCGGGCTGTCTTCCACCCTGAGAGGCCAGGCGTCAACACTGCAGAGGTGATAAAAGTCGGAAATGTCACTGGAGAGTTCTCACAAACGGGGAGCTAAACCAGAGAGCTGAATTCCTCTGATTTCATTAAGTGGAGAATACAATGCTACAGTAACAGCATCAGATTATAAAGCATATTCCTAGCGAAAGGGGGCCTTGATGATTCCAGTGGAGACATTTAAAAATAGGTCCTGAGTACAACCTCATTAAGCTCGGCTCCACAGATGTGGAATCTGAAATGCTTTAGAGTGCTTCTCCTTGCTCTGGCTGCCTCAGCAAATGTCTTTGGTGACATCAAAACTACACAAGAAGAAAGCACGGCCTGAGTCCCCTCGAGCATGTCAGAGACCTCATCTGTTACCGCTGTTTGGGAGCTATTCCAAAATCATCTGCTAACGCCAAGAGCACCGGATGCACAGTACGGGGTCCCTCTGTCCCCAGAGCCCCTACAGCGCCTGCATCCCTTGGTTTAAAAGGAACCCCGTCCAGCTCCGACCTGCAGACGCCGGCCAAGCTGGGCCATGCAGGGTTCCAAGATGGGGTGGGGGCTTCTCCAAATTCTTACCTTGTCTCCGTCTTCACCAGGGGGGCCCACAGGGCCAGCGGGACCAGGGAGCCCCACGGGACCCTGCAGACCGTCTCGGCCAGCTGGGCCTTGTGGACCTTTCTCGCCCTAGAGAGGAGAGGGGATCACTGTTCAAAGGCAGCTCCATCGTGCAAACATCCTGCCAGCAGCGCGTCCCCCGGCGAGAGACCCACAGGCGGGAAGCGGGCGGCTCCTGGGGAGGGACCACCCCCCAGGTCCTCACGGATCTGCCAGACGCGCCAGTGGCGGCTTCGAGTCCAGTCTTGTATCACCAGACCCGTGCACCTCTGTGGTTAACCCTCACCCATCCTGGGAGGGCCTACTCTCTCCCAGATGGGGAACAGAGGCTCATTCATAAGCAGTAGAGCTGGATGCTCACCAGGGCAACCCGATTCCGGGTCCAGGTGGGCGATCGCCTGAGTCAGTGGCAAGGGCGTCTGAGCTCTGGCTCTGGCCAACTTGCTCATTCTCACAATTTTCTACTAATACCACCCCCCATGTCCCCCGAGCAGGAGCAAAAGCACCTGCACACACACACGCACACACGCGCGCACACGCACGCACACACATGTGCACACACGCACACACCCATCTTCCTTTCCTCACAGTTTTGGTTCCCTTTCCTAACGGTCCCCTTGCTTATCCCAAATGACCCTTACTGAGCTCTTGCTCTATATTACCAGCCACGTGCGGCTGTGAGCGGCTGGCACCTTCTCACCCAAACCGGGATCCCCGACTCTCGACAGAACCGGGAATGGAACCGGGAGGGGAGGCGGACAGGAAAGCGAGCCGTCTCCCGGTCCCTGGTGGGTCTCACCGCGCCTGTATCCCTTCCTGCACCCTCTTCCCTGTCCTGCGGCACATTCATGCCCTGCTCCTCGACTGAGATCCCCCGCAAAGGCCCCTCCTCAGTTAAGCCAGAACAGGCCCAGGCAGACTGTGGCTCGGGTAGAGTCTTCCTGCTGACATGACACCTGACCTCAGCTTGGCCTTTTCTCCTTGGGCGGCTGTGCTGCAAATGTGACGAGCTTGCCACAGACGGTGCCACCCTGGGGGGTCTCTGCTCAAGCCCCGACTCTCCTGAAACAGCGAACCCGAGCCACGTCTGCCGGGCTCTGCGTGCCATGTGTGGGCTATGTGCGCTGAGCGACCGAAGGAGATGGGGCTCGGGCAGAATCCTGGGGGCTCTGCGTCCTGCGGGCCCAGGGGACAGACCGGACACCTCAGAACCACCGATGATGTGCCGGACAGGTCAGCCAGGCACCCACATGTCCAGCATGGTTCCCGTGCGGACTTCTCGGCCGGGAAGGCAACCAGGGCCCTATTGCTACCGCCGAGCCACGGGAAACCCATGAGGAAAACCACCCTCTCTAACAGAACTCAATCCTCACAGGTGTCTTCACTCAATGGGACATCATCCCAGGTAGCCTGTCCCCCTGGACCTCAGACTTCTGAGATTCGGAATTTGGAAGGGAGCTCTGAGCTGGAATCTTTGTCTCCATGGCCGACTGAATGTGAGGGCAGGTGGGCGTCTGCACAATCATGAGGCACATGTCAAATGTGGCTAGGGTGAGGGTTCGTCTGGGCAGGAAGGGGCGTTCGGGGAGACACTGGGGCAGAGGGGCTGGCAGTCAGCTTCCCAGGGCACGTCTGTCTAGACAGGAAGGGTCTCTAACCCCCTTCATGGAAGCCGAGGCGCCAGACGGGCGCCAGGTGTCACACGGGCTCGGCAGGTGTGAGGCGTCGGCTGTCGGGGGTCTGGGAAGGGGCTGCTTATCTTCTCATCAGGTTGCCTGTCCCTTCTCCACACCTGCCCCCAGACCCACACAGCAGGCACCCCCCAAATACCCACCTTGCCCCTACGCTGACCATCCTCTTGGGCCGGGCCCCAGGCCACGTTTGGACAGAATCTCCACGCGCCCCCACCCCCGGCCCTGGCCTGCATGTCCCAGGGCACAGACGCGCAGGCCTGACCAGGGAGCCTGGCCCGGACACTCCCCGAGCGCCCCTCCAGCTCAGACCACTCTGGGGAAGCATCTGGCAGCCCTTGGACCTCAACCGTGACAGCCAGGCACACATCGCAAACTTTAGCACCCACCCCCCCCCCCCCCACAGACCCCAGGGAGACGCCCAGGAGGACAGCCCATGGCAGGGACCAAGCTCCTCCAGGGCAGTACTCACAGGCGCGCCTTTCTCCCCAGCCGGCCCGGGGGGCCCCTGGGGGCCGGGTCTCCCTGGAATTCCGATGGGCCCGGCAGCACCGGCTGGGCCTCTCTCCCCTGGAGATCCCTGGGCGAGGCAAGAAAGTGGTTTATTTCAAAGGCTCTCCAGCTGCGTGGGTGCGACTTCCTGAAGCCCCACACCATCATACCACGTACCCCCTCACTCTAGAGCCTGCCATAGCTCCCCAGGGCCCTGTGTGAGCACAAACTATCGGGCCTAGACTTGAGGCTGTTTCTGAGCCCTTCCCACAATTCCGAATCCCTGCAGAGCGTCCGAGGACACCTCCTCTGTAAGTCCCGGCCCGGAGGAGCCTCTTCTGGAACCCTGGCACCTACTCAGACCTGTGGGCTCCGCCTGCCCCCGGGGTGCTCCCTGGCTGCCTGGCTGCTCCACGCTGTCTGTTTTATGGCGGAGGCTCTGGCCCTGGGCCAGCACTGACAGGTGGGCACCTGGACTAATTCTAGGGGTCCAGCACTGAGGGACCCCGGTTGCCCGGGAGGAACCCTGTTCCCGACCTTTATCAGAAGGAAGACAACATTTCACCTCACTTCCTCCTGCCTTCCCCATCATCCCCCCTCAAACGGCCCTTAACTCGGGGCGGGGTGTCGTTTCATGGTCCACCCCCAAACCCAGCCCGGGGCCGGGGCCGCTCCTGAAGCCCCCCATCTGAGCAGATGAGTGGGGGCTGTCGGATAGGCCCTGTTTTAAGGGGGAAGTGAAGCAGATGTCACGTTCCTATAGAGTCAGATAAGAGCGCGGGTCCGTGGGCACAGCCTCACGTGGCCCCGGAGTCCCCCAGACCGCAGTCCGCGGTCTCAAAGGTCTGAATCTTTAGGCTTCAGGTAGCTGAATCTCACGGTTGGGAGGGAGCACTTAAGGAAACAGCCCGGCTCTGGGGGCCGGGCCCCCGCCTCTGCTGGGTCACCTGTGCCCTGAGCGGCCTCGGGGGTGTGGACGGCCTGGCTCGGGGGCTGGAGCTGCGTGTGCCCGTCCGGTCTGCTCCAGTCCTGGACCCGCGCTGAGCACCTCCATGGGCTCGGGGGGCCCACTCAGGCCTGGTCCACACTCCCGGCCTTCCGAGTTCCCTCACACAGCACGGCCCCTCCCCGGGCCTTCGTCACGTTCTGGCCACATCCATCCCAAGTCCACCTCCTCCAGCACAGCCTTCCCAGGACCCCCGGGGGACCACCAGGGCCGGTGTGCATGCTCCCCGGCCCCGGGACCTGCCCTTCTGCAGAGCAGGCTTGGAGGAGAGTGGGAGAGGCTTAGTGCGGGGCCAGAACACTCACCGCGGGGCCTGGTGGGCCGGGGGGGCCTTCACTGCCTTTCAGTCCAAGCGCCCCCTGCAAAGCAACAAGGTGTGAACAGGGCACTGTGGAGGGTGGACATCCAACCATCCCCCGGCGGACCTCTCACTCACCACTGGACCAGGAAGTCCTCGGTCTCCAGGGAAGCCTCGCAGCCCGGGGGGACCATCTTTCCCAGGAAGGCCGGCAGGGCCAGGGTCACCCTGGAATCGGAGTCACAGGTCAGCTTCGAGTGATGCCCACGGCCCAGGTGGACCGGGAGCCGGGCGGGGCCTGGTCTTCTAGATCCACTCGGGACCTGGGCTGGAGTGGGGCTTCCCGGGGTCACGGCTTTAAAAGGAACCTCTGGGTCTTGACTTGCTTCACTGGTTGATGGGTCTGGGCGCTGGAGCATGGCCCAAGCTCACACCTGGGAGCCTGCACAGCTAGCTGGCCCCGGTGTGGTGTGGGGACCGACTCATGATCCGTGGAGTCCTGCTCCCCACTGCATCCTTCGGGGCTGCGGCAGCCTGAGCAGGGCTGAGGGCTTCTCGTGTACCCGGGGATCCTCGTAAAACTGGCTCAGGTGAAGAACTCCGTGGCCAAAGCATTGGAAGCTTTGCCCGAAATGGACTCGCCACTCAAGACACTCGTCTCGAGCCTGAACCACGTTTTCTGAAAGGATTCCCTGTCTGACCATGGACCTTCCCTGAAGTTCACTAAGGCTGTGATGTCTTCTAGGACTTTCTCTGGGGTCCCACGTGGGAGTGTAGGGGCATCCTTTACAAACTCAGCTAGCTCTCTTTATGGCTGAATGGCTGTCTCTACGTTATACACACACACGTATACGTACAAACACACACACATATACAAAAGCATGTGTATGTGTACTCCACCATACATGCCTGCACACATACATACGTGTGTGTGACCTTTTCACTCCTTGATTACTCTTCAAGTTTACTTTCCTGTATGTGGTCACGCAAAGGGTTGGAGAGCTTATCTCTCCTGAGTCCCTCACTGAAAAGCTGAAAGAGGCGGGCTAGTCGTCTTTATGCAAAAACTCAGGACGTTACGACCACCAGCTTGGGGCACCCAGTCTGGGGATGGATTTTTTTTATTATTTATTCTTTCACTGATGCTTTCAAATCGTGGTGCTGGAGAGGACTCTTGAGAGTCTCTTGGACTGCGAGGGGATCAAACGAGTCAATCCTAAAGGAAATCAACCCTGAATATTTATTGGAAGGACTGATGCTGAAGCTGAAACTCCAATACTTTGGCCTGATACAAAAAGCCAACTCACTGGAAAAGACCCTGATGCTGAGAAAGATTGAAGGCAAAAGGAGAAGGGGGTGGCTGAGGATGAGATGGTTAGACAGCATCACCAATTCAATGGACATGAGTTTGAGCAAATTTTGAGAGGTGGTGGAGGGCAGGGAAGCCTGGCATGCTGCAGTCCCTGGAGTCGTGAGGAGTTGAACACGACTTAGCGACTGAATGACAATTTTTCATGTCTTAAAGTGGAGAATTTTTTAAAGGGTCACTTTCCACTAACTTCAGTTTAGACACATGAAGTGTCAGAGTTCTGTCTGTTTCTGGGAATGGGTGGGCGGCCACTTTGGGTGCCCTGGGGAAGAGGTGGTCCAAAGCCCCCCATCATCTCTGTCTGGCCAGCTGGTCAGCTCAGGCCCTCCTTCCAAGTGAGCAGAGAGGAGCTGAGTCCCTGGTCTGAGGGGGTGCATTGGCATGAAAAGCAGCTGCTTGAGAATCACCCATTCATCAGAGAAAAGCAACGGAAAGACACAGAACAAGGGCCGAAACCATCCCCAGGAAAGTCCGCCCGGGACGGAGGTCCCAGCCACTCACCTTTGTCCCTTCTTTCCCGGCCAGGCCCGGGAGCCCCTGTTCACCGGGGGGGCCCGGGGGCCCAGGGTGGCCACGCTCGCCCATGGGACCAGTTTCCCCAGTGGGACCCTGCAGAGAAAAAGCGTGTCAGCAGGAAACACGTTCCAGGGACACGCAAGAAAGTAAACTTCTCTGCCCCAGTCTAAGGACAGGCTGGTTGCAGAGGTGAAGGGCCACTGCAAGCCCACCAGACCGCCGCCTTCCTTGGAAGGTCTCCTTCTGTAAAAGCCGAGCAAGAGCAAAGCGCTCCTGGGTGTGTGTTCACCAGCCGCTGCCCGGCCCTCACCGTGGTCCTGCGTGTCGTCCCCGATGGAGCCAGCAGGGCCTGCGCTTCCTGAGCCTCGGGGGGAACCCCCGTGCGGGGAAGGGCAGGGGGCGCACCCTCGTTTCCTGGGTCAGTATCTTATTTACCGCCATGTTAGGCGCGGACTTTCTGGGAAGCAAGGTGACTGCACCCCGCTTGGCGGCCCTGAGCCTGCAAGCCCATTCTCGCACAGATCCAAGGTTAGAATGGCAGCCCCGGGCACTGGATCCAGGGAGGGAAGTCAGGCTGCGTGGAGCCCCAGGGCTGGGCTGCCCACAGGGCGGCCCCCTGGCTCTGCCTGCTTGGTCGGCGTCACGTGATCACTCCCCCTCTGCTCCTGCTCTGCTGCAGGGAAAACACCTCTGAACAAGCGCTCCAGGCCTTGTGACGCCCCCTGGCTGCACCCGCACCCTGATGATGTGGGGATCTTTTGCCCCGAGCGTGACGGTCTCTCCCGAATGGACGGGAACCCGGGACGACCAGAGATGCCAGCGGGGGCTGTGTCTCACCTGAGGGCCGACCACACCGGGGGGGCCTGGAGGGCCGGTCTTGCCTTGGAAACCCTGCGAAGAGAGAGTCAGCCAGCTGAGACAGCTGAAGCGGCCGACAGAAGCTCACCCCCAGCCCCCACCCCACCCCAAAACAGTGCATGTCCCAGACTTCATTTAAAAAGGCCATTTCTCTTGTTCTACTTTGCATGAATTTAGGAAGGTCAGGAAACCAGACAGGTTCCTTTCACTAGCTGCTTCCATCACCCCGCTTTGCGCTGAGACATACACTCTGTAACTGCTCATCTTCCTCACATCACTAAGAGTCCACTTTCTGAGCAGACTTGGTGTCACAGCCACTGGAAACTAGACTCGGGAGCCACGTAGGGGCTGGAGCTCATTAGCGACTTTGCGGGGACTGTCCTGCTGGTGTCGCCAAGGCCCTGGGGCAGGACAGGCAGTGTTATACGGCACTGATTAAAATCTGGACGCAGCGGGGACCTGCCACTTCCACAGTGCGGCAGCTGGGAGGTATTCTCAGCTCGACTCAACAGGAATCGCTCGTTTCTGCTCCGCTCGCTGGCACAGACCCGGCCGCCTGGCTGCTCTGCACATGCTCTCCCCCAGAGGCGAAGCTGACGGCAGAGCACCGCGGGTTTAATTTCCGGCACATCCACGGAGCTCAGCACGTGCAGACAAGATGCCATCTGCAGGTGCCACGTGACGCTGGGGAAGACATGCAGATGCTATGCCCGGGAGGCTTTCAGTGGAAACTCTACAGCGTCCGGAGAGGGAAGCGGCTCATTTAAGGCCGCAGCAAGAGCTGCGGGGCCAGCTGCCCACGGGGCTGACAGGCAAGGGCCTCTGCCCCACCCCACGACAGCCAGCGAGCGTGCAGCTGAGGGACCCTTGATGCTCAGCCGCTGGACCGTGCAGACCCAGAGCAGAGGAAGCTTCAGGCAGAGTCTGGGAGGGCTCCCTCTTTAGGCCCAGCGGAGCTGCACGCACGGGCTGACATGGCCGCAGCCGAAGTAGCGTCCCCACAGGCGGCCTGTGTGTGCTCAGCCGTGTCGACTCTTGGTGACCCCATGGACTGTAGCCCACCAGTTTCCCCATCCATGGAATTTTCCAGAAAGAGTACTGGAATGGATAGCCATTTACTACTCCAGGGGATCTTCCTGACCCAGGGATCGAACCTGCATCTCTTGTGCCTCCAGCCTCGGCAGGCGGATTCTTTACCACCAGGCCAGCTGTAAAGCCCCCGTATTATACTAGATCTTAGCCGCAAGGCCAGCAGCCTCTACAGGGTCAGAAACAAGGCACGCTGGACAGATGGAAGGCGTCGCCCCTGCTCGGGGGGCTGGGCAGCAGTGCCCACGCGAGGGCAAGGAAGGCCTGACGTGTGGTCCACTGGGGGGACACCCACACCAGCTGAGGCCGGGATTCGTCTCTAGCCCCCTGTGACAAGCTGGCTCTGTGCTTGCGTTTAGGAGTTTCCAGTTCTCTAACGAAAGCACAGGTCAACACCCCAAGAAGGACCTCTCTGCAGGTCATCTGGACTGACCCCTGGAGGACGCAACACCCCCAGGCGGGTCCAGATGGGCATTCCCCTGCGTCTCTGGGGGCAGCCAGGCATGGCGGGGGGGGGAGGGGGCGGGAAGAACCTGTCCTACTTTCCCAGCAAAACAAGCGGCTTAATCACTCTGCCAGCTTCTTCCCAGAAGAAGGCAGAGGGGACAGCGCACACTGTGAGATGAGAAACCTTCCGTCTGGTCTGCTCAGGAAAGCATTAGAGAAAAATCTGCAAAGCTGGGGGAGTTTTAATTTTTCTCCATAAACAAAAGACCAAAGTAAACTCTGTTTATCGGCCACTGAGCACCAGGGAGAATGCCAGGACGGCACATTTAGAAGATGCTTCATCACCGTGAGTCAGAAAGGGACACGGGGATGTTTTTAAGCGGCACCAAGAACCTATTAAGTGTGCTGCAAAGGATCTCACTTCACGAGGGGACGGCTCCTCCTGGGAGAGTCCGTCAGAGGTCTCTGACCACACAGACATCAGATGCAGACAAAGGGGCCTTCTCGTGGGCCACCCTCCACCACCATGGCGGCCAGGAGGTCACTAAGCACTGTGAACCCCAACTATCCAGAGCGGGGATGCCCAAGGTCACTGTTGTGCCCACGCCCTTCCCAGGGACAGGCCTGGAGGGGACACAGCATGAAGCACGGTTGAATCCCCTGCGGCTCCTGGGACCAGGAAGTGATCCCAATGGTTTTTCTAGAACTAAAAAACGTAGGCGTCCATTAAGTCCAGCTGTCGAAGACTGTCGCGGATACTGCTACAGGTCAGGGCAGGGCCAAGGTGAGCATGTAACAGCAGAGACGCTGGCCCTGAGCACAGCCAAGGGCCCAAACTCCCCCGACCGGCCACCCGTACCCCTTACTGAAAAGGGGACTCAGGGGGAGCCGTCTGGCCCCCTACTGTCCCCCCGAGGCCAGAAGGGCTGGGACGGACAGGGCTGGGGGCGGCAAAAAGTAACCGGACAAGCTGGAAATAAGGACCTTCCCAAGGAGCATCCAGTTCAGACACGCGTGGTGTGCGCTGGGCCGCTCTCGGACCCTCCCGGAGGAGGCGGAGGCCACTGCTCTAGGTTTTGTTGTCGTCACGATAGTTGCACGTGTGACCTTGGGACAGGCTGGCCAGGACGGCTTGAAGCCAACACCTACCCTCACACACAGAGGCCAAGGGGCGACTTGGAGGCCGTGGAACTCCGTCCAGACAGGCCGCATCCCGCAGCCACAGGAGCCAGCCGGCCCTCGGGGGGCTTCCCAAGGTGGAACCTCAGCCCTGCCCGAGCCGACCGGCAGCGAAGGTCGCGCGCCCACATCCCCCGGCCCTGCCCACACTCACCGTCTCGCCTCGCTGTCCGGGGTGTCCCGGGAGCCCGTCCTTGCCTGGGGGCCCCTGCAGAAAACAAAGAAAAGAAGCGTCATCTCATTCCGAGACGCGCACCTTCAGGGCTTCGTGCCACCCCAGGGGACAAAAGCTACCATTTCATTTCCAAGGTGATGACGGCCAAGTCACAGTGACAAGCACTGCTGGGTGCCTGGGGTCTGGGCACCGCCCCCTTGAACCCTCACATCCACCCGGAGGTCACTGTCGTCACCCACGGGGAGAAGCCAAGGCATCAGCTGCCCTGAGGCCCGAGTGCGGGAGGCACTGGGCCCAGGTCCGTGCAGTGCAGAGGTTGAGCCCCTTCCTAACCCCCGCGCCCACGAGAGTCCCGATAAGCAGCAACTCCTGCGATTAGGGGCTTGTCCTTCTCAGAGGAAATACACTGTTATCTGTTGCGAGCTGAGCCATGCCTCTCCCCACCACCACCAGAAACAATAGGCTGAGGTCTTAACCCCCGGAAGCTGCGACCCTGGCCTCATTTGGGAACAAGGTCACTGCAGACGGGATCAGGTCAAGGTGAGGTCTGGCTGGGTTAGGCTGGGCCCTCATCCAGGGACCAGTGGGTAGAGACAGAGAACGTGAGACAGAGAAGAGAGGAGAAGGCCAGGCGAAGATGCAGGCGGAGGTGGGTGTGAGGGTCCACAAGCCCGGGAGGCCTGGGGCTGGGAGAGGCCTCCGGGGGAAAAATCGGACCCCGACTCCGGGAGTCCAGGCTCTGGCCTCCGGACAGGGAGAAAACGCGTTTCTGTGGTTTTGAGGGGCTGGGCTTGTGGCCATTTGCCCTGGCAGCAATACCACCCTGTCTCAGGGCCGACTGGACAGTCGTGATGGTCTGGATGACAGAGGGCTCCACGTGCCCCAAAGCTGCCCCTCCAGCCAGAGCTCCTGGGCTGGCCTCCCTCCCTGAGCCTGCTGCCTGGAGGCCGGAGCCCTGGGGAAGGACCAGCATCTCCGGGACACCCTGGGCCGGCCCCACAGGGAAAATGCGGTACTCACCGGGGGGCCCTTTGGTCCAGGGAACCCCGTGGGTCCTTGGGGTCCGTTGGGTCCCTGGGGACAGACAACAGCCGGTATGAGGACAGACATCTCCCCAGCACGTGGGCCCAGCAGCCCCACCACCGGATCTCTGAGCACAGGCATGGTTAGCCCTGCTCCTCATGACTTCTGAAAAGCTCTTTCCAGCCCTGCTCTCGCCGATGTGAAAAGGAAGTCCAGTCACACAAGAAGGTCCCTCGGGGCAGTGGGGGGCCCAGGACTCAGTTTCCTGACAACTCAGCCACCTCCCCAACCCCAAACCCCAAGGCCAGGGCCAAGGGGATGGGGTCGCCACCTCCAACCAACAGAAAAGACTTTACTCCCAGGGAAGGCCACCTCCAAGCCACCTCTGGATTTCAGGAACCACCCTCCTTCTCCAGGGTCGAAGGCGGGCTGTGCTCTGCCCCACCCCACCCAGGAAGACATGCTGGGGGCCGCTGAGGGCAGGCAGCTCTCCTGCAGATGCTCCCGGGGCGTCCTGGACGCGTCCAGGTGCTTACCCGTTCACCTGGAGGACCGGCCGGGCCATCACCTCCAGAGTTGCCCTGGGAAGGCAAGGAAAGAGCAAGAAGAGTTTATCATTACTATTTCTGTCATTACTGTTTTTGATGGAAAGACTGGCCCAAGACATCATCACAGGTGCAGAACCGCCTAGCGCCCCTGCGCCCTCTGGAGTCACCCCGCCTGATCCTCCGTACGGAGCAGAGCGTGAGCCTTGGGCAGTTCTCGCCTCTGCACACACCAAGCCGGCCTTGCCGGGGCTGGGATGCTCCTAGGAGAACGCGCTGCTGCTCTGGGACAAAGGCCAGGCTCCCATCAGGGGCCAACGCTCACGGGGACACGGGACACAGCCTGCGTCCCGGGGCCCACCCAACAGCAGGCAACAGCCGAGCGTGAAGTCAGCCTCCTGGGAGCGTGACTGGGCCCAGAGCTTGTCACGGAGGGGCTTGGGCAGCCCCCGGGCCAGCTCTGCCCGTGCCTGGCTCTCCACCTCGGCCAGCAGCATCTCTTTCGCAGCAAAGTGCAGTGGGATCACGCCCTGCACAGGCCAGGACAGGACGGCCTGCTGCCTGGCTGAGGTCTTCTTCCACGCCGACTGGAGGAGTCGGTGTCAAGGCCCCAGGGCGGGAGAAGAAACCTTAGAGGCGGGCCTGGGCTCTTGCAGGGACGGAAAGAACTTTCTTTAGAATTCCGGCAAGATGTCTCTTCCAAAGCCCTCTCCTATAAGAGAAACGAGGCCTCCCCATCACAGCTGGGGGGACATTGGTCCAAAGCCTGGCTGGGCCTGACCTCCACACTGCGGTGGCCCCAGGTGGCCTCTGTGATTCAACCTCACCTAACTCAACCAGCTCCTTCTTAAATATCCCCAAGAAATCTTCTTTCATTCTTTTATTTTTTGCAGTGGAGAAGGCCGTGGGGCCCCCTCTGTGGGGGTGGACAGCATCAACAACTCGGGGTCAGGCTGGGGCCGCAGAGGAGACCGCACACGCACCTTAGGGCCAGGCTTCCCGGTGATGCCCCGCGGGCCTCTTTCACCTCGTGGGCCCTGGACAAACGGAAGAGAAGACAGGTGGGCCCCAACCCTGCGTGGGCAACGCCTTCATCCCCGCTCCCAACAGGCAGGCGCCCCAGCACCCACGCCCAGCCTGGAGGCCGCCCTCCACCCAAGGTTACCGTCGGGCCTCGCTGCCCCCGTGGTCCCGGCTTCCCAGGGGTGCCCTGCAATCAGAGAAGGGTGTTGGTCAGTCACGTGGCACGCCAGCCATTGCCTGGGTGATGCAGAGACTGCTGGAAGTCAAGCTAGAAAGGCCCACCCCCTCATCTTGGCTTTAAAGGCAGACGTGTCAGGGTGGCAGGTGGCACCGCTCGGGCAATGCACACAGCTTCACGCGTCTGAATGAGGGTCTTCTGAAACCCTAGCTCCCTCTGCCACCTGAGGGGTGTTTACCTCTCTTCTCTGGTTTCCTCCCCTCAAAGCACTCACTCCCCCCGCCTCCCCCTCCTCCAACCTTCCCTCTTCATCTCTCACAGCAGTCGGGGTGGGGGGGGATCATTATTACAAGAGGAGAAAGTCAACCCCTTTCATACATAATTTACTTCCGCTACAGTTAAGGATATTAGCCATTAAATTTTCAACAGGCTCTGCAGACAAACAAACTTGCAATTTAATATATAAATCATATATCCCAGAGTCATTTTCTTCTCTTCTAATAGAATTTAGACTCCTTCTCTCCGTTGTTTTGCATTTTCCAAACCACGGAAAACAAATGCACTGCAATTTTTTTTCCCCAAAGCAAAGACATAATAGCTCTAAGTGCAGTTTACCTACACGCGTGCAAGTAACGGATTGATCGGGGCCCTACATCTCCACTGCGTCTCCATTCATTTTCCGGAGTTATTTTTTTTCCCGGTTTCTAACGACAAAGCCCAAGATGGATCTGCATTGCTAAGGGCCACCTGATACATCTCCTCTCACCATCTTTCACTCATTTGCTGCCAGAACCGAAACTGCTTTCCAGATCCTCCCTTTTTGAAAGGAATTTAATAAAACCGTTTATGATGATGAGGTAATTACGATGCTTTTAAACAATGCACGCTGGTCTCACTGCTTTCATTAGGCGGCGGTATCTCTTGGCTTCAAATAAATATTTGCTGATGAGAATTAATGAAACATCTGCTTTCTTCAACCGACGGGCTCCCACCAGCGGGAGACCGTGGCCACTCCGGTGACTCCTGGCGTCCGCGGGTGAGTCCAGAAGGCATGTCAGCTCATGCCAAGCCTCCGTCCAACAGCACGGCCTGGATCACGGTTCTGATCTTGCAGCCTGACCAGCTCTCGGTTCCAACCTAAACAAACTGCCCCAGCCTCAGCCTTGGATTCCGCTGGCCTCCCAGGCGACACCAGGCTTCCCAGGTTTCCTCGTAAATGAAGCCAGAGCCTGCATCCTGGTGATGGAGGCCGCCGGACAGAAGATGCCCCACGCACGGCCTCCTCAGCGAATCTCCTGTGAGCGCCTGTCCGCGTGGCCTTGCAGGGGAAGCAGGGGCCCTCCCAGAACTGGCCTCACTAAAGTCGAGATGCCCTAAGCTGGTGATGGAAGCTTCCGATTGCTGGTAGCGTTGCTAAGGGGCTGGCTCTTCCCAAGCCAGTCTGGCAGGGACCCCGACTGGGACCAGGGTGCAGGCCAGTGACAGGGACAAGCCATCAGCTGGTCACGTGACAGCCAGCTGCACACGGACCTCCCAGCCAGTGGTCCGCCAACCCAGCCAGCCCCTCCAGAGAGGCCAGGACGAGGCAGATGGACGAACACCTGCTGGCTCTCAGGCAGCCTGCACACGGGGGCACACAGGTGTCAGCACACACGCCACCCGTCACGTCCAGTATCCCAGCCCCCAGATGCATCTGCATAAACCCCGAAGTAGACAGTTTCCTCGAGGTGTCCAGGCTTCAGGCCCCGGGAACCAAGTCAGACTCTCAGACCAGGAGTGAGGCCCTGGTCCGAGGCCCCCTGCTTCCCAACCACTCTTTTGCAGTGATGACCTCGGTGACCCGCCTGCCAATGCCCTGGAACAACGCCCTGTCGGGGCCGGGGGCGTCTGGGCACCTGCCCAGCCTTCTCAGCTCAGGGGCGGGGCGGCTGAGGGGCGGGAGAGGGGAGCAGGGCTTGGGGCGGAGTGCTGGTCCCAGGGCCACGATCAGGCCTCCGCGGCGTCCCCAGCCCGGCTCCTCCATGCAAAGGGGCGGCAGTCACATCACAGGCCCCTGTTAGTTGTCGTGACCCCTCCTGGGGATCCTCTCGGCAATGTGGTGTGCAAGGCCCTGTTCTCCAGCACCAGGGCTGCCGAGGTTCCTCTGCTTTTAGAGACCCTGGACTACTTTCCACGAGTGACCGCCTTTCCCCAAGACGCTAGTCAGACTGTCCCCACCAGGAAGAATGAGACAGATAGGTAGGCAGGTGGGGGACAGACACACGGACAGATGTAACTACAGACACGACATAGATAGAAATATGTGTAGACACGTCCAAACACCGACACACACAGATCAGGGTCTCCCCTTGGCATGCGGTCGACCTGCACTCAACGTTTTCTCTTTCCTGAGTCTGGCAAACACATCCATTTATGTGGACTTTGGTTGGCTTTAGGTCTTCCCCCGTGCTTTCAAGAGATCACAGTGTCAGCTCAAAGACAGCAACGGTGGTTGGAGTGACCCCTCAGCGGGGGCAGCCTGTCCGTCTGGGTGGGGAGGACCAGCCCAGGCCTGCCCTGCACACCCCACACGCCTTTGCTCAAGGCCGCTCAGAGTCCAAAGGCCCAAGAGGACCTTTTGATCCTGTTCAGCCGGAGCAGTTGCTCAGGCCACGCTGTGTGGTGCCCCTGAGCAGATCTCAAGGCAGTTCCCGCCGGAGGGCCTGGGCTGGCGAGGCTGGGGGGACGGCCTGGGCTGGCGAGGCTGGGGGGACGGCCCCCCAGCCTAGGCCCTCGGATCACCTTCACACTCGATGACAACGGAGGGAAGCCAAGCCCGCTGCCCCCCAGAGGGTGTCCAGTGTCGGCGGCAGCCCGGGAAGATGGGAGGCACCTGGACCCTGGACGAGGGACTCGCTGAGACATCAGCGTAGAGCAAGGGCCCTTCCCCGCCTTTTAAAACGAGTCACTTGAGCTGCAAGGGAAGAGTCTGGGTTTCGCCAGTGAGCCGAGAGCGGCTGCGATCGTGGCAAGTGTGAGAAAGCGCTGTGTCCTCCACACGCCCCTCTCTCTGGCCGGCTGCCTGATCTACTGCACTCCCGCCCAGCCCAGCGTTCCGAGAGTCACCAGCGCTTAGTGTAAAGACTTAAGGTCGGTTGTTCCGGAAAGCAGTTCTGGCAGCAAAGTGGGTGAGAAATAAACAGGGTCTGCTGGAGAACAGACTCACTAAATACTGAGGCAGCAGAACAAACTGCCTGGGCAGAGGCCAGCCCGTCCTTACCCTGCCGCCCTTTTCTCCGTTGGCGCCAGGAAATCCAGGAAATCCGATGGAACCCTGCAAGAGAGTTCACGAGGGAAGAAACCTGAGAGCCTGAGCAGGGACAGCTGTGTGCCGGTGCCAGCCGGAGGACGAGCCTGCCAGAGCTCTCGGCCCCGGAACAGACTCCCCACCACCACCCACCACTCGCCACCCAGCCGTCCACTGTCCACCACCCATCCACCCATCCACCCATCTACCCACCACCCATGCCTCCATCCACCCATCTACCCACCATCCATCCATCCACCATCCATCCATCTACCCACTACCCATGCACCATCCATCCATCCATCCAACCCCCCACCACCCACCCACCCATCCATCCATCCATCGTCCACCTATCTACCCACCCACCCACCATCCACTCATCTACCCACCATCCACCATCCATCATCCACCATCCACCATCCATCATCCACCATCCACCATCCATCATCCACCATCCATCCATCCACCCACCCACCATCCATCCATCCACCCACCCACCATCCATCCATCCATCCAACAAACCACCCATCAACCTACCCACCCACCTCCCACCTCCCCAGTATTTCCTAAGCATCTCACAGACTCCAAATCTAAAAATCAGAACTAAATCTTAACCGTGCTTCCCCTTCCCCCCTCTCTCCACACCCTCCTCTCACACCCATGTCTGCAAAACACTGGTGTTTTGGGAGAAAAGAGCATGTACCCACGATTAACTGGGGGAGACGTGTGAATCTCACATTTGTGACATTTGCTTTTTGCGCCTTGTTGTCATGTTTTATCTTCTCAGAACACCTCTAAATAAAGCATGGCAGCTTACAAAGTCAAAAATGAATGCAAATTTATGCACCAACCATGGCATCGCATGGCTCTTTTAATTCTAGAACTTTACAAGGTACACACAGGCAGGTAAGCATTTAAGAGCTTTGATTGGACAAACATCCAAACACCTACTATGTGAGCTCCCGCTGACCCTGTCTAAAGAATTTCCTGAGTCCGTCTCTACCCTCCACCTGACTTAAAACCCTGACCTGAATGTATGCCTAGACCAGGACAAGTTTACTGATGCTACCTCTGCCAAGGGGCTCAGCTTGGCCAACCCACCCGTGTGCCGCCTGCAGATACAAGGAGGAGACTGGACCGAGCTCTGTGGCGGGAAAACCATGGGTGCTGGCTTCACGGCTCTCGGCTAAGGAGCGGGGTCTCTGCCCCCAGGACCGTCCAAACTGCCCAAGTAGCTTCAGGGTTCTCCCCTTGCCTTCACAAAAAGCTGCGTGAACTTGATCTATACCCCCCACCTCGTCTCTCCCAAACTCCTCCTTTCTTTCCCTCCCCCCACCAAATGGACACACATTTCAGGAGAGGAAACGTGTCCATCAGGGTTTCTCTGCACAAATGCAGCGGCCAGCACTACGGTCAGTAGGCACATCGCTAACAGACATGAAGCAAAACTGTTTCATGGCAGATGATTCCCTCCCGAGTGGCGGCTGTGGGCTCACCCACCCGGGGGGAAACGTGCCGCTCCCCAGGGAGGACTGCTGTGGGCACTGCCATCAGCTGTGTGGGAACACCGAGAGCTGCAGCCCAGCCCGCGGACCCTGCCTCTCCTACCAAGGAGGGCGTCCGGAGGCTTGAAGCCGGAGGAGGGCAGGATGCGCAGACACAAACCTGACAGGTCTGTGAGTTCTCTTTTGCTGTTAATTACATCTCTAGTGCAGGCAGCTGGCAAATTTTTAAGGAAGAACCATGAATAATAAAAGGTGAGACAGAAAAAATGGTTTAAGTGATTTGCAAAGCCTCAAGGAGCTGTTTCACATAACATAAAACATGATTTCATATAAGAAAGTTTTCGTCTTTCTTTTACGCTCAGTTACGAGCAAATAACCTCTGAATTTCCAGGGAGAATTAACTCTGAGGGAGGTACACAGCTCTGGGTGTGGAGAAACCAGTGCACAAAGTCCCTGAGAGGCCAGGGGGACTGGAGGTGCAGCCCAGGATCTGCTGGGTGGTCGCCTCTCTGAAAGGCTCACCTAATTCTCCCGGGCCCTCCTTCTGACTCAGCCAAGTCACTGCAGAAGGCTGTGAGTGGGGCGGAACCGGGACACGGCCCCGTGACCTCCTGCTCTGTCAGGGCAGCTGCGCGGGGGCAGGTGTGCGAGGGCGTGCAGGGCGTGGAGACGCCCGTGGTCAGGCCTCACCAGCCTGTACGTTACCTTTGGCCCCTGTCTTCCTGGGTAGCCTGGCAGTCCTGGGACTCCGAGTTTGCCCTGCGGAGAGAAAGGAGGTGCGTCACGAGCCGGCTGGCCCTGCTTGGAACAGAGAGGAAGCCGGCGAGTGTCGGCAGGGGGACTGGAGCAGGGTGCGGTCTCCATGGCCTCCAGAGAGAGCCTGCCTGTCCTCCTGGGATGGTGTCTCCCCCAGAATCCCTGCATGGTTTGGCGCAAGGCCCCTCGAGCAGGAGTGGACACCCCTGCTGAAGCCAACGGGTGGAGGCTGATGCCCCGCGTGCGGGAAAAGCGCTCTCTGTGGGGTTTTGCTCAATCCTTCTGTCGGAGCGCCCCAGCCTTGGGGCCGGACAGGGTGGGGTGTTTCGGCTACTTGTGAGCCGGTTCCTGTGTGGGGGCTGGGGTAGGGGGTGGGAGAGTGAGATGAGGGGGCGGCCCCCCCACAGGTGTAAGAGCAGCTGTCAGGAGCCCCGGATACCAGCTCTGAGCTCAGCCAGGAGCTGAGCCAGAGGAGGGGACGCCCCCAGGAGCGGTGCGGTGGCCCAGCAGTATGCACACCGGCCCCACCCAGGGCGCCTGGACGCCCCGGGCCGTCGGGAGGGCTGGTGCCCGGAAGCAGCCCGGCTCCCGCGTCACGTACCTTCTCCCCAGGGGGTCCCAGAGGACCCGGGTCGCCGTTCGGACCACCTCGCCCCTTGGGGCCTTCAGGACCGTCCTCCCCTCTGGGACCAGGTGGGCCAATCTCTCCCTGCAGGTGAGAAGGAGGAGATGAGGGTATTGCCCACAGACTGCAGTCCGTGGGGCTGCCCCCACCGTCTGGGAGTGAGGGGTGGGTGGCAAGCGTCGCTGGGCCGGCTCAAGCAGACAGAGCCCCGGCCCGGCCCCGGGAGACCAGGCGCTGCTGAGCGGCCGCAGCCCCTCGGCGCCCACTCTCAGGCCCACGGCCTCCTCTTCCCAGTGACCTCCAGTCGAACACCTCCTGGCTGGACTAGAGGCTCTGAACTGCTATTTCCCCACCAGGCAGGGGGCAGCTGCCTTCTTCTCCTGAAGACTCGGGAGGTGCCGGAAGGGCCCAGGAGCCCGGCCAGACTGCAGCCTGAGAGTCAGCGCACACGGAAGACCCACAGGCTGTGTCCAGAGACCGAAGGGTGAAACGCCGCCTCACCAGCTCTGCCAGGTGCAGGCCGGGAGGCCTGAGCCACAGTAGGAAGGGGGCCCTGGGAGCCGAGCGAGGGCGGCAGCGGGAGCCCAGCCCGGCCGCAGAATGCCCGCCTGGCCTCGCCGTCTGCGTGGGGCCCTCCTCTGATCCCCGGAGCCCAGGAGCGGCTGCAGGACAGCTGTGCAAACCACCCCCCAGAAACGTGCGCGGCAGGAATAAAGCCGGCTAACGGCTCCCTCGTTCCTCGCCCCGAGCTCTCTGCAGGCCGGGGACACTCTGTCCCTAAGAAGCGCTTTGCTCACTCAACCCGAGAATCCTTCCCATGTTTACTGAGCCCTCAGGAAATTACGAAATGCCAAGTATCGGCAGAAATGCCTCTCCAGGAGAAATTAAGATGGAAGAGGCCCCCTCCCAGCCCCCCGTCCATCCTCAGCCAGAGGCGAGCCCAGGGCACAGCGTGTGACTGGGGTTCGACTCTGGAAAACGTGTGCCTCACGTTGTTGGAAAGGAAGATAAACGGGGCTTTCACCAGCCAGACAGCGAGAGGCCCCTCAGATGTGGGGAGCCATCACCGTAGAGAAAATTCTAGAAGGGCTGTCTTTGGCAGCGGCGTCACTGGGACAGGACTGTGAAAGGAACGCCTCTCTGTTCTTCCCCTCCTTCTGACGGAGGCCCGGATCCCATCTGCCCGTCCAGCACGGGACAAAGCGCCACGCCACAGGCCCCCGGGTTCTGGCGGGTTCTGGAACGGCGCCTGCGGGCCCGCTCTGTAGGGGACAATCAGGGCAGCTGGCCACATGGCAGCCCCGTTCCCGCTGATGGCGTCCATCCAGGTGTGGATGCAGCTGCTGCCCTGGCGGGCCCCTCCGGGGGTGCAGGCCTCTGCTCCTTCTGGGCTTACTGGGGGGTCTCCAGGGTGTCCCCACAGCCGCAGGCAGCTGGCCTGCCAGCCCAGCCCCCCAGCATCACCTGTATCACCCTCCCTTCCACGGAGACACCGCCACTGGTTTCTGTGGGCACCTGCAGCGTGGCACACCCCAGCCTGCCTGCACCCCAGCCAGCTCCCCTGGAGCTGAGGCAATATATTCACTAAAAACCAGCCAGGCTGTTGCAGCCTCGGACAGCCCAGCCCAAGGTCCAGAGGGGACTATGGCGGGGTCTGAGGGCATCTGAAGAGGTGGTTGGTGGCCCAGACGCCCAAAGGGCTGGTCAGGGAGCCTAGGCCCCGGTCGGGGTGTGGCCCTGCTGGTGACCCGCCAGCAGTCTCTGGCAGGATGCAGCCCTCCCTGGCGAGCTGGGCCATTTCTGCGACCCCTTCTCTCTCCCGAACACCTGTTTCACTTCAGGAGCCAAAGGAAGTGCCCTGCAAACCAGGGGCGATGCTGGTCAGTCGCCCAGTCGTGTCCGACTCTTTGTGACCCTGTGGACTGCAGCACTGGCAGGGTACTGGCCAGCAAAAAGAAAGTCCCCACGGACCCCCTGATGGATACAGGGCAGGGAGGCAGGTGACTCCACAAGCGGGGTGGGACCAGGTGTTGGCTGCCGCAGCTCCTGGCTACAAGCTGAGGAGAAGCTGGCCGCTGCTGGTGGCCAGGAACTCCACGGAGGCCTCAGCTCCATCTTGGGAGGCCGCCCTGTGACCCCTCCCTGCCCCCAACACTCACCCGATCACCCTTGATGCCCATGTCTCCTTTGAAGCCCGGGAAGCCGTCTTCACCCTGCAGGGGAACCAGAGAGAGCCTCAGTCTGGGGGAGAGAACCCCCACCCGGCTCGCCCACCCCACGGTCAATGCTGGGTCGGGACTCTGAGTTCCCCAACCCGGCCCTCGGGAGATGTGTCCCTGTTAACCCTTTGCCTTCTGCGGTTCTGGCCGGCTTGCAGCAAGAAGGCTGCAGCTCTGGAGGCCTGGCTTCACTGTGCCCCCCCCCCCGGGCTGGCTCTGTAGACACCCGTTCCTTCGAGTCTCTGTCTCGTATGCGCATGACCGCAGGCCAGTAGCGGGTGACAGGTGGATTTGAGGAGGGGGAGACTGACAGAAGACCCCCAAGAGGGGCGGGGCCGAGACTGATGGCCTCGCAGGAAGGCCAGGAGCTCTCTGCCAGGCCAGGCTACAGAGGGGCGGGCGGTCGGGGCGCTCAGTCACCAGGTCCCAAGTTTCACGGGGAGCTGCATACACCGGCGCTGTTAGTGAACTGGGGGTTCACACATCAGTGGTCTTCCCCGGCTCTCAGCCAGGCCCCAGCGGGGGGGTGGGGACACTCACCTTCTCACCCTTGGTGCCCTTCAGGCCTCGGATGCCGTCTGCCCCCTGTGCAGAGAGGGAAGGGGAGCAGTCACAGCCCAGGCTGAACGCGGGCCTGACCCCCAACACCCGGGAGGCTGAGCGCCCCCACAGACAGCCCTCAGCGCCCCGGTCTCGGGAGAGAGGGTTCCGGGCATGCAGGTCCCCTCCACCCCCACCCTGCTCTCTTCCAGAAACACCCCGTCTCCCTTTGGCTTCGGGAGCAGGGGACCTGAGCTCTGAGCTGGGGCTCTAGATTCAGGCAGACGGGTTCAGGGCCCCCTCTGTAGCTTCTGACGAGGCCCCAGACTTCTGTTCACTTGGAAAGTCGGGGTGACGACAGCCCTCACCCCGTCCCTGCAGGTGATGGGAAGCCCTGGGGTCTGTGCCTTGCACACAGCAGATGCTCAGCAGGGCTGTGTTCCGTCTGACAGTTTTCATTCTCTATCACTATTAGTATTTGATCAAAATTATAACAGCGTTTAATAGCATTAATTATCACCGAGTAACACTGACCACCCCGTCCCTCTCATTGGATCGGCTAAGGACTCGGCTCATCCTCGTGCTGAGCAAGAACCATCAGGGCAGGACCAGTCCGAGCCTGCCGGACCAGGTGAAACGGCTCCATCCCGGGGACAGACTTGGTGGCCGCGGCCCACTAGCCGGTCCGCTTACCGGCCTGGTGCGGAACCCACCCCGCAGACTGCCCAGGCGGCCTCAGGCCTCCCGCCCGTGGGGCCCCGGAGAGGCCAGCCTTCCGCTGGTATCCGGCTGAGCCTGTGGCCAGCCCCTGGTGCTGCCGGCTGCCCTCTTGTGGCAAGAACTCTGCTCAGAGCCGGCAGCTCTGAGCCTGTGCCCAGAGGCCATGGCGGGCTGAGGAGAGCTGCGGAGGTGGAGGGCCGGGTCAGACAGACGCAGAGAGTGGAGAGCAGGCTCCGCCTGCACCCCGAGCCATCCCAGGCCGCGGTCTGCTCCCCGACAGAGGAGCAGGGACCCCGAAACCCCGATTTTGGGGGGAGGCTCTGGCACCTGCTCTCCTGCACCTTGCCCAGCAGGCCGGGAGGGCTTCCCTCCCCACGCCCAGACAGAAAGAAGAGGGGGAGACAGGATTGGGCGGATCCCTGCCAGACCTGAAGTTCTACGGCCTCAAGACCCGTCCGAGGCCGGGGCCGGGGACCCAGAAGACCAGGGCTTCCCGGCCTGACTCGGGGTCTGGATGGTTCTTTGTTGCGAGAGTGCCCAGGCACGTAGGGGGTGGAGCAGCCTCTCAGACCTCTGCCCCTCAGTAGACCCTGAAGTAGCCCCTCCAAGCCGTGACGCTCAGAAACGTCTCCAGGTGTCCCTGGGGGGAGACTCCACCCCAGGTGAGACCCCTGGACCAGAGCACCCACCATGGCCCCGGTGGCCCAGGGTTCGGGGAGGGAGATCCAAGGTCACAGAACGGTGGAGGGGCAGGGCCGTCGGGGTCACCATCTGTGAGGGCATGGAGGCGGACGGGGCTTCCCAGGCCTGGAGTGGATTCACATGGAGGGCTTCCACCAGCCCCCCAGCCCCGCGGGCTCAGCGAGGGGCCATGTGATCTCACAGTCAAGCCCAACAGACCCCTGAGAAAGGGGTAAGTTCGGCGGCAACCAGGGGATGCATAAAGGTCAGTGAGGTCAAAGATCTCAGAGGGGCCCTTTTCTAGGGAGGAAGGCAGGACTTGGGTGGAGGAAAGTAGAGGGCCTCGGTCTCCCAGGGCAACCGTGACACTTGGGCTGGCCTGCACCTCCGCAGTCACCGCCCTCTGGGCCTCGTCACGCCAGGGGCTCCGCGGTGTTCAAGCACAAGGGCATGAGAACCCACTAATCAGAAGACAGCGTCCGGCCTGCTCTCCCTCCCACCCTCCGCTCGCCCGTCCAGTGGGACGGCGCATGTCTCAGATGAATTCTAATCAGGCTGACAAGATAAGAGCATTCTCCGTGAGCATCTCAGAGTAGACACCTTTCTGGCTCACAGCAGCAGTGCCTCGCAGTTGGCCGTGGATGGTGGCTGGCACAGGCTCTTTGTGCAACTGGAATTTGTAAGATAAACACGCTCCAAGCTCACACAATCAGCACAGCTGCTATATCGCTGCCCTTGTAAACTCATCAGGCAGCGCGCGGGCCGAGGGCCTGCTTCAGAGAGCGACGCTGCCATCCAAGGCTCCCGACCTGGGGCGTCTCTCTGCCCCTGACCTTGGAACACCTTAATTCTGGGAAATGGGAGTTGGGGCCCCTTGGGGTCAGGATGGGGCACTTAGTTAGGGGTAAGCGAGTCTAGGAAGAGTCCTGACTGCGGCATGGATCTGGGGGGAGTTGCGGGGAGGTTCCTGAAAAATGAAATCTTGGCTTCTCCTTCCTCCACCCCGCGGGGTAGGTGTGCACTCTGACATGCAAAAACGCTCGAAAGCATAAAGGAGCGTGAACGACATGGGTGGGGACTCCAGAGCTTATGGGCGTGTTCACTCAAGCCCTCCAAGATAAACAAGATGTTTTCTACATACGCATGATCCTTCACATCAAATGACAGGGGTTTTGAAGGAAAGAACCACCCCTGGCTTTCTTGCGGGTGGGAAGCCTGAGACTGAAGACGCGGCAGCAGCCCCGCCCGAGACGGGGGTCTCTCGGCGCACACACGCCGGGGGACACCGTCTGCCGGGAGCAGGTTCAGGGAGCCGCCTCACTGAAGACCAGACTGCACAAGACAAAGCGAACGCAGTCGGCTCGGGGCGAACAGACAGCCCCGAATCTGGGGCGCTGGGGCTCCGCGCCCGTTTAACGAGGTTCCAGGAGCCTCTCGACAGGGTGTGAATAGATGGAGTCTCCCACGGACACACGCCCCAACAGCAAGGTCTGCCCAGGCTCCACGTGCAAATGGCCCAGAAGAAAATGTCCCAAACTTCCCAGGCAAGGGCCCCTAGCTCGTCGCTTGGGCTCAGGACAGCTGCCCCGAAGGACTCCAAGACCAGCAGGCCACTTAAAGGGGACCGTCAAAGAGCAAGAGGCCAAGGGGGCCCCGTGTCCCGCGGAAGGCCACCACGTGCTGCCCTCGCTGCCCCAGACGCCCTGGGGGGCAGGCCCTGCTCCGTGGGAGCCCCTCCCGGCCCCCGGGGCCCCTCCATCAGCCGCTCGGGCTCACATGCGGGGAGCCGATCGCCCAGACCAGGGCTGTCCCGGTGTGGGCGGGCGGGAAGTTAAAGCACCGGATCCCTAACACGGGCCCCACGGACCCCAGGAAAACCCCAGGCTGAGACGCTCACCTTGACTCCGCGAGGACCCGGGTAGCCGATTGGACCCTGGGGGCCGGGCGGACCCTGAAACCAGACGGGAAAGTGCGTTAGCCACACCTCGGGTGGATGACACGGGTTCACTCCGAGCCACCCCTGGGTCCTTCCAGCACAAGCTGGAAAGCGGGCCTGCCCCCAGCACACTGCCCTCTCGCTGCGAGCTGAGCGGATGGGTGTCTCAGGCCGGGCCTGCAGGAGGAGATACGCGGGCACTCTGCCCAGCTCCACAGGGAAGGGGAGCCCGCAGGGGGTCTTCTTGGGATGGAAACGAGCAGGGCAGGAGTCCCAGATCAGAGGGGCCCAGTCCCGCCCATCCTGAGGGAGATGCTGGAGGGGCCGGGGTGCAGCCGGTACCCACCTGCCCCCCCTTCTCTCCTGGAGGGCCTTCTTTGCCAGGGTGCCCCTGTTGGGAAAGAGAAGGCTGGCATTAGTCAGTGGCCACAGGGAACGCAGACCTCCTCCACAGCGGTCTCCAGTGTGAGGGTCAGAGCCCGGGTCCCCCGTTCCCCCCACAGCGCCTCGGTCCCCCGCCCTTTGGCCCCAACCCTCGGTGGCTTCATCTGTTAACACGAGAATGATGCCGGGGCGCGGCGACGGCAGGGGATGCGCTTCCAAACCCACAGACAGGCCCCAGCCCGCGCCCAGCCCGCGGTGGGAGGGGTCAGTGACAGCAAGGCCGTATGCTCACGGTCCAGCAGCACAACCACACCGGTGGCCAAGCAAGGACAGGGGAGGGGGCCAGACCCCCCAGGTGCCCCGGCACCCCAGGCGACGCAGATGGGGAGGGGAGCCGGCATCAGGGGGAGAATCCCCCCAGAAGCGCAGAGCGGGGGCCCCAGGAACTGCTCATGGCCCCGTGCTCACGGCCCCCTCCACCCTGGGCCATCAGTCCATTCTCAGAGATTTCACCTTCTCTGACTTTCAGACCCAAGCTGGTCAGTAAGTTCAGTGCCTCTGAGCGCAGGAGCCAAACATGGACGATAAAATCAAGCTGAGCCCTCACTGTCGAGAAGCAGGATCCCGCCCCCAGGACGCCAGGAAGAGAAGCCACGTGGCATGGGGTGAGGATGCTGGCGGGGCAGGCGGGGCAGCCTGATTCTAATCCTGGGGACCCCGAGCTGCTGTGTGACCTTGGGTGAGTCGCTTGCCCTCTCTGGGCGTCCTCTTTCAAGGGTGTATAACGAGAGAGTGGGTTGACTGCTTTCAGCTCGATCCTTCCCAAGTTCTAGGGCTCTACTTGTGGGACACAGCAGTGTTGTGGGTGCCCGGATCTCACCCATTTGAACACATGCTTTGTGTGTGTTCTTCATCTGCGATCATCGTGAACTGGATCTGATGCCACTGCAGACAGCCTGTGGCGGTGGCCGTGCGAGGGGGAGAATGCAGAAGTTCCTTTGTGGGGGGGTACCCCGGGAGCCCGTGAGGTCAATCAGGCATCAGTCAGACCATGCCTGCTGCCCGGGCCTGGAGGGGACACGCTGCCCGCCCTCCACCTTCCCGAGACGAGGCTCACCACCTGCGTCCCAGGCCGGCAGGGCTGCACCTAAATGTGTCCGGGACGGCATCCTGCCCGGCGGTCGCCGGAGGAGGGGGGTCCTCCTCCCCCCGCCACGTGGGCTCTTTCTGGGCCTTTCATACAGTTTCCACCAAACCTAGAATATCTCCGTGAAGGAACGGCGGTCACGGGCAGCTGTGTGTAGGGAAGGCCAGGCCCTGGACACAGACGAGTCCGGACCCCACATCTGGGGAGCGAGCCGACCCTCCACCTGGCGACGACCTTATTTACACGGTGGCCGTAAGGACAGGCCTGGGGACTTGCCGAGTGGTCCAGGGGTTAAGAATCTGCCCTGCAATTCAGGGGACTTGGGCTCAACACCTGGGCAGGGAACTAAGATCCCACAAGCCTTGGGGCAACTAAGCCTTCGTGTCACAACTGACACGTGTCACAACTGACCTGATACAGTAAAAAAAAATTAAAAAAAAACCCAGAGTACACCTGATCACAGTATTTTGGAACAGATAAAGGAGGACCGATCACTGCCATGACCACTGTGTTTTGGGGCAGTACTGGTTTTTTTGGGGGGTATGCCACACAGCTTTCAGGACCTTAGTTCCCCAACCGGAGAATGAACCCATGTTCCTGCAGTGGAAGTGCTAAGTCCTAACCCCTGAACCACCAGGGAAGTCACCACCGTGATTACTGCCATTGGAATGGAGGCCAGGCTTCTAAGCTGTGTTCCCAGGATGAGAGCCACTTTGTGGGGGGAGCATGGCGCTCACATATTTTCAGAGTTTGCAAGAGGAAATCCACCCAAGTCAGAGGGGCTGACTTCCCGCCTGAAAGGCCAGCCGTCTCCGCCCTCTTTCTGCTCGCCGACCTCTCCCCAGAATCCTGTAACCAGCAGGATTTTATAATGGCAAAGTAATAAAGCTTAAATTACGTATATTTGATATTTTCTGATTAAAAAAGTAATATATGTTCACTGTAGACAAATGCAAAAATAATAAAGCTTATTTGTATTTGATATTTTTCTGATTAAAAAAGTAATATATGTTCATTGTAGATAATTAGGCAAGTGGAAGAGAAAATTAAACCCCTTCATAACCTCACCACACACAGTAATGACGGCCAAGGGTGTGATGCGGTGCAGCTGATCTATTTGCTGTGCGCGTTTGCATGCAAAATTGGCATCAGAAGACGTATTTTTAATTTAGTATTATATCAGGGGCATCTCCTCCTGTCACTGAATACTTGCTGGAACTTGATTTTTCTTGGCTCTGTAATGTTCCCGTGAGCCCCTGATTCATTATCTGAACCCTGTTGTGTGCGCCTGGGATGACTTCTTGATTCAGAGCAGCGTCTGCCCTGAAACCTCTGACACTTCTCAGCGGCTCTGAAATCTATCTTCCCTTCGTTCTTAAACCACACCAAATCAACACAAAGGGGGGGAGGAACAAATCTTCTCTTTAAGGCTGCAACCATGTGATGCCTCTGTAAGGAGATGTTTCAAATCTTTGTCTCCTCCCGATTCACCTGTGACGACGGCTCCGTGTCCCTCTGCCTGCAGTGCTGATGTTCCCCCTTTCATCTTTCGCTTTGAGCATCATCACTGTTGACCTGGCACAACCACCCCCCCACCCCCGGCATCCTCAGTACACTTGTATTTTAAAGTGCGACCACTGATCGGGGGAAAAGAAACAGAAAACCTATGAGAGGTGGCCTCCTGACTTCCTGGGCCAGGCCGCCCTTAAAGGCCCCTCTTTCCCCACAGCATCCAAAAGGAATCTGGGGACCCTTCAGGGACTCTAGTTGTTGGGGCTTCAATTCAGGGAGGAGGACTCCAGGTAAGGTCAGGGAATCTTCCCGACATGACGCGTGCCAAGTCACGTCCAGCTCTTGTGACCCCATGGATGTAGCCCGCCAGGCTCCTCCGTCCGTGGGGTTCTCCAGGCAAGAAGACTGGAGCGGGTTGCCGTGCCCTCCTCCAGGGGATCTTCCCGACCCAGGGACTGAACCCATGTCTCTTACATCTCCGGCACTGGCCGGCAGGCTCTTTACCCCGGAGCCACCTGGGGAGCCCTCTGACATGAGGTGCCGTGGGAAATGCCCACAGACGCCTGACACTGAAGACAAAAGAAAAGCTGTGACCACAAGGGTGCACGTCCGCCTGCGCTCAGGGTTCAGCCCTCGAGGATGGGATCCGGCTGGCTTTCACACTGCCATGTTACTTCTTTTACTAATTTTCCAGAAGAAGGTATTTTATCATCAGAAAACAGTTAGGTGTCAATGTACGTGAAAGCACATAAAAGCCATGTTGCAAAATATTCTTCTCTTTGCATCAAACTCAGGTCAGAGGCAGAAGGCCCCCCACCCCCCAACCAAAGCAGCTCAAGCAGGAATGAGACTGTGATCGTTGGTTCAGATAAAGCGTGTGATGGGTGACTCACTGGACCAAAGGATTTTCAGAGAGAAAACAGGAAGACCCCGCCCCACGCCAGCCAACCACCAATCGATGGTTGAGGGGCTGAACTTCTCACTTCGTCTCTAATGGTGCTATTAACAGAGCAAAATAACTGTGTCTGAACTAATTAATTTCGCTAATCATTCTCTAAAACAGGCTCTCTACTTGGCATCAATTAGATACGCTAAAAATAACCCAGAAGCAAAAAGCCCATTGGCCACTCCCGCGGAGGCTGGTGGGTGCAGACAGGCCGGCGTTTGTCACCACCCCGCCCCCTCCCTCACAGCTTGGCCACAGACGGGTTTGTCCCTCACTGCCTGCTTCTAGGCGGCATCTACTTAGCTCCACAGCTGCGTGTGCACACCCGGCTTCCCGGTGCGTGATCGCTAAAAATACACGAGGCGCTGGCGACACACGCGAGGGCCCGGAGCCCAGCCCCGCCCTCGTTACAGCTGAAAGTGAGGGGCTGGGCTCGCGGGCGGCGGATGCTCCGCCGCGTGCAGTTACCAGCGCGTGACGGGAGCATGTCCAAAACCCAGTAATTCCTGAGCCATTGGATGGGGCTGCATCGAAGGAGCTGGAAGAGGCAACGTGGGCCAGGCAGGCAGCCCGCTCCAGAGCTGGGGAGGGGCCGTCTGCCTGCGTTCCCAGCCCCCACCCCTGGGTGGACACGGGCAGGGGCATGAAGGTTGAGGGGGCCAGGGTACTCACCGGGGGTCCGTCAGCACCGGGCATTCCTGGGAGGCCAGGTTTGCCCAGGGGACCCTAGAACAAACCAGAGACTTCATGAGCTGATGCCCCAGGGTGCCCTGGGCTGCCCACCCTTCTCTACACACCCCCAAAGTCACTCTTCAACATATCTGCTCAAAAAGCATTTGCTTAAAAAGGCTGCTCAGAGGCACCGCTCCCAAGGGCTCCGCCCAAAGACAGTGGACCCTCTGCTGTGTCCAGGGCCTTCAGGTTTGGCTACTGGAACAAGACCACCGCCCAGTGGGGACAGGAGCAGGGGCCGTGATGCCCTGAGAACTGCCCCTAGGAGGATGTCCTGGCTGGTGCCAGCCCGGGGGTGGGTTTACTGGGCACCTGAGGCTGAGCCACAGCCAGGCCAGGGCCCAGGCTGTCTCCCCAGCACATGGGCTCGGGGTGCCCAGGATGTGTTTAGAGCTGGCAAATTTAGCAAAAAGAAACACTACAAGGCAAACAAGAGTGCCTGTGTGCTGAGTCACGTCAGTCGTGTCCGACTCTTTGTGACCTCATGGTCTATAGCCCGCCAGGCTCCTCCGTCCATGGGATTGTCCAGGCAAGAATACTGGAGTGGGATGCCATTCCCTCCTCCAGGGGGTCTTCCTGACCCAGGGGTCAAACCCAGGTCTCTTCTGCCTCCTGCACTGGCAGGAGGGTTCTTTACCACTAGTGCCACCTGGGAAGCCCAACAAAATGAGATGCCCAGTTAAATGGATTTCAGACAACAGAGTTCAAATTAAACTGAGCATCCCGTTTCTGTTTTTCTTCCCGAATCTGGCAACCTTAATATCAACACATAACTACAGAAGGGAGGCAGGTGGGAGGGACGCAGGTCCACACCAGGGCCAGTGATCGGCGCCCAGGGCTTGGACACTGGCAGGCGCCATGCCTGCCGGGCTGGGATGCACCCCACCGTCAGGCACCTACGCCGAGCACAGCCCACCTACCTTTTCTCCTGGAGGCCCGATTGCACCCTGGGGGCCTGGAAGACCCTGGGAGGGGAAGAGCGAGCAGCAAAGGTCAGGGATTTCTCGACCCAGAACCCCTCCCCGCCGTCCCCCCATCATCCCCAGCCCCGTCCCAGGTCACCTCCCCCAGGCCGCAGGCCCTGCTGGCTGACCGGCAGCGCGGGGCAGGGCTCAGCGCCCACTCAGGCCCCGGGTGCTGTCTCCCAGCTCCCGCCGCCCTGCTCACTCACCTGGGCACCTGGGTTGCCCTGCTGCCCCGGGGGGCCGGGCTCTCCCTGGGGACCCTACAGGAAACATAAGCAGGCATTGAAGGGGGCTGTGGACACAGTGTGCTCTGGAGCACAGGTGGGAAGCCAGACCCGGGGCCCCCAGCTGGTGTGGGAGAGGGCGCGGCCACCCAGGGGGGACTCGAGACAGGAGCCTCCAGGGAAAAGATTCTAATCAGCTGAAATTCCCTAGGTCACCGTGTCAGCTGAAGTCTCCCCTTACAGGAGGCCCATGCAATGCATCTCAGTGGGGACTGTCAAAAGCCCCTGCCCTCAACCAGCTCGGCCGGGGAACGAGGACGCTGTTCCCCTGTGTCTCCCTCCCCCGGCGTGCTCAGGCTTGGGACGGGGCAGGGCCTCAGCCCGTGCTCTCCTGCGGGAGGCCCGCACCTCCCACATCTGTCGGGGTGGCCTGAGTCCCCCTCCCATGCCCTGCGTGGCTGCCCCCGCCACGAGGCCGTGGTCGGGTGGGATCCCCGGACTTACCACGTTGCCTTTCGGGCCTGGCTGACCGTCCATCCCCGTCACACCCTGGGTGGCATCGAAACAGAAAAGAATCAACAAAGCTCAACAGGCGAAGCCCCGTCAGCACGGCTTGGTCCCTGCCCACGAGGTCAGAGGGTGGCACGTCCTTCCTGGGAGGGGAAAGGCTTGACCCCAAATAAAGGCTGAGACTGGCTGCAGCTTATGGGGCTGCTGGGTTCGTTGCGTGGGGGCACCCTGCACTCTCGGACAGCTGGGCTGGGGCCGGCCCCGGGAAGCTGCTCCTGCACAGGCCCCTGCCTGCCTGTGGGCTGCAGCCTCCCTCCGGGGCTGTCCGAGGGGGTCCCGGCCAGCACACGCAGGGAGGAGACGGGCATCCCGGGGCTGCTGACGGCACTGGGCACCGTGTGTGCGGAAGGAGGAGTGGGCCCGGCCGGCCTCCACCTGCAGGCTCACGCCCGCCGGGCCATCCCCCCACGCCCCACCCGAGTGCTGGGCCAGGCACACGGCCGTCAGAGCGGGGGGCGGCCCGCAGGGCCGCGCGGGCACAGCTGCGGGCAGGGGCGGGGCAGACAGGCAGGGGACTTACGGGAGGTCCAGGAGGGCCTGGGGGCCCCTTCGGCCCCAGCAGACCTCGCGGCCCCTGCAGGAGGGAAGAGCAAAGAGGGTCAGACTCAGCCCGGAATCCCGGCCCCCTGCCCTGCACCCCACTCAGCCCCCCACTTCCCGGCGTCTCTGCGGCCCCGGGAGCGTGGCCGACACCCCTCCTCGCCTGCTTCCTCTGCTCACCCCACCCCGGCTCCCGGTCTGGGCCTTGGGGGCCAGGGGCGAGGCGGAGGCCAGGCCTGGTCGGGGCTCAGTCCCCATCCGCGGGCACTGCCCCACGCCCTCGGGAGGGTCACAGCGCGGTCACCACCTGCCGTCTGGCCGCTCCCACCCCCCCACCTGCCGGCGCTTGATTTCAAGGGCCCTTCATTCTGACAGAACCTTTTCAGACGCAGCACAAGAAACACCCTCCCTGCGTTCATTGCCACTTAAATGCTCTTCGCAGTTTTAATACCCAGTCACAGAAATGTTTGCAGGAGTTAATAACCCAGAAGGCATTGCCTAGACCCGGCTTAGAGGGGAGCGCTGTGGATGAGCCTCCTTGGGGGCTAAGCAGACACCTGGGGGATGATTCAGTCCCAGCGAGCAGGCGCACGCTGACCCCGGGGGCCCTCCATCACGCACCCCGGACGCCCCCTCACGCACCCCGACGCCCCCCTCACGCACCCTGACGCCCCCTCACGCACCCTGGGCGCCCCCCTCACGCACCCCGACGCCCCCTCATGCACCCCGGACGCCCCCTCATGCATCCCGGGCGCCCCCTCATGCATCCCGGGCGCCCCCTCACACACCCCGACACCCCCTCACGCACCCCGACGCCCCCCCACCCCCCCGGACGCCCCCTCACGCACCCCGGGAGCCCCCCTCACGCACCCCGACGCCCCCCTCACGCACCCCGACGCCCCCTCACGCACCCCGACGCCCCCCTCACGCACCCCGGATGCCCCCTCACGCACCCTGATGCCCCCCCACCCCCCCGGACGCCCCCTCACGCACTCCGGGCGACCCCTCACGGACCCCGGATGCCCCCCTCACGCACCCTGACGCCCCCCTCACGAACTCTGGGCGACCCCTCATGCACCCCGGGTGCCCCCTCACGCACCCCAGGCACCCCCTCATGCACCCCGGGCGCCCCCTCACGCACCCCAGACGCCCCCTCACAGACCCCGGACGCCCCCTCATGCACCCCGGACGTCCCCCTCACGCCCCCCGGACGCCCCCTCACAGACCCCGGATGACCCCTCACGCACCCCGACGCCCCCTCACGCACCCCGACGCCCCCTCACGGACCCCGGATGCCCCCTCACGCACCCTGATGCCCCCTCACGCACCCCGGACGCCCCCTCACAGACCCCGGATGCCCCCTCACGCACCCCGACGCCCCCTCATGCACCCCGACGCCCCCTCACGGACCCCGGATGCCCCCTCATGCACCCCGACGCCCCCTCACGCACCCCGACGCCCCCTCACGCACCCCGACGCCCCCCTCATGAACCCCGGGCGCCCCCCTCACGCACCCCGACGGCCCCCTCACGCACCCCGACGGCCCCCTCACGCACCCTGATGCCCCCCCACCCCCCCGGACGCCCCCTCACGCACCCCGGGCGCCCCCTCACGCACCCCGACGCCCCCCTCACGGACCCCGGATGCCCCCCTCACGCACCCTGACGCCCCCTCACAGACCTCGGATGCCCCCCTCACGCACCCCGACGCCCCCCTCACGCACCCCGACGCCCCCCTCACGAACTCCGGGCGACCCCTCATGCACCCCGGGCGCCCCCTCACGCACCCCGGATGCCCCCTCACAGACCTCGGATGCCCCCTCACGCACCCCGACGCCCCCTCACGCACCCCGACGCCCCCTCACGCACTCCGGGCGACCCCTCACGGACCCCGGATGCCCCCCTCACGCACCCTGACGCCCCCTCACAGACCTCGGATGCCCCCCTCACGCACCCCGACGCCCCCCTCACGCACCCCGACGCCCCCCTCACGAACTCCGGGCGACCCCTCATGCACCCCGGGCGCCCCCTCACGCACCCCGGATGCCCCCTCACAGACCTCGGATGCCCCCTCACGCACCCCGACGCCCCCCTCACGCACCCCGACGCCCCCTCACAGACCTCGGATGCCCCCTCACGCACCCCGATGCCCCCCTCACGCACCCCGACGCCCCCTCACAGACCTCGGATGCCCCCTCACGCACCCCGATGCCCCCCTCACGCACCCCGACGCCCCCTCATGCACCCCGACGCCCCCTCACGCACCCCAATGCCCCCCTCATGCACCCCGACGCCCCCCTCACGCACCCCGACGCCCCCCTCACGCACCCCGACGCCCCCTCACAGACCTCGGATGCCCCCTCACGCACCCCGATGCCCCCTCACGCACCCCGACGCCCCCTCACGCACCCCAATGCCCCCCTCATGCACCCCGACGCCCCCTCACAGACCTCGGATGCCCCCTCACGCACCCCGACGCCCCCTCACGCACCCCGACGCCCCCTCACGCACCCCAATGCCCCCCTCATGCACCCCGACGCCCCCTCACGCACCCCGACGCCCCCTCACGAACTCCGGGCGACCCCTCATGCACCCCGGGCGCCCCCTCACGCACCCCGGGCGCCCCCCTCACGCACCCCGACGCCCCCTCACGCACCCCGGGCGCCCCTCACGCACCCCGGACGCCCCCTCACAGACCTCGGATGCCCCCCTCACGCACCCCGACGCCCCCTCACGCACCCCGGGAGCCCCCCTCACGCACTCCGACGCCCCCTCACAGACCCCGGATGACCCCCTCACACACCCCGGCCCCCCCCACGCACCCCGGGCGCCCCCTCACAGACCCCGCACCCTGCAGTTCTCTCCCTGACTCAGGCTCAGACTCTCTCCAGCGCTGTCCTACTCACCTCCCCGTGTGCCCCCCATTCCATTCCCAGGAGTCCCCGGATTCGTCTGTCTCAAGGCTGAGCCCTCTCTAATCTGGGCCCTGAGCCGATACCAGAACATCAGGGAGAGACTCAGAATCCCGCCCGGCCCGAGCACTTACAGGCTCCCCGGGCAGCCCTCTGGGCCCAACCTCTCCATCGTCGCCCTGTGGGGGAAGAAAGGCAGAGGTTAGGGACAAGCCGTGCGGCCTGGGCCCCAGGGAGACACCTTTCCTTCATCTCTGCCGGAGTCTCGGGCGTGGGGCTGCTCCGGCAAACACCAGAGCCGACACTAGTCCTTGCGCCAGCAGGGAAGGCCCGCGTCCTCCTCCCGGAGGGCGAAAGGCGAGGTCAGGCTCACAGGCCACAGCCCCAGGGAGGGGAAAGCCGGGCAGAAAGCATCCCTGGTTACCTGTCAGGTACAGAGACAGACGAAAATAAACTGCCTGGCAGAAAGCAGACAGAGACAGGGAGATGATGGATGACAGATCAGATTAAAGACGGGCAGACAGATGGATGGACAGACGCATAGATAGATGAGAGACAAACAGGTAAGAGATGGGTGATTAATAGGTGACAGATGGAGACGTACATACATAGATACGTAGACGGGTGACAGATAGAAAGTTTAAAGATAGGAAGGTAAACAGATAACAGACAGACGGATGATGGATCGATGCATAGAGCGCCCAGATCCCCACACACGCGCATCAGTCTGCCCCACCTCCTGGGCAAGGAAAGTCACTTTCCGGCTCCCTCAGCCTCTCTCCCTGCCCAGACCCTGCGCTCCGCCCCTCGCGGCCTCCCTCAGCCGCTTGCTCAGATGCTGAGCTCATCAGCTCCCCCACGACCTCTTTCCTGAGATCACTCCCCAGGGGCAACTGGTCAAAGCGCTCAGGACGCCCACATCCGTCAGCATCAAGGGTCATGAGCTGCGTCTACCGGAAGCTGGGTGCAGCCCACTGACGCCCCCCCAACCACGCGGGTGCGCACCGCCGCCGGCATCCACAGTTTTCAGAGGAGACGGCAGCTGGCGCGCCCTACACGCAGCAGGATACGTACCCTTTCTCCATCTTCCCCCGGAGGTCCCGGTGGGCCAGACGGGCCAGGGTCGCCCTAGGAAGGCAAGCAGGGTCAGCACCAGCCCCCCGGGTGAACGCGCACAGCTGTCTCAACCCCCCGTTTCATCTCTCTCTGCTTCCGAGGCTGAAAATCCCACCCCCCTCCCGGACCTTTCCGAGAGTCACTTGGAAAACACAGAGCCTCCTGGCTCGTCGGGGGGCGTGGCTGCCTGGCGGGATGCTCCCCGGGCTTCGGAGTCCTGGTGGCGGGTCAGCTAGAGCGGCACCGAGGACCCCCGGGCGCCCCAGGACCCGCGGCAGGGTCTGAGCGGCACCCCGCCGGCCTCTCCGTGGGAAGCAGGCTGCACCCCAGCCCCACACGGCCCCCTGAAAGGGCCACTGCTTGGCACTCTGAGGGTCAGTGCTGGCCCGCCCGACACCCTGCACCTCAGGCCCTGCACTCCATCCGTGCTCAGCACGTGCCCGTCGCTGACCCGGCCTGATTGGGGTCCCTGGGGGCAGTGGGGCGCGCGGGCGCGGCAGCTCTGGCTAGAGCCCTACAGCTGCCTCCCGAGGCAGCACAGGCGTGATGGGTGACCCATGTGACAAAGCCAACACGTGTGTGGGTGCGCGTGTGCACACGTGTGTGCTGTACACACAGACAAGTGTCCGCAGGTCCAGGGTGTGCCGAAACATCAAAGAAGAATCGACAGCATCAGAGAAAACAGGTCAGGCAAGAACCGTCCACAGAGCTGCCGGGAGCATTGGCCGGGGGCACCTGAGTCGCGTCAGACGAGCCCAGCCGCAGCCCCCACCCCACCGCCGTCCATGGGGGAGGCCACGCGGGGAAGGCCATCCACGGGGGAGGCCATGCGGGGCCGGCCCGCATCCCGGAGTCGCCCCTTTACTGGTGCGGAGAGTTCTGGCCGGCCCCTGCAGGGCAGCTGCTGGGTTTCCTGACAGTGTGGAGGCCCCTGAGCAGAGGCGGCTTCCCGCTGCCTGGCCCCTTGAGGGACAGACCCAACTGGCCCTTTCGCCATCAGCGGCGGTGGAGAAACGGGCCCTCCGTGGGCTGAGCTCGCGTCCCCAGGATGTTCTGTCCATGGCCGGCCCCAGCCCCATGAGGCTCACGTAGCGACCACTCTGGGATCGAGAGTCTGGCCCCCGGGGAACCTAAGGCTGCCCCAAAGGGCCCTCACACGACTGCTCCCCACGGTCCCCAGACAGCAAACACTCACCCGGTGGCCCTTCTCCCCCGGCAGCCCCGCCAGGCCATCGAAGCCACGGTCACCCTGCGGGGAGGACAGCGGGCAGCTCAGCGCAGGCCCCACAGCCCCGCTGTGGGCCCCAGGCGGTGGTCCACACAGCATCTCACACCTGGGGCCCCCACTGGCCGCCCCCCAGCGCACCGGCCACAGCCCTGGGTCCATGTTCCCGTCTCTTTCCCCAAAACCCCAACCAAGGCCACAAAGAGACAAATGGCTTCTGTCCCAGAGCCACGGGCGGTGAGACCTCAGACGCAGGGCTGCAGAGTCTGCGTGTGAGCGTGCACAAGGGCTCCCGGGCCGCCATCTGCCTGTGCCTCTCACCGTGACACGCTGGGCCCAGTGCGGCGCCCGCACACGGTAGGTGCGCCTTCTTGTGCGGTGGGCGGCTCAGCACCGCCCTCGGGCCCTGGGGCACCCCGGCTCCCCGGCCAGCCCTCCCCCCGCCGCCCAGGGGGCCTCCCAAACCCAGCTGCCCGCCTCGTGTGTGGCAAACCGCACGAGGGGACGCTCGTTCAGCCTGGAATGCTTTTGCTATTGCAACAAGACAGTAACCTCCTGGGACAGACTCGGGAAGCTTCTCCTCCTTTGTCACCAAAGGTCCCTGAGACCAGGAGGGCTCCAGGTTCGCTCGGGGCTCACAGGGGGCACCTGGGGGCCGGCCCACGCCAGCTCCGGGGCGGGCAGGGGCAGTGCCCGAGAACAGCTGCCGTCCCCACTGTGGGCTCCCCGTATGGCCCTGGACAAACTTGCAGGGTGAGAAGGATGGGTACCAGGAACAGGGCCGGCCCACCCCAGATTCGGGGACAGAGGGACAGGCCCGCCGCACCACGGTGGCCGGGGGTCGTGGGCTGCCCTGGGCTGCAGCCTCCTCAGCCAGGGCCAACTCTGCCCTCAAACACACCCGAACTCCCCGTGAACGATGTCTACTCGCTCCCTGCAACCCCGAGGAGCTCGGACTCCCCCACCTGGGCAAGAGGACTTCCTGCCCTTGGACTTGGGTGACCCACGAAATTCAGCCCGCTGACACCGGTCCTCTTGTCCACGTGCCAGAGGACTGACCCAACCTGACCCTTCCTGCCCCCGGATGAGGGCACATGCCCTGTCTCCAGCATATTCGTCACAGTCGACGACAGGGGTGATGCCGACCGTGCGGGCCCCAGGGGGCGGCAACCGCACCTACCTTAGGGCCAGTCTGTCCCGGCATCCCTCTTGCCCCGTCACTGCCGGCTCGGCCCTGGAACAGAGCGAGGCAAAGTGTCAGCACAAAGGAGCGGCCAGCGCGAGGAGGACCCTGAGCAGGGCTGCCTGTGATGTCAGACAGAGGGCCCCACAGCCGCCGCCACAGGCTGGCCCAGAGGACCCAGACCTGCAGTCCCGCTTGCTGTCCACAGGCTCTGGTCTTCCCAAGCCTTACCATCCTGAACCTCAGAGCGGGCACGACCCAATTAACCACCTAAGTGTCCACCACGGACCACTGAACCCCAGCAGAGGTTAGAAATCTAAATGGCAGCCCTTTCAGAACTGGCCATGCACCCCTCTGCCTGTGGACCTGGGGCCTTGAGGGGCCGCCTCGAGACACCCGTGCTTGGGAGCCATTCACTCTGTAACGTCCCTTCTAACTCCGGTCGACTCCCGGGACGGAGGCCCTGGGCTAAGGAATGACTCGTTTTTTGCCTCGAGTGCTTTGCAACTAGAGCAGGAACTGGCAGACCAGTGGCCAGCGTTCCTTGCAGAAGCTCATTAACACGAGAAATGAGTATCCCTTTCACTCAGCAGAAACATTCAGTTGATGGGAAGATCCGCTAGTGAGAGTTTGATGTGGGTTAATCAGGATTTCCCGAGCTCGCATGGACGCTGTTCATTAATTTATGCTGGGTGAGAAAGGCGCGCACCCTCTGTCAGTCACCACAGTCACCTGAGGGAAAGCACTCTCCTCCACTAACACGCCAGGCCGGACAGAGTCCGAGGCGGGGGATAGACAGGGGCTGCAGGGGCGTCTGAGCAGCCACCCGGCCATTCCCCCGCAACAAAACCGAAGCCATTTCTGGAGAAAGGAGGCTGCCCCGGAGAAGGAGGGAGCACTGATCATGTTGTCTTTTACACGCTTGCTCCCAAAGACCCTGGGAAACCGCTTTGATTCAAAATGTGGGTTAACAGGGAGCTCAGCTCGGGGCTCTGTGATGACCTGGGGTTGGGCCGGGGGACTGGGAGGCAGACTCAAGACGGAGGGGTACGGGTGTACCTATAGCCGATCCACATTGTCATGCAGCGGAAACTAACAACAGTGCAAAGCCGTTATGCTCCAACTTAAAAGAACATGTTAAACTGTTCGGATGCTCAGGACGGAGGCTGGGGCAGGGGAGCTTGCTGCCGTGGGACGGGACCCAACCAGCCCTGGACACAGACGTGCCCTGTGAAGGCGGGGGAGCCTGGCCGGCGAGACGCAGCGTCACCACGGCAGACGCAGCGCCGACTCCCGCCGAAAAACACTCACCCTTCTCCCAGGCTTTCCTGCCGGGCCAGGCGGGCCCTGCACGCCCCTCGGACCCTGTCCGGGATCAGAGGGCAAAGGTCAGTCACGTGTCCACTTCTCGGAGGACAAAGCCAAGCCTGGTCCCCGTGCTCGCCCCCGCCCACCCACCGCCCAGCTGCCAGCACGTGGCATCACGCAGACAGGGCGCAGGGTCCGTGGCCCTGAGCCAGGGTGGGACGGAAGGCAGCCCGCGCGGTCCCGCTCCAGACCCCACAGCCGCTCCGCATCGAGAGGGCAGCTCCCCCCGCTTCCCTGACCAGAGGCAGCGACAGGGCTCCGTCTTCCCGGAGAGGCAAAGGCCCCGGGGTACGTACCTGAGGCCCCATGTCTCCTGGCTCGCCCTTCAGACCTCCGCTCCCGGGAGGGCCCTGGGGGAACACGCCTGGTTAGGGGGCGCCTGGCACAGGGGTACAGGCTGTAGGGGTGGCTGGTGAGGGCAGGGAGGGGGAAGGACCACGGGGCTGCCCCCTGGGCAGGGCCCCCGTGCAGCCCGCCTGCCACCTTGGACACACCCCGAGGGACGAGCAGTCACTTTCCTGGTTTGCATCTCATCCCAGGTTGGAGGGAAACCCTGGACGGGGGCAGGGGGAAACCCCTGCCCTCAGCACATGCTCGCTTCTCTCCGGGACGGATCTGCCCTCCGTCTGCCACAGCCCACAGCCCAGGGCCGGGTGTGGACGTACTTGTCCATGGCAGGGCAAGATGGCAAGATCGCAAGATGTCGCGAGGGACCAAACACCCCAGGGCCAGGGGCCAAGCCCACTCCCTCCCGGGGAACAGAGAGAGGGCCCCGTGGGCCTTGATGCCCCGGCTCCCTGCAGCTGCAAGGGTCACACACCCCCCTGGAGACCCCTCTCCCTGGCCCTGGGGTGCCCGGCACTCGCTGCCCAAGGAGTCGGGTGGGAATCAGGGTCTGCCTCACGCTGAAGTGGTCTGGACGGTAAATAGCCTCAAAAGAAAGAGGCTTGGAGCCCCCCCGGGGTGGGGGGCGAGGCAGAGTCGTGGTCAGTATAAGTGCAAGGGCTTCCCTGCCCCGAGGGCAGCCCGGGCTTCTGGTGCCCGGGGGCCCTCCACCCCCCCGCCCTCAAGATGCTCTGACCCGGTGAGCTGGGAGCCTGATGGGCAGGGGCCAGTGAGGGGCACCCACCCCCACACCCCCAAGGTGACTTACCATGGGACCCGGTCTCCCAGTGAGACCCATCGGGCCAGCAGGCCCCCTCAGCGCCAGCTGCAAGGCAAAACGGGACATGTGAGAAACGGCTGGTGTACCCGTCCTGACGGGCGGGAAGGGGCCAGTGTGAGAGGCCAAGGACAGAAGCCTCTGGCGGGGGAGGTCACAGGGACCCTGGACCCACCTCCTCCGATCCTCTGGGCTCCCGGCGGCAAGCACCAACGGGGCGGCAGAGGTGGGCGGCAGCCGGGTGGGTGCCCACTCACCGCTTTGGGGGTGGGTGCCCGGAGCCTCGGGCTGACCCTTCCTTCTCCCCACCTGCCCCGGCCAGCCCCGCACCCTCACAGCGAGCGTGAAACGCGGCTGCCCTGGGGGGCTGGCCGGGCGTGTGTTGTGCACGCGCTGAATCACACATTCCCCGAGAGGCACTTTCAGGGCCCGGGGGTTACATCGGGGAGCCTTGGGGTGAATGAAGTCCTTGCCCCGCCACGGGGACCCCCCTGCACCCCTGCCCAGGTGCCCGCTGCCTGCCCGCTGCTGAGGCTCACTCCCGCCGGCTTTCTCCAAGGGCCTCTTCCACGCCTATCGTGCAACTGTTTCCTGCACGAGGCCATTTCAATTTTGGAACGTTCTGTGTTATAAAATCTTAGGAGCCCATCACTCACTTGGCTTCAGTCAACACACCCACAGATTCAAAGGCCAGCCAGGCCGGCCTGTCAATAAGCCCCGTGGCGGGGGATAGGGCCTGTCGCCCGCTGACTGCATTACACGGCAGTTTGCTCCACGGCAACGACTGCATACCCGCTGCCCTGTAATTCATTATCCACGCACTCTGATCATCAGCATCTATCCGTGGTGACAGCTACATAAATATCGCCAAACGAGGGACTCCGCAGCCGCTCCTTGTGATGCCCCATTACAGGCACTCCAAGGAAGGGTGGCCCGCCCCCGCCGGGTGGCATTTGCTCTTGTCATTGGCAATCAGCAATCTGGAGCCTCGTCAATTAAAACGCAATTCACTCATCAGCTCGTTTGCCAAGAGCAGAGTGGTAAGGAGGCTCCTTGGGATGCCCCAGGCTGAGCAAGGGGCTTTGGGGCCCACGGGCTTACCCCCGAGGTTCAGGCTCGACCCAGCCCCATCACAAGGGACCCCCCAGGAATACATGGGGTCTCTCCATCCCAGAGCCGGGAGGAGGCAGTAGATGGCCGAAGAAGACGGGATCAGCAGAAGCCAGAGGGGCTCAGTGGCTGTGTCCGTATCTGGGAGTCTGGACCCTCGGTGTGGAGGGTGTGGACAAGGGACCCCTGAGAAGCTTCCCCCACGTCTCCTGGTGCTCACTAGGGCCCCCAAATGTGCAGGGATGACTGGACAACCCCCAGGCTCCTGAGTCCAGGTGAGCACCCCAAGTTGGGAAGAGGGGCTTCCCCTGCAAGCTGGGCTCCAAGCTGCTCCCCAAACCCCAGGGCCACTCACCCGCGCCTGCTGCAGGATGGCTTGAGCTTGGGACTCCTGTGCGGAGACCATAGGTCCTTTGGAGCCTGCATCACCGCCCCCTCCAAAGCGGAACTGCGGATGTAAGTGCGGTCACTAGGGTTGCCCGGGCACGGGTGTCCGCTCTGGACCCCAAGGCTGAGGGTGTCCAGGGGCCTCTCAGGTGACAGCAGAGTCTCGGAGGGGCTGGCCGGGCAGCTTCCAGCCCTGGGCCTCCGCCTGCTGATCATGCCACCCGACTGCCCGCACACGGCTGCCCCGTCTCTGCCCGACAATTCCAGCCTTGGGGATTCCCACCCCCCGGCATCCATGACATCTCTCCTGAGACCCCAGAGCCCCGTGCCAACACCCATGCTGAGGGGCACACGGGCTCAGGGAGAGACGGACGTCTCCCGGCCTGGGCTCCCCGAGAGGGAGGTGGCCTGGGTCCTCTGCAGACCCCCAAGGTCAGGAGCAGGTCACGTTCAAGGAGGGAGTAGGTGGTTTGGGGGTCTGAGGGAGAGGGCAGGTGTGCGGTGACGGAGGCAGACGCCACACGGCTTCCCGCAGAGTTGGGCTCTGCTCCGGCCCTGGACCCTGTCGAAGGTGGAGACCCCGATCCTGGTGTCCACCCTGTTGGGCTGGCAGAACACTCCCAGGAGCTATCTCCACAGGACGGCTGGCCCAGGTTGGAGCCGGTCTGTGGTCAGGGGACCCCCGTCACTCTGAGCCCCGAGCCCGCCCCCCAGCGCCGCCCCCCCAGGTACACTCACAGGCAGCATTAGCATGGTTCCAGGAGGGCCGGGCAGCCCGTCAGCGCCAGGAAGGCCTGGGCGTCCAGGGGGACCCTGCAGATAGAGGGCAGGAGAGAGGGTCAGGGCCCGGGAGGGAGCTAGACCGGGGCGTCATGAGGGGCGGAGGCAGGGCCCGTGGGAAGCCACGGCGAAAGTGCAGAGCGACGCAGGGTCCGGAGCCCGGAGGAGGGGGCTTCACGGCGGGCCGAGGACAAGGAGACCCCGGGCCCAGGAGAGCTGAGCAAAGAGGCAGAAAGCCTGCAGTCTGTGGTCCAGAGCGGCACAGGCCACCCCGCGGGAGGCGGGCAGGGGTGAGGCATCACAGCTTCCACGGCCCCGGGACCGTCCCTGCCGGGTGCCACCCTGGGCTGGGCAGCCCAACAGCCCTGGTGCTGACGGCTGAGAGGCCAGCCCACCCCCACGCCCCCTCAGCCCTGCGGGTGGAGCAGATGCCGCACGGGCCACGTCCACTCGTTTGGACGGACACAAGGGGCCGGCATTCCCGGGGTCACAAGGCCTCCTGCGCACTTCAAGGCCCCACCTCTGCACAGACACCACCTCAGCACTCACCCGGCTGGTCCCCAACACCCCCAGCCCCCGGCAGAGCCTCTGACTGATTCTGGCGCAGGTCAGGCCTAGGTGAATGCAGCACAGATGCGTGAGAGCATCGTCACTTCAGTCGCGCCCAACTCTTTGCAACCCCACGGAGTGTATGTGGCCCACCAGGCTCCTCTGTCCATGGGATTCCCCAGGCAAGAATACTGGAGTGGGGTGCCACCTTCTTCTCCAAGGGGAGCTTCCCAACCCAGGGATCGAACCCTTGTCTCTGATGTCTCCTGTGTTGGCCGATGGGTTCTTTACCACTAGCAGCACCTAGAAAGACCTCTGTAACATGAATAATACGGCTTCTTGTCAAAAAAGCGTTTTTATCACTCAGCTTTTCACAGAGGCAGACAGACGCCCAAGCAGCTTGCCGTGGGCGAGGTTTGCGTGCAGACAAGTGCAGCCCGCCCCCGTCAGTGAGACAGACCGCCACCGGCCCATGGCGGGGTGCTGGTGGAGCCCTGCACCCACGACCGCAGCGCGACACTCCCGAGGCAGACGCACCTCACTCCCGAGCCCCGGCCCAGAGGACCGAGCACGGGGCTCCACCCCAGATGGGCTGAGAAGGGCACGCCCGGCCTGGTCGGGACCTCCACCCGCCCGTCTTCTCCTTTGCGACTGTCTTACTCCAGGGCTGATCCCTCCTCTTGTGAAATGTGGCAGAACACGGCTGCCTGCAAAGCGGAACGTGAACGCTCCCTCTCGTGCCTCCAGGAGTAGCCGGGGATAAACGCCCATAGGTGCCCAGGGAGGCCGGAAGCACACGCACCAAACACATGATGCGTATCATGCCTATGAGTCCACGGGCCGGGCGTGGGGGGTGGTTCTCCTTTTAGGAGGTGGTCTTATACACGTGTCTGGCAGTCTGCGCCTCCCCTCTGCCGCACGTGAGGCCTGTTTGTGAGCTCAGCCTCACTCCTTCCAATGGCCTTGGAGGTCCCCGCCCTCACGGGCTCATCAGTGACTGAATCCATCCTCCTCTGACGCATGTTTGGGTCCAGTTTTCATTAGGACACAGGCTGTTGTGATGAAGCTTCAGGCATCTTTCTTTCCTCTTTTTTTTTGGCTGAGCCAGGCGGCACATGGAATCTTAGTTTCCCACCCAGGGATGGAACCTGAGCCCCAACAGTGAGAGCGTGGAGTCCCAACCACTGGACCATCAGGGGAAATTCGAACCATCTTTCTTAGATAGGATCTCAGAAGCAGAACTGCTGGGTCAAAGGATTTCTGCGGCAGCTCCCTGCCCCAGTTTTTTATTGCTAATAGGCACAGCTAAATGGTCCTTGCTTGCCATTTTCGAAAAGAAAAAAATATTCCCAGAAGATAAAATTTGCTTAAAAAAGAAAAACCCAGGGAGTGTTTTGCCAGTCAGACTTCCTCTTGGAAATTCTACCCTGAGAGCTGCTCACCGCTGAGCTTCCCGCGCCCAGTCGATCCCAAAGCAAACCCCCAACTCAGAGCTTAGAGTCGCGTGTCCCAGGGATGAGATGCCGCCCATGTAGTGCCCACGCCCATGTGGTGGGGGCTCACACGTGTGTGTGTGTGTGTGTGTGTGTACGCGTGTAGCGCTGGAAGCCAGGGAAGCACATGGGGCAGCCCCTCACCCACTGAGACCCTCCTGCTCTTTCTAAGCTGCAGGGGTGAAAATTCAACCTCGGGGCCCCAAAGCTACTCAGCCCTCATGCTGACATTATCAACTACACTGAAAACAATTCCCATGTGGGCAGACAGACAAAAGTCTGGAAACCCTGTGAGAGAGAGAGGGTTTACCTGTGGGAGAAAAACCCCCCGTTTTAAGGGATCCTCCTGACACCTTAAAATCTGACACGAGTCCCATGCAGCCCTGCGCCTGTGCTCTCTATACTCACCACTGCTCGGAGAAGCTGCCAGCCAAACTCTGCCAGGCCCCAGGGTCTGTGTCTCAAAGACTCGGCCCCCCAAGCCAAAACAGGGGTTTGCACCCAGCCGCCCCGCCACCCTCCACTGGACTTGAGCCGAGGACAGGGCTGCTCTGTCCACGGCCTGTGTTGGACGCAGGGCACGCCGCAGCCGCCGGGCTCAGGGCGATGTAAGAAGAGCCGGCCGGCCTTTGTGCGTCTTTAGATCAGTGCCCTGAGCCGGCCAGGCAGACGCTATAAAGCACTGGTGCTGCGGGGCAGGCCGCACGCAGACCCCGTACAGACACACGGCCCTCCCAGGGCAGCACAGGGCTTTTCCAAGGCCGTCCTGGCGACGCGCCACCGCAGACAACAGGGAAGAGAGAGCTCAGACGCTGTGAAAGCGGCTGCCGGCTCCAGCCCCGCTGGTCCAGAGCCCGGGACTCAGCAGCAGGCGGATCGGGGCTCATCCCCGGCTACAGAGCCCGGCTGCAGCTCACCACAAGGACAGGCAGCAGGGCTGGGCGTGGAGCGCCAGAGAGCAGGCGAGCCTTTACGCTGGGCTACTTCTGCTTTCAGGCTTCAGAGAGGCCCGGAAAAGGGGAGGAGCCGCATCGCCCCTCAGGTCCTCAGTATCGGGGTGGCTTGCTCAGGTCCGATCCTGTGCAGTCGCGGTTTGGGGGAGGCCAGAGGCGTTCTCAGTGGTCACTTCCTGATCTAGATCCGAACACTGGCTACCCCTGCGGCCGGGCCAGAACCTGGGGGGAAGCCGCACCCCCACCCCCCCGCCCGCCACGCTCACACCCTGCAGCAGGCGGGGGCTGGCAAGTCCCAGACGAGCTCACTGACATCTGAGCCCAGGAGGCCAGACGGGCCTGGACGGAGACCCTGGGGGTTTCTGCTCCCAGCCCGCCCCTCTCGGGAGGACCCCCACCCCATGCACTCCCTAATGTGACGAAGGGTTCCTTCCGGCTTCCGGGGCTTCAGGGTTAACAAGGAGACTCAGGTGGCCCTAGCGCCATGCTAGTAACGCCCCCCCACAGCACGGCAGGGGGCGAACAGGTCACAGAGAGGACGCGGCCCTTCCTCCCCCGGGGAAGCCCCGCATCACCACGCCTTGTGGCCGGGACCTCACAGACACTGGCTGTGCAGAGCAGCTGACTAACCAGGTGTCCCGGGCTGGATGGCTCCATGAAAGACGTCCTGGGCACACAGGGGCGCCTGGGGCCCAAGCCCCACACCCAGCCCCCAGGAGGCAGGAGACAGCACAACACCCTGCCCTGGGGCACCCGCGGTCACACGCCACGGCCTTTGCAGAGCTGGAAGCTTCCTACGGGTCTCAGTGGGCCCTGCATCTTGGCCACGTCGCAGGGACCTGGGCTGTGCCCAGTCCCCAGACCTGAGCGTGAATCCAGCCAGCCTGCCCAGAGCCCACGCTCTGCAACAGAGAAGCCTACCACAGCTAGAGAGCAGAGTCTGCTCTCCACAACTAGGGAAACACCTGCACCGCCAGGAACACGTAAATAAATAAGCAACATGATTTTTAAAAAGGAAGAGCGGCAGAGTCCCAGGATGGGGACGGGTGGGGATGGGGGGCGAGGATCTTCCAGATTCCCCGGTGAGCAGCTCTCACGTGCAGACGGGCATGTGAGGCCAGGCAGATGACAGCGATCAGAACACACCACCCCAAAACAGGCCGCTTCAACCAAGAACTCACAGATGCGGGGAAGGCCCCTGCCCTCCCCGGCCAGCCTAAAAGCAGGACACACGCTTCCCTTTGCAAAGGTGGTGGGAATTCTCCAGCACCCACCCGCCCGAACCAAGATGACGGGAAAGGGGGGCAACGCTTATCACTGGAGGTGGACAGTGGGCATGCAGGTGAGTCTGCATACAGACCTTCCTGAACCATCCTTATCTTCTGAGTTTCTGCTCCCTCCCACCATGTATTTTGTAATCACTTCTCCACAATGTACTGCTTTTTGTTAAAATGGTATATAAGTTCTCAAGTCTAACCATTTATCGGGTTTTCACTTCTATATGAAAGCCTCTGTACATGTGAAATTAAAAATATTAATTAGATGATTTATCTTTTCTCCTGTTAAGGTCTTTGTTCAGTTTAATTTGCAGGTCCAATGGACAAAACCTAAGAGGGTAGAGCTTTCTCCTCTCCTCCCCGGGGATCCTGAGGTCACCCTACTGGCAGGTGGCCGTATGGGTCCTGACTCTGCATCCAGGGTTCTTTCACAGCTAAGGAGCAGACAACCAGGAGATCCGGGCACTGAGAGGATGCTGGGCTGTGAGCAGGGATGATCCTTGGAAGAGAACTGGGCCCCGAGGGTGGGCAGTGTCAGCTCCTGGAATCAGCCCGTCCCCCTGGGAAGGGGCCCGGGAGGGCCGGGGGGCTGCCGGGTTCCCTTCCAACCCTGAGAACAGCAAGCCGTAGAGCAGGTGATCTCTCTGCCCACCCCACCCTGGTCTCTGTCTCCTGAACCCTGCCTCGAACTCCAGAGAGCTCAGCTCTAAAAGCCCCAGCTTCCAGGGTCAGGAGCCTCCACCCCACCAAGTGTTTCAGGCACATTTAGATCCTCAGTGCCGGAGTAGGACCCAGCACCGTGGATACCCGGGGAACGTGCCAGGTGGACAGGTGGACACTTGAAGCAACGCCGAGCTGGTGGGAGACGTGGTCTGTGCTATCCATGGCCCCGGTGGACGGCGTCCCATCCCACATCCAAGAGAGACGGCTGCTCTCGCTGACGTCTGAACCTAGCCCCACGCCGGGCCCAAGGAGGATGGCTCTGTGAGCAGACATGGCTGTCACCCCATCTCACACAGACCTGTGGCGCGAGCTGGGTTAGAGATGGCAGTCCCGGGTCCTGGGTGGGGAGGACGGGCCCTCATTTGCTTGGCTCACTTATTCAGCTGTGGCCGAGGAGGAAGTGGCATGGATGCGTGGGAAGGCCACCACGGAGCCAGGGCCCCCTACTCTGCCCCCAAAGCCTCAGGCTCAGTGAAGCAACGCGGTAAGACTCCCGCCTGGTGCCCAGTCCGACCCAGCTGCCCTCTCAGGCCGTGCGGCCCCCTGCTCCGTCTGCAGGCGGCACCTCACTCCGCCCGGAGCATCGCCCCAAAGCCCCGGCGCCCGACAGCCAAACACCCCCTCAGAAGCAGACCCCAGCCGCATCCTCCCCAAAATCGTGAGGTCCTTGCTCTGCCCCAGGCCGTGTGCCAGGCGTCTCTTAGGTGCAGACACGCTCCCAGGGCCTCTAATCTACAGCCGCACCCGCTTATCAGCACCGAGTCTGGCCGCGCTCACATCCGCATCCATCAGACCAGCAGGAGAGACAAGAAGGAAAGTCACAGTGGAGCAGCCACAGGGCTGCAGTACCCCCCAGCCCCCACGAGGTGTCAGAGCGAAATTTCAGCATCCCAGGCTCAGCCGCATCTCCCCTGCAGCCACCCAGGGCGGCAGGGGCGGTCCCTTTGACCCACAGCAAGCTCTCCAGCATCTGTAGCTTGATTCCTAACAAGGAAGCTACAGTGAGGGGGAGGACGCCGCGGGCCTGGGAGCCCCAGGTGCCCGCGTGTCAGCCCCACTAACGCACTGCCGCGGGGCCAGACCTGTGCATCGCCCCTCCCCCGGAGCCCCCGGGGCTCAAGACCAGGCTTCTTGCAGAAGTGGCCTGTCCCCAGCTCAGGGCCAGGCAACAGTCCACCCCAAAATCAGAAGAGAGCGGGTGCAGCAGGGGTGGCGTGAGAGGTGACCGGGTCGGGGCAGTTTGGGGAAGGACGTCGGTGTGTTGTGGTCACCCGTGCGTGTGAGGACAAGGCCGGTCCCTTAGTGGGGGGCGGTGGGGGGGACGCCCGGACGAGGCCACCAAGCCCGTGATCCCAGGGGCTGTCCTTACCCTTTCTCCAGGGTCACCCACTTGGCCTGTGGGACCCATCGTTCCTGGAGGTCCTGGGAGACCCTAGAATTAAACACAGAATCAGGCAGAGTTAAAGATGCAGCCACAGGGCGATGCCCGCCTGCCAGGAGAGGGCGGGCGTGGGGTGGGGCGCGGGGCGAGTGCCCACCCCAGGGTGTCCGCCCCCGATTTCCATCCAGGAGCGTTAAGGGGCCTCCCTGCACCCCCGAGGACCCGCCCCACAAGTCAGGGGAAATGAAACAGGACACTCACCGCGGGGCCTTCGGGGCCGGGCGGCCCCTCCAGAAGCATGCCCTGGAAGAGACAGGGAGAGCGTCTGAGCTCCCAGGACGGCCTTCCCCCATTCCGAAACGTGGACCCGGCCTCCCGGCCCCAGTCCTGAGCACGGCCTCTGGGCCGGGTGGCCCGGAGGACCACGGCCCAGGCCTCCAGGGCCGCATGCTCCGTCCGGGGACGGGTCTGGAGCGGCTGCCTCTGCTGTGGGGCTGTGGTGGGGGCCACGGTGACCGAGCTCTGAGCACCTCCAGCCCGACAGCAGCCAGCAGGCTTCCCCCAAGGGCAGCTTCCAGAGAACAGAGGGGGGCCAGCCCCCGGCCCCAGCGCTGGCCTCCCATCCTGGGGGCAGCACCCAGGCAGGCCTCAGCGACGGCAGCCCAGGGGGCCGTGGAGCCCAGGCCAAGGGCCCAGTGACGGTGAGATGGCTGCCTGGGGTTTCAGGGGGGACAAGAGGAGGGGGGCCACAGGCCAAGGCCCCTCGGGGCTGACCGCTCAGACAGGCTGCGCTGGGGTCCCAGCCCCTCCCTCCTGCAGCAGGAAACGCCTCCCTCTGTGCAGCAGCCCCGAGCCCGTGGGAAACATGGCCTGGCCCACCAGACACTCGGACCCTTCCTCCCCCTCCTCCAGCCCCTCCCCTGGCCGAGCCCAGGCCCACGTGGCCTCCGGCCCCCGGCCTCACTGTCTTTCCCCGCACGTGGGGACAAGGCCTCCTGACCCCTCAGCCCCGCAGCGGAGGGGGCAGCGGGCCTCACGTCTCTGCAGCCAGAGCTCCGGGCCGGGGTCTCCCGCCCTTGGGCCTCGGCTCCGGCCCCCTTCCCGGCCTGGGCCTCCTCTCTGCCCCTGACTGCTCAGCACCACGGTCAGGTGGACCCCAACGTCCTCGGTGCCCCAGGCCCACGGCAGGGGTCTGAGGCAACGCACGGCCTCCCGGGGAGGGGAGGACCTCCAGCCCTGGCAGGGGGCTCGTGTGCTGAGAACACAGTGGGGGTGGGGTCTGCGGTCCCAGGACAGGGGCTTCTGTCCAGCCTTGTTGAGCAGGCTTCGGCTGCACAAAGGGCCTGTGGCCGCCGTGGACCCCTCCTCCCCGTGAAGTCCGGTGGCGCCCGAGACAGGGACGAGAAGGCTGCACACGTTGGCCCGGGGGAGACCTGCGTCCTGCTGCCCGGAAGAAAGCCAGCTCGGGCACTTGTGGGGCTGACCAGTGCCACCTCCCCAATCCTGGGCTTTCCTTTGAAAGTGAACCTGGAGCTGCTTCCTAGGGGTGAGCAGGCGTGCCCCAGACACGCAGCTGGTTGGCACACAGCAGTCGGCCACCAGGCCCCTGCAGACCAAGCCCCTCATCCTCCCCACCGGGCTCCCCAGATGCCGGGAGGACACACCCTGTGTTTGCACAGAGGTGCGCTCAGAGGTGTGTGCACACAACTTCCTCCAGCCCGCCTCATCACTCCCGGCTTCCCTGGCTCCTCTGACAACGGCCGCTCAGCAGACTCAGAGCTGAGCCGGGATTGAGGGAGATAGCCCCGCTGCACCGCGGACACACCATCTCTGTTCTCAGGGAGCCCCCCGGCGGGCGGGCCCTCAGGGGAGGGTTGCGGGCCTGGGGAAGGCTGGGGGCTGCGGGATGGGTGGGCCCGACAGGGGAGCACCTGGGGACCCACGGCCACCACCCCGCCGAGGAGCGCTCCCGAGACACAAAGAGGTGGTCTGCCCGCAGAGCCCCCGGTCCACACCCGCCAGGGTGGGGGGTCTCAGCCTTAGCCGTGCTCCACACAGCTCTACAGGGAGGTCCGTCCATCTGCTAAGCAGCAGGGCCCAGAAAACCTTCCTTAAACCACAGGAGGCGGGACGTGCCTGCGATGGGCCTTCCCAGGTGACTCAGGCCCCTGGACAGGGAGACACCGCGTCCTCCTGGAGCAGCAGGTCTCATTGACCTGAGTCCCCCTCCGCCCCCCGGGAGTCCTGTCCTTTCAAGGAGCCACTGGTGATGCTGACCCGTGACAGTGGGTACCAGATCCGAGTGGGAAACAGCTCTGGCGGGAACCGTCCCTGAGATGTATGGATGGAGAGAGAGGAGCTGGTTCCAAGAGCTCCGTGGACAGCGAGTCACACGCCCCAGAGGGAGGTCGCTGGGGCAGGTGGGGGACAGCAGGCGGCCCCCCAACCTCCACGGGCCGGGATGTGTCAAGACCACGTCCGCTGCCTCCCAGGGCTCAGCCCTCTGTTTATGGGGAGCTAAGACTTGAGGACGGCTGGTGATGCTCCAGGTTGAGATGTTCCAACTGCTTACATGATGTCCCTGGGGGACTTGCCCCGCCCCACGGGTACTCTGATCAGGCCGGGGGGCTGGGCTGGAGAGAATGACACGGCCAGAGCGCGTCCAGATGGCCCCCCGGACGAGGCTGGACCTGACTCCCCGCAGACACACTGTCTGTGTCGGATCCCTCTCTGTTCTCAGGCCTCCGCAGGGCACCCTGGCAGCTGGACACCCCGCGCCCCCTCACCAGCCTCCAGCCAGACCTGGACGCTATGGCCCTCGGACAGGGGCAGCCCATGCTGGGGGACGGGCGAACAGGATGCTCATCCGGACCAAGATGCCAGCCAGGCCCTCCCAGAGTCGGACGTCCTGGGCCAGGGTGCTTCATGTCACTGAGCAAGGGGCTACCTGGCCTCAGGCGCCTACCCTGGCACCCTGTCCTTTCCCCTGCACCCCATCCCTCACCCCAGACAGGCCCTGTCTCCCTTGGACCCTTGGGGAGCGCCGGAAAGGGGGTGTCCTGAGCCTGAGAACAGGATGTGTGTGCCCAGTGGCTGCAGCCCCGCGGGACCTGGGTCAGGCCAGGGGGCAGGCAGAGCAGAGAGCATGACCGTCACCCAGTCCCTCGTGCTGACGCCCCGGCCACGGGCTTCTGGTGCCTCTAAGGGGTCAAAGCTCCAAAAGAACCTTCCCAGTTCCACGGGAACTGGACGGGAGGACCGCCTCAGTTTTCATGCCAGGCACCCCGGGATCAGGGGGGCCCTGGAGCCTCCACCTGAGTCACACCCTGGGATCAGCCACCAGGAACCGGGTGCTGGCGGCGAAGGCCAGAGCCCCGGGCCCCAGGCTGGTGGCCCTCGGGAGACAGGACGCGGGCCTCCTCCCTCCGCTTTTGGAGGATGTGGCAGCACTGGACTTTGGCAGCCAGCCCCCGCCCCCTGCTCCCACGTCCAGAGCAGCCTCCAGCCCCCGAGGCCGCGCCCCCCACGTGCGGCTGCAGGGCACCCCTCCTCCTCCCGCTGATCCCGTGGCACCTTGCCCGCCCCGGGTCAGGGCTGGGGCCTCAGGCCACAGGGTGGGCCCAGGTGCTCCCAGCCAGGCATGGCTCCCTGAGGGCAGAGAACGTGGGACCCTGCGAACACCCACAATCCCACAAGGGGCACACGGAACTTCTTCCCAAGGTTAAGGCGTTATCAACGGTCATCTTGTTCAACTTGCCTCTGGCCCCGTCGCCAGGTACAGGGCAGTTTTACTCAATGGGAGTTTGGGCGTGGAGCTGTTTTATTAAATCCCCTGGAGGTGGCTGAAAACCAAGCTTGCCTGTTTCACCAGCTGGAGGCAGAACCAGGTCCTCCCCGCCCACGACCGGCAGCTCTGGGTCCCCACTTGGCCTGCTAATCCCCTCTGCCGTCCCTGGGGGGCTCCCTCCCTCCCAGAGCCGAGTCTCTTTCTCGAACTGGATTGGATGCATGATGATGTGCCTGGATCTTGGGTGTGTGGCACCAAGGGTCCTGACCCATTTGAATATCAGCAGACACTCCCATATTCAAGGTCCAGAACCTTCTCCTGCCCAGGGATTTTTCAAAGCAGCACGCGGCATCCGTGAGATCACGCGGCTCCTCATGGTGGCCCGGGGCACAGAGGTGCAGGGGTCCCCCGGGTCCCCTGGGAGCAGAGTAGGGTCCCCATCCTACCTAACTCACCACAAACCCCCAAAACATGACCCCTGACCCTTGATCCTGCTAGTTCCAGAGAGAGAATAAGAGAGCGTCTTACCGGTTCGATGATGGCGGGTTCTCCTTTTTGACCTTTCTCGCCCCGAGGCCCTCCGATCTGGGGGTTCATGAGATGCAGAGAGAGAAGGGGGGAGGAGAAAGAAGGCACAGGTTACACCAGATCCGCACAGCTGATGAGGCAGGGGTCCCATCCGAGGCCCAGGGAGGCACCCTCCGCGGCCGCTCACCCCCTCGTAGATGGTGTCCTGGTTGGCGGGCATGCCTGGCCCGATCTCCGAGGGGGAGATGGTGGGGTCGTAGTATGGGTCGTAGTAGCTCTCGTCCAGGTTCTTGATGGTTTCTTCCGTGAACTCTCCCTCCAGATCGTCCATCCCCTCCTCCGGAGGCGGGGCCGGCTAGGGGGAGGGCAGCGGTGGTCAAGCGGAAGGACGCCAGGTAGCAGGCAGACCCAGGCCCCCGGCCTCAGAGCCTGAAGGACCGTGGCCTCCCCGGTCAGAGAACACGGGGAGCCTGGGGGCTCCCTTGCTGGGAGGCACTGTCTCCCTCTCATAAAGGGGAAACTCGTCCCAAACCCCTACGATGCCGTGCGAACCAGAGCCGCCCAGGGACAGACGTGCCCCGCCAGACTGCCCCGTGCACTTGGGGAACCCCAGCCATCAGGGGCTCCACCTCAGGCCCCGGGCCTCGGGGTAAGACGTCCATGATTCCATGCCTGCTGGCAGAGGGGCCTGAGCCCACCACAGCCCCGTGTGTGAGCCCTCTGCCATCCAGAACTCAGCATCACACAGCGGCTATTTCCAAGCATCCGCCATGTGCCCTGGCCGCGCCAAACCCCTCTTCAACCTGGAAACTAGGCAACGACCCCAAGGGGCGGGCCTCACGGGCGCCAGGCTGTCAGTGAGATGGCTGGCTTCTTTCGAGACGGGGACATCACCGCCCAAGGTCAGTCACTGGCGGAGATCTCAAGTCGGGTCATGTCTCGTCTGCTTGTCCGACCCCCAGCTCATGGGCCTGTCCCCCTCCCAGCCCACAGACAGGAGCACGGCTGCAAACACGCGTGGCCTCATCCACCTCCACCCGAACCCTGCGAGACCTGGAGGCCGGGCTCCGTTCTGCACTGAGATCCACCCAGCAAGTTGGCGATTCTAAACTCGAGGGGCCCCGGGGAGCATCTAACACGCCCAGCTGCCAAGGGCCAGGTGTGGTGGGGAGGGGGACAGGGCCGCCGCCCCCGGACTGCAGGTGAGGGGCAGAGGAGGGGCCCAGGCGTCCAGCCCCGCCCCGGGCCGAGCCCGCTCGCAGGGAAGCAATTACGTTGGAGCCGTTGGAGGTGAGGACCGTGCTGGTGGGCACCTCGGCCCGGGCGCCCTGGTCGGGGCTCTGGTCGGGGTTCTCGTCGGGGTTCTCGTCAGGGTTCTCGATGCCTTCGCCGTAGCCGAAGTCCTCGTAAGGGGGTGGCGTGTAGTAGTCTTCGCTGGGCACATAGTCGTACTCCCCGATGCCGGGGTCCTCCTCCTCCTTCCCGGGGCCCACGGTGGTGTCGGGCGCCGAAGGGGCTTCCGTCGGGGGCTGGGTCAGCTCCTGAGAGCCGGGCACAGACACGCAGGGTTAGGGGGAGGCCAGCGTGGCGGGACCAGGTCCGGGGTTTCCTCCGAGGCTGGAGAGGGAGGCAGACCCATCGGCCAGCTGGACCCTGTGGACTGGGGCGCAGGGGCCCCTCGGCCCGGGGGAGGCAGCCCAGCCCCAGGCCGGGCTGTGCACAACGAAACCCAGGATCGCACACCTGGACAGGGGAGCTGTCTCTCACAGTTTCTTAAAATAAGAGAACGGGGAATTCCCTGGCGGTCCAGTGGTTAAGCCTCCACACTCTCACTGCCAAGGGCCTGGGTTCAACCCCTGGTAGGGGAACTAAGGTCCCGCAAGCCACAGGGAAGCCAAAAACAAGAGGAAGAGATGCTCCCAGACTCTGAGAGCCACACAGGCCAGTGTCCCGGCTCTCCGGGAAGAGATGCTCCCAGACTCTGACAGCCACACAGGCCAGGGTCCCGGCTCTCGGGAAGAGATGCTCCCAGACTCTGAGAGCCACACAGGCCAGGGTCCCGGCTCTCCGTGGGGAGGGGGCCTTGCTCCATCCTGTCCACGTCCCCCGCGTGTTGCTCACTGTGGGAAGCCCTCTGCCCCACAGTCCCCCTGAGGACAAAGTGCACATGGTCCCCTGGTCCCTCATCTTCCTGCCAAGCTCCTACCCACCCCACGCCTGGTCTCCACGTGTCACCAAACAGCCCCCCGTTCTCGCCGAGGCCTCCTTATCCCCCTCTCCTGACCCAGGGGCCAAATGTCGGCCACCCCACACCATGGCCCCCAGGGACCAGCCCCCCCAACCCTGCCCCACGGCCCCCAGGGATACCCCCACACCGTGCATCACAGCCCCCAGGGACACCCCTCACCCTGCACCACGGCCCCCAGGGACCACCCCCCACCCCACACCATGGGTCCCAAGGACCACCCCCCACCCCGCATCACGGCCCCCAGGGACCACCCCCCACCCCACACCATGGGTCCCAAGGACAACCCCCCACCCCGCATCACGGCCCCCAGGGACCACCCCCCACCCCACACCATGGGTCCCAAGGACACCCCCCCACCCCGCATCACGGCCCCCAGGGACACCCCCACACCCCGCACCACAACCCCCAGGGACCAGACCTCGGCCACCTCCGTGGTCTCTCGAGCCGCTTCCACGGGCGTCTTGGTGGGGACGGGGTCCTTGCCTGTGTCGTCCGTGTCCTCGTAGTAGGGGTACTCGTAGTAATAGGTGTCCCCTTCATTGTCTCCGTCGGGGTACTGAGAGCAAACAGGGCCGCGTGAGGAAGGCGGGAGCCGCACCCTGCCGGGACACCAGCCCGCGTCTCCCGCCCCGCGGGCTCAGCCAGTGAGAGTGGATCCCAAAGGCTGTGCCCAGCTCCAAGCACCAATCCTGTGGGCCTGACAGACACCCCCGCCTCCAGCTCCGGGGAGCAGAGTCAGCCCCAGGGGGCGTCCTGGGGAGGGAACAGGGCCCCGTGCCCTCTGAAAGGCCCGATGTTCTGACCTTGAGCGCCTGAGGGCCGGGACTGCCAGCCGGACCATGGGTTCTGCTGGCAGTGCCGCTGCCGCCCAGGGGCCCCTGACCTCCACGGAGGCCCAGACCACACGGGAGGGACTTCCCGGAGGACGACACAGCGGGCACCGCCCTCTGTGTGTGTGGGGGACCTGGGGGGTGGCCAGGAGGCCTTGGCTGCAGGGACCCAGGTGGGAGCACTGTCCACCCGGTTCTCAGGATGGGGGGAGGTCCCCTGAGGAGGAAACGGCAACCCACTCCAGTGTTCTCGCCTGGGAAAACCTCAGGGTCAGAGAAACCTGGCGGGCTCTCGTCCAGAGGGTGGGAAAGAGTCAGACACAGCTTAGTGACTGAATCCAAGACCCTGGGGCTTCATGGGGCGCCCCCTTGTCTCCTGCCTGCTCGTGAGAGAAGGGGTGCTCAGCGGAGAAGCAACCAGCAGGCCCGAATTTTACTTAAAGGAAACAGGAGTCAAACCTGAGCAGGGAGGGCAGAAGATTTGAAAATGGTGCACAGAACTGAAATCAAGTCTGCTGGGGCGCTGCCGGACTGTGGGGGTGGGTGGACGGGCAGGCTGACCCCGGTCGGCAGATGGCGGCATCAGACCCATTCTGGGAGCGCTCGGGACGAGGCTGGCCCTCGGGGCCCCTGATGCTCTGGGGGTCAGAGCGCCCATCTCTGTGCTGGGACAGCGCTGAGCCCCTCCTGTCCCGCAAGCTCCAAACGGCCCCCAAGGGCACCTGCAGCGTCTCCGCTCGCTCAGCGCCCGCCCTGGTGTTGAGTCAGGCTCCGGCTCTCCTGACCCAGAAACTCGTGTGAAAGGCTCTTGACCGACGGCCTCCGTGACTCAGTCGCTTCGGAGCACGGGGAGCTTCGTAAAGCGAGTCAGGGATCCACTTTGTCCCCAGGACCGATTGTCGTCTCACCCACTGGGCTTTTTGAAGCGGGGGTCCCATGGCCTCTGTGTCCCCCTGCCCCGCCCCTCCCAGAGGGTCTGGCCGCAGCCCCCACCAGGACTCACGTATTCGTCGGGGTTGGGGTCCTGAGACTGGGGTTTGTCGGGGACGGCGGTGTCACAGTCGGGGCTGTAGTGCTCGCAGTAATCGTAAGCCGCCCGGTGGTCCGAGACGAACAGCAGCTGCTGGATGTCCCCCTGGGGGAGGAGGGGGGCTCTGAGCAGGCGGCACAGGGGGAGCCCGCTGGTCACTGGGAGAACCGCCTGACGCCTGAGAGCTGGTCCTCGGGGCCAGACCTCCTGCGGGGGAGCCACCTCACCCAAGCCACCCATCCACCCACCCACCCACCCAACCACCCACCATCCATCCATCCACCCATCCATCCACCCATTCATCCTTCCATCCACCCATCCATCCACCCATCCACCCACCCACCCACCCACCCAACCATCCACCCACCCACCCAACCATCCACCCACCCAACCATCCACCCACCCACCCAACCACCCACCATCCATCCATCCACCCATCCATCCACCCATTCATCCATCCATCCACCCACCCACCCACCCACCCACACAACCATCCACCATCCATCCATCCACCCATCCATCCACCCATTCATCCTTCCATCCACCCATCCATCCACCCACCCACCCACCCACCCACCCAACCATCCACCATCCATCCACCCATCCATGCTTCCATCCACCCATCCATCCACCCACCCACCCACCCACCCACCCACCCACCATCCATCCATCCACCCATCCATCCACCCATTCACCCTTCCATCCACCCATCCATCCACCCATCCACCCACCCACCCACCCACCCAACCATCCACCCATCCATCCACCCATTCATCCTTCCATCCACCCATCCATCCACCCATCCACCCACCCACCCAACCATCCACCCACCCAACCATCCACCATCCATCCATCCACCCATCCATCCACCCATTCATCCTTCCATCCACCCATCCATCCACCCACCCACCCACCCACCCAACCACCCACCATCCATCCATCCACCCATCCATCCACCCATTCATCCTTCCATCCACCCATCCATCCACCCATCCACCCACCCACCCACCCAACCATCCACCCACCCACCCACCCACCTACCCAATCATCCACCCACCCACCCACCCAACCACCTGTCCATCCACTCATCTATCCATCCATCCATCAACCCTCCCACCACCCACTGATCCATTCATCCATGCATCACACACCTCATCAGGTGCCAGTCGCGCCCCCACACCCCCCCCCAGTGTCCAGCTTTGCCTCTGGCGATGCGCACGGATGGCCCCTCCCCGTGAACACCACTGACCACAGCCTGGCTGCAGCACCCGGGGGCTTGGTCTACACCCGCTCTGCTTTCCTGCCACCGGGGAGAGTGGGCGTGTGGGGTGAGCTGCCTGCTGCTGTCCCAGCTCCGGGCCCATAACAGCGAGCGGGTCATGGAGGGGAGAGAGCAGGCGAGGGGCCCCACCCGCCCACGGCTCAGCACGACCCGCCCAGTACCAGGGCCAGAGCCTGCCCTCTGCAAACCCGCTCTTCCCTCGTCTCCCTCTGCTGGCAGAGCTGCCCTCCCCACCGCCCCCCTCTCCCCACCCCTCCCGCCCCCGCCCTCTCTGTTCTGATGTCAGGGGCTCCCGGCTCTCACTTTAAATTCTCCAGCCAACAAGAACCATGTGACAGAGCCGTGAGTCAAAGCCACACGTTTTTATTAAACAATATCACTTCTATTTCAAATCTCATCCAATTGAAATAAAATATTTTTCCCTGCGACTGGCAGCTTGACATCTGAACGCATGTGCACTAAGTCGCTGCAGTCGTGTCTGACTCTGTGACCCTACAGACTGCTGCCCGCCCCCGGCTCCCCTGTCTAGGCAAGAATTCTGGAGTGGGTGGCCATGCCCTCCTCCAGGGCATCTTCCCCACCCAGGGAAGGAACCCATGTCTCCCGCTTTGGAAGGTGTGTCCTTTACCACTAGCATCACCTGGGAATATAAGCTCTGCAAATGAAGCTACTGGAAAAAAGAGGCTCAGGGCCTTTGGGGGCGCAGCCGTGACTGTGGGCAGAGGGTGCTCCCATTGATGGAGCAACCGGTACACTCGCCATAGTTCCTGTCTTCCTGGAAAGCCCCAGTCCCGGAGCTGCAGACGTGGCCGGAGCATCTCTGTGTCCCAAGGCACCTGGCCCGGGACCCAGGCTCGCAGGCCCCGCACCAGGGGACGAGCAAGGCCAGGGGCTCAGCCGTCCCTGCCCACTCACAGGCCCAGCCTGACAGAGACGCCTCCGCTCACCCCAGGCCCTGGGACGCTCCTGCTGACCCGGCCCGCGGCCAGGCCTGTCCCCACCTTGCCCACTCCCTCCCCAGGTGGCTGCAGTGTCCACATGACCAGTCAAGGCCCCCCCAGCGTGAAGCTGCCTTCCTTTCCGGCACCCACCCTCCCCTGCAAATGCCCATATGTGTTGAAAAATCATTTTCCTCGCCAAATCCTTGGATGGGTTTTCACGCTTGTTCTGTGGGCGTGTCCCTCAGAGGGCGGGGGTCTACCATCCGCCCCTTGGGGTCTTCACGGCAGCTCTGGTGGGAGATGCCAGGGGCCCCCAGCTGCAGCGCCTCGGGGCCTTGAGCATCAGAAGGACAGCCCCCCTCCTCCAGTCCTCCCTTGCCCCTCTAGGCCTCTCCACGGAGGGGCCCGGGGTCTTCAGCAGGTTTTAACATCAGGCTGCCCCTGAAGATGTTAGTTGAGAAAGAGTTTACAGGGTTTTCTGAGAAAGTCAAGTCCCCAGTGCAGTAAACCTGTCTCATTTCCCAGACGGAATCTGAGGTCAGTGGGGGTGGGTCCCCCGGCCTTCACAGTGGATGAGCCCAAAGAGCCCCAAATATGGGGAACGCTGGCCCCGTGACGGGGTCCATCCTGTGCCTGGCCACGGCTGGGCGCCCCCCACACACACGTCTCTCCTGAACCTCAGCATAGCCCCGATTACCGACGGGGAAACGGAGGCTGGGGGGTCGAGCCAGGAAGGTCGCGCCACGTAGCTCCTCACCGGTGACTCTGGTGCTGTCTGGCCCTGGGCAGGGTCTTGGCCCCCTCATCCTTGATGCCGTGAGCACTCACCAGGGGTCCCCGCTGGGCCACCTCTGCCCCGCTGAAGTCCCCGCGGTGACGGGGGTGGTGTTCCGACCCTTACTGACACTCACTACCCCCTCCGGCACGCCCGACCCCCCGCAGCCGTCCCGCAGAGCCCGGAGCAGCTGTGCCCACCCCGCACAGCGAGCTAATGAGCGAATCCCGCCCGCCCGCTCCCTCTTCAGCCCGTGAGCCTCCGACAGCAGCATTTCCCTCCGGGACCCCCAGGGGCATGGGCCCCGCTGCACCCCCTGACGGGGCCCCCTGGTTCCCATGAGGCCAGTGCAGCCCAGCCCAGAGCAGGCAGCTGACCTCCAGGGGGCGTGGGGCTGCGACTTCGTCTCCTCCGTTAGCAACAGCCCAGCCCAAGCTGCAGCATAGACCCCCCACCCCATCCCGAACCCCCGCCCAGGCTCAGAGAGATGGAATTCCCCCCAGTGCCCACCGGGAGCAGCTGCCCCTCCTGGCCCCAGCCCGGCGCCCCTGCGTCCCCCCGAGGGAGCTGGCTCTCCTTCTCCCAGCCCCACGTCACAGGTGCACCCACCGAGGCTCGGACAGGTCACTCCCACAAGGGCACGAGGAGGGTCCTGAGCCACTGCCCGCCGTGCCTCTCAGAGCCTGGTCTCCTTGGAGCCAAGTGGCGCGTCCCACACCCGTGCCAACCTGGGTCTCCAGTGCCCGTAAACAACACTGCCGCCCCTCCCAGGCAGCCCTCCACGGGGCAGGTGCCCGCCCCGCCCGCCTCACGGAGACGGGTGACGCCCGCGGCCACGCCTCCGATGCCAGGCCACACACCACAACCTCATCTAGCTCTAAGTGCCACGCCCTGCGCTGGGCACTTCACCTGCCCAGAGAGGCAGGGGGGCCGCAGCCGTCACTGCCTCCCTCGCGCTGACGAAGTCCAGGGCTTTCTCCTTCCACGCACCGTGTTTCTGCCCCACCGGGTCAGTGAAGCTCTGCAGAGGCCCTAGGAGCTTCTGCCGCGGCCCCGGAGTCATCGTGGCCATTCCACAGCCCACACAGCCCCAGTGCCCAGGGTGGCTGTCGGCCGGCCGTCTCCCGGCCGAGGGCAGGCCGGGCAGCCCACGAGGCCCACGTCACCAGCACACACAGGACGCGTGCGTCCTCGGCTGAGCCGGGCGTTTTTGCTGAGGGGATCAGTTCTGCCTTTTCCCATAATGAGATTTTATCCAAGCTGCGCCCTGCTGTGAGCTGAGGAAATTGCGAAGTTTCCGTTGGAGAGCTCTACAACCCCGAGGGCACTGGAGCAGCATCCTGGCCCAGATGGGGGAGGCCCTGCTCCTCACGTCCCCGCTGGCTCCCAGCTCCCTCCCTCCCTCCCTGCCACCTCATCCTGCAATCCCCTCCCTTTCAATAAAAGCCACGGCCCCCAGGGACCGCCAGGCACCCCGAGCCTCCTCGGGCCAAACAAGACGGGCCCGGGGCTCCCGCCGCGCACTTGGCTTCTCCTGTGGCTCTTGCCGCTGACTTTAGCCGAAGCGCTTCACACGTGTACACGGAGACGCGGTCACTCGAGAGGACAGATGGACGCCTCTTTCTGAGGCTGCAGGAGGGATGAACTGCCCAAGGAGCGATAGCAAGAGAGAAGCACTGGCCAGCAGTTCCGGCCACAAGTCTGGCCCGAGCGAGGGCAGCCCAGCCCGAGTCCACTTCCGAGCAAGAGAGGTGCGGCAGGCACGCGCGTGCACGGGGCGGCAGGCACACGGGGTCCCTGCCCGCCCCGCGGAGCGCCCCTCCTCAGGGGAGCCTGCTTTGTCTGACATGCGGGGCTGGCCCAGGGGACACAGGGTGGGCAGGGGGCTTCGGCGAGTCACCTCCTTGACGTCCTGGGAGACTCCCCGCAAGGAAGGCCTCCCGAGAGCCGTCCTCCTGCTCAGACTCTCCTCGCCCCAGCAGCAAGTCACACTTTACATCCTGCTGGGACAGTTTTCATCCCGGGTCACACAATGGAAAAGGAAGAGCCCCAAGCCAGACGGGCTCTCAACAATTCTTTCCATGGTCTTCGCAGCATCCTTGGAGTG